ATGTAATCGATACTTCGACATATCATTCTTTGAGTTAAAGATAGATTATTGTAGTAACGCGTTATTTAAACAAGAACAGGAATGGTGATGAACTTGTGGCGGTACTTAGGTTCATCTTAGAAAGCGCCATATCTGCAGCGACGTAGGAACGGCAACACCCGACGTCGCGCGACCACGGTGACTGGAAGGCAGGGACCAAATATAGTTTCCCCGCGACCGCTGCTTTCAGGAGCGAGTGCTTCAGCTCACAAAGTAACTCCCGCCACGCAAAAACATGGTTTCGTTTCACAGCATGACCGCAAGAATGGTACCTGACACGCTAGCGTCGGAGCGTCCGCACACACCCCACACTGCCGCGTCTATCGTTGAAAATATATAAAAGCATAATAAAAAGAAAGACGCGAGACGAGAATCACGAGACGACGAAAGCGCCAAACGCGAGACGGCGGGAAAACCATTTAAGACCGGGTGGACAATTGATGCAGGACACTTTGTGTCGGGCGGCCGCTTGTGCACATAACACACGCATGCTCAATTACAGTACTCAGTTTAGTTTCAGCTTTGAAAGGCGACCGAAATTATTTGTTTGGCGCAGGCTTGGCGCAGATTACCCATATTTTGGCAAATTGTAGCAGGATGTAGCATGGTTAGACCCTTGGCGCAGTTTGACGCAATTGGCGCAGCAATCACATCACTGCACTCCTCCAAAAGCGCAGCTCTTGGAGGAGTGGAAGGTACGGAGAGTGGGCTATGCCCCTCCTCCTCTCCTGCTTGCCTCATTTATAGGGAAAACGTTTCCGTTAAATTTAGCGGAAAAAATTCCCCGCTAAATTTAGCGGGGAAAAATTTCACCTAGATTTAGCGGGGCATTTTTTTCTGCAGAATTTGGCGGGGAAAATTTTCCGCTAAATTTGGCGGGGAAACTTTTCCGCTAAATTTAGCGAGAAAATTTTCCGCTAAATTTAGCGGAGAAAATTTGTCGCTAAATCTAGCGGGGAAAATTTTCCGCTAAATTTAGCGGGGGAAATTTTCCGCTAAATTTAGTGGGGAATTTTTCCGCTAAATATAGGGGGGGAAATTTTTCCGCTAAATTTAGGAATATTTTTTGCTAAATTTAGCGGGGACAATTTTTCGCTCAATTTAGCGGGGAAATTTACCCATCATGCACCGCGCGGTTACGCTGACGCCGACGCCGCTCAAGCCGGAAACGGGCGCCTAAGAGCTGCGCTTTAATAAAGAGGTAGGAAAGGAGAATGACGCGACGTTTCTAAAGGAGCGTACCAGGAACGCCGAGACCGGGCGTGAGCGTCGGCTGCGTTCCTCATAAACGCAGTTCTGCATATGACGGTTTGATCGATAGCTAGAAATACGGATGCAAATGTTTTCTGCTACGTTGTCAAGCGCTTAATTTTCAGCGCTGTAGCACCGCACTGCTGCGCGAGCACGTCGTGTATCCTATTCGCTAGGGGTGTCGCGAACTTTTGTCGAACCAGATTTTTTGGTCGAACTTTCGGGGTTCGACTGGGTCGAACCGGTTCGACGAACCTTCGAACTTTTAACCAGATTCGACCGGTTCGACTTTGTGGACAGTGTGGCCAGACCTTTATAAAAGCATGTCTAAGTTTGGAGAAATTTTTTTTATGCGAAGGGTTATTTTTAAATTTATGAACAGTTGCAATTAAAGAAACCAATTCTAATCACTGAAGAAGTTATTAACTTAATTGTTTTGTGCTGTATTAACTGAAATAACCAATCAGCGCTGCACTTCATTCATCTCTTAGCCATTATCATCCAATCCGAAGCCAACTGGCCAGCCTGTCGCGCATGCGCACACGAGTCGAACCTCAATAGAAGGTTCGTCGAAATTTCCACTAAAAGTTCGAAAAAGTCGAACCTGGTCGAACTCGAACCGCGGCCGGTTCGCGACACCCCTACTATTCGCATTCACTTTCACGTGAAGGACAAACCAAATGAATTCACACACTCGCGCAAGCAGCTTTGACAGCATCATTGTGAAAACTATGCCAGCCTTGACAATGTAGCACAAAAAAGTTTGCGGTTTTGCAGGAGATGCGGTGGCGTGCAGTTTTTGTCAACTTTGGCCACTTTGACCACTGATCTCAATGACAATTGCTGGATCGCGCTTGCCGCTCCCGCAAGTGAAGCCACCGGGCCTCACTCGCTTGGGATACGATTTGCCGTTTTTGCTAGCCTTTGCTGCGGTTTTCCAGCGTGCTGACGACACGTTTTCTACTCGTTCGTCGTCATTCGCCGAAGAAGTTTTTTGAAGACTCTGTGTATTGTTGAGACTTGCCGTTGTGAACACGTGGAAAAGTTTACGAAAGTGCAGTGTCGCAGGAAAAAGGCACAACGCGTCGAAAGGAAGGGCTGGCGGCGTGTTCAAAGCATCCTTGGCACGCCGAAGTGCCGTGTCTCTGTGCCTTCGCGCGCTTGGATACGGACCAAGAACCGACGCCGTGTGAATGTGTTTAGCGAGTGCAATGTGCGTGAAGCCGTATCAAAAGGTACAACTCGTCGAAAACGTGTCGCCCGTGTCGCGGCGTGATCAAAGCTTCCTTGGCACGCCGAGTGATGCATCTTTGTGCCTTCGCACGCTTGGATACCGGTCAAGAATTGACGCCGCGCCAAAGTTCTGAACGTGTGTCGCGCGTAGATGCCTTTAGATCATTTATATATATCGGCCACGGAGTTCTGGATCGTCCAGCTGTTCCGGTGAGTTGCTATCAATAAAAGGGGGAGATCTGTACGTGTTCTTATGTACTATATTAACCATGGCTATGTCCCAAATCTACTCTAATAGATTCCGTGGGAGCACGAATAGGGCAACGTTGTGGAGCCAGGGGGTTTTTCGAAAGCAAAAGTACAAGACGGCGAGAATGAAAATCTTTGAAGCGCGGCCGATATGGTCGTGTGCAATCTGTTGACCAATTACAATTAGGCGAGCCGCGCTCAAACGTCAAGTGCAATTAAGTAGGTTGATAATAAGCCAGCACTGATCAGTGATGAGGAGCTGTTGTGCACGGTATTGTGTAAATCGTCTAAGGACAAAAAAAAGACGTACCTTCTCCCCATCTTCCGTCGCTAGTGGACGCTGGATTAAGCTCGTTCCTAAACCGCGAGAGGAAAAGACGCTGATCCAGAGGCACGAACAGCTTCACGCACATTGCACTCGCTGAACACATAGACACGGCGTCGGTTCTTGGTCGGTATCCAAGCGTGCGAAGGCACAGAGACACGGCACTTCGGCGTGACAAGGATCCTTTGAACACGCCGCCAGCCCTTCCTTTCGACGCGTTGTGCCTTTTTCCTGCGACACTGCACTTTCGTAAACTTTTCCACGTGTTCACAACGGCAAGTCTCAACAATACACAGAGTCTTCAAAAAACTTCTTCGGCGAATGACGACGAACGAGTAGAAAACGTGTCGTCAGCACGCTGGAAAACCGCAGCAAAGGCTAGCAAAAACGGCAAATCGTATCCCAAGCGAGTGAAGCCCGGTGGCTTCACTTGCGCTGCAGCGAACAAGCGGGGAAGCGCGATCCAGCAATTGTCATAGAGATCAGTGACTTTGACAATGCGGCGCGAGGGGCGGGAGCCCTCTCTCTCAAAAGCGCGTGTTGCGTGAGCTGAGTCTTAAAACGCTGTTTCTCGAAACGCGACAAAATCGCTCCTGCAAAAAGTACGCACATAGGTCTATTTAAAATAATAACGGTCGGTTAATAAAATTTTAAAGAAACCTCACAGAAAAAAAAAAAGATTTTTTTTTTTTTTTTTTTAAGTTTGGTTGGAACACGCGTGTCAAAAAAATTAATTTTAGGCGAAAAAAAAATTGTGCAGCACTATTGACGGCGCGAAACGTGGTTTAGGTGGTAGTCACCTCCTTATCAGTTGTTTTCTCAAGGCATTTAGGGCACGTAGCACTTTGAGGTGGATAGAGCGAATGACCATCCCGTTGAGGTCAAAAGAGCGAATGACCATTCCGTGACGTCATAGACTTTGCGCGCATAATTTCAAATTAATCTCGCGCCGTCAATATTGCTGTGAAAAAAAAAAAAAAAATATCGCGTAAAATTTATTTTGCGTTTAGCTGTTTAAAAAAAAACTTTTTTCTTTTTCTTCTCAGGGGCTTTCTAACTACTTTTGAGTAACTAAGTTTTCAGTTTGTAAATTTAGAGGTACAGTTTAGAACCTTACAGAAGCAAATAATGCGCAGCACTTTGTAATGTTTAAAAAAAAAAAAAAAAAAAAAAACTCCATTTAGACTTGTTTTAGCTACTTTTCGGTTTTCATCTGGAGCGCATTTTCGCGCCAACGGTCTGCGCCCCCGTGGCCGAAGCGCACTCTCTCCTCGGAGAGGAAGTGGGAGTTTTCGTAGACCGTGCTCATTCCCCCTCCGCAAAGCCCTCCGCAACGGAGAAGCCGCTACTGCGCGGAGTTCCGGGTATCGTAGCAAGTTGCGGAGAGCGTTGTGGAACGACGAAAACAATCTACGAAAATTTCCTATAAAAAAACAAAAGAACTTCGTCTCATCCTACGATGGACTAAAGGCAAAAGCTACGCTGCCAGATCCAATCACGAGCGACTTAAAAATTGAGTGTTATATCGCTTCGATGCACGTGCCGATGATCGCGTCTCGGATCACTGACGCGGGTGTGCGGACAGTAGTTCGAATCAAGTAGCACTGAGTGAGTCAACGATTTTATATTGCAAAGAAAGCCACGGCATACAGGCTCTGCAGTGTCGAAACTATAGAAATGACGCAGCGCTTTTGGATTCGGAGCATGATTCGTTCGCACCTAATCAATGTTAAGCATGTCCTAGTTTAGCGTGGATCGTGATTGGACCTGGCGGCCCCTGGCTTTGGCCTTTAGTCCATCGTAGGATGAGACAAAGTATAGTATGGAAATTTTTGTTTTTGTTAGAATGTAAGAAGACCTGTGGCCATCATATATGCAATGGCAAAGAATCAAGACCAGAGGCTATCATCAAAAAGCTTTAATTTGCAAGTGTTCTTTGTGAAGCCCAGACACGAGCGCAAACCACAACTGCTCGGAAGTGACAGTGGGGATTGGTCTTTGATAAATCGCATATAGGATGATGATGATGATGATATAATTATAAGAAACAAGCGGATTAAATTCAACTGGTGGCACCCACAATGTACCACTGCATTAATTAGCAGGTATTTCCTGTATGCTCATTTTTCGCTGGATTAAGGTTTGTATGGTAGAAGTGAACATTCATTTCACAAATGAATAACTGCACTTGCACTGGAAGTAAGGTACCTTATCTGATGAGCTATAGAGAATTTAAAAGAAAAATTATATGCAATTCACCTATAGTCGGTGGCAGGTCAAGAACGAAGTGGAAGCTCCTCCCACCCTTTCCAATTCAGCGGAGCGAACGGGGGAGAGGAGGTCGCTTCCTCTCCAGCGTTCGCTCTGACAAAGGGGAGAGAGGTGGGAGGAGCTTCCACTTCGTTCTGGACCTGCCACCAAGTGTACACACAGAACTTATTCGAGGAAAGATATCCTTCGTTTAGCCCATCCAATTTAGACCAATAGCAGATTAGTATTAGCATGCTATTGCTATTGCAAAATAAAATTCGAACAAATAATATTTACAGGAGTGTATAAACAGAATACATCCCAAAACCTGCTTGAAGATTGGGAATGCCAATGCATGTTGTGATTCAGATGAAATCAGGGGTGCAGGTTCTAGTTCTCTAGTGTTGCATGAGGTAGTCGATTGATTCCAGGAGCCCATAGTTTCTGTCTCAGACCACAATGAGCATGAAGAGTCTATCTAACATTCGTGTCAACCTGGAGTCAGTGTCCCGTAAAAAAGAATTCCTGCAAGAGAAACAAACAACACAAGAAAACAGGGAATAAATATAAATAGAATGGAAGTACAGTACAATGAAACTGAAATTGTTACTATGTGTATTTTTTACACCAAAAGAAGGGAAAAGAAAAACAGAGTCGATAAACACAATGTGCTGTCCTTTTTTATTATTTATTTATTTATTTAAACAATGTCAAAGGCGGGGCCCTAGTCTACACGGTGGGACCAAAAGACCGGGACCTGCTGCGAGTAATAGCCGTGCAGTGTACAGACTTGCAAAATAGCTTTTTTTCTATTTCTGTAAGGCTTTAGCACAAAGTAGCAAGAAGAATGCAGCATTAGGGTGTGCTCTAACAAAAACAGTCATAAGGGTGTCATTTCTATTTTGTTTGCTTTCAATTGAATTTTTACGCGAGGTAGCAAAATATGTCCACACAATGGAACAGACCTTGCTTGATTAGGATACATCCTTTTTTCTTGAGAAAAGAATTGCGCTTGAAAGGAGGTGGATATGATTCCCCAGCTGCGCATCGATGCAACTTTGTTGCGTCTATGCGATGCAACAAATATAACTTGCTAAAACATTAATATTTTTATGTATAATACCCACAAGCTTGTCTACTAAAATAATTCAATTGATTTTATTTGAGTTTATTTTTAAACACACACACACAAAAAAAAATAACTTGGCTTCTCTTGAGAATTGGCAGTTCCAGATATGCAACAAAAAACAACCGCATCTACACGTGGTGAATGATGTTGATTGGGGCAAAGCTCTGGTGGTGCTTGTCTGCGTAGACGCTGAGCCGCAGCATGCTGAGCCTTTCGTTCGTTTTCATCCAAGTCACGCTGCGGTCAAATGCTCAAATGCGTATATAACCACGTTCCATACCACACATTCTCTCTCTGACATGGATGAAAACGAACGAAAGGCTCGACATGCTGCGGCTCACCGTCTACGCAGACAAGCACCACCAGAGCTTCGCCCCAATCAACATCATTCACCACGTGGAGATGCGGTTGTTTTTTTTTTTGCCCTACACGAGCACGGGAGCACGTGCTCGTGAGCACGAGCACCCGACGCCGGACATCGGACGGACATGACTAGCCTCTAAGGAGCTTAGCATTACATTGTTTTAAATTAGAAAAATAAACGTTCAGCCTGATTTATGTGGGAGTCAATTACCGGGGGAGGGTTTCATTCTAAAGGAAACACTGAAATGAAAAAATAAAGCTTTTTTTTTAAAGGGCATAAATGGGACACATTCTTAAAATAATTTTTCCACAAAAAAAAAATGTGTGCGATATTTACGTTGTTAGACGCAATTTAGGTGGGAAGTCCCGGCACGCTCTAAGCCCAGCCCCACCTAGCTGTGTTTGGAGATTTGTGTTTGACCTTTGTCCCTCTTGTTTCCTTTCTCCAGGGATTATTTGCGTCATTCTTGTCCAGCTCGCTTGCACCTTTGCATTTAATTGCAATTTAATCATAACCTTAAAAATGCAAGCCTTTCACCCTTGTTGGTGTTAGACTGGTGGCAGCTTATAAAACCCGTTTGCTCTACTGACGTCTAACCCCTGGTTAGCTTAGTTGGTGGAGCGCTCCACTGGAAATGGAGAGGCCCTGGGTTCGATACCTGGACCAGGCAGATACTTTCGGTTGTGCACCAGTCACCTAGCCGTGTTTGAAGATTTGGGTTTGTCCTTTGTCCCTCTTGTTCCCCTTCTCCAGGGATTATTTTCGTCCTTCTTGTCAAGCTCGCTTGCATCTTTGCATTTAATTGCAATTTAATCAAAGCCAAGTTTGTATTTTTTTCTATAAATATACATATACACTCCGTGCGGGAACTATAGGGGGCGCTTTGATAAACGTGCGTAGCGCCGCTAGCGGAGGAGCTGGCGTTCGACAGTGAGGCGCGCCCAGCAGCCTGCGGCGCCTTTACGCGTGCGAAGCTGTGGCGGCGGAAGCGCGCACGGACGGAACTTTTGCTTTTTGAGCCAATAAGTTGAGCGTGACGTTGCATGAGTGCTGGGGCAGATTGAGGAAGGGCATTTAGCTGTTCTCCGCTTCTTATATATTGAGTTTGAGTCGTTATTAGGCGTAATTCCTTTAGTTGCGGTCGAAAAAGGGGTTTCCGAAAAGCAAGACGGCCGCCACCATAATTGCTCTCAGTGGGAAATTTGTTTTTCTCGTCGCTGTAAACGTAGGACTGCTGGGGCGATGATATTTGGAGGCGAGCGCGATGTTCACTAAATTTGTGCACTAAGTGGGCCGAGTTTTATTAAGACAGCAGGTGTGAAAGTTATGGTTCGAACGAATAAAGGAATAAAGCTGTCAGAAATATCCAATATTAGACCCAAAATGTTGTGTTATAACCGGGCTGTGCGAAGTGCAGATTTAGACAGGCAGGTTCTTGGACATGACCGTAACTTGACACAACGGTTATAATACCAAAAATAGGTGGCATACGGAAACCAGGTGGAAATTTGGTTTGGGCGGCGTAACTGAATGGGGAAACGGTTTTGAACGTAAAAGGGCTTTAAATAGAATACCACTCGTCGTGGGAGATGGAGACTTTACATGTAGAAAGGGACTAGTGCACTGTACTTTCAATTGAAACAACGTTGCGAAAAGCGGTTTCAAAGCCTAGAAAACCAAGTTGCTTGCCAACACTCGGTTTTGCCGTCAAAGACTTTTGCGGTCAGCTGTTGTGTAGTAATCTGGTTGTGCGAGGTGCTGATCTTCGGCACACACGTACTTTGACAACCGTAACTTTACAAAACACTTATTATATCTAAAAGAGGTGGCATAGGTTAACCAGATGGAAATATTTTTGGGTGGCGTAACTAAATGGGAGCCGGTTTTGATTGTCAAAGACTGTCAAGAGAATACCACTCATAATGGCCGGGAGGTGCACACTTTACAGGTCGAAAGGGACCAGTGGACGGTACTTCCAGTTCGAACAACTTTGCGATAGGTGGCTCTAAAGCAGAGAAAAAAAATGGTTGTCTACAAGACTCGGGGTGTCGGCGCTCCCCATCCAAAAGGAGGCTGATCAAAAAAGAAAGCACACCACATAAACTTCCAAACATCGATTGTCCAGTGTTTCCAAGTTTCATTGTAGTTTCCCTTAGATTCATATTTGTCACTCTTTGTACCGTCTGAATCTTTCTTCATGAAGTACAGACTGCGTGCCATACTGGTTCGGAAATATCATCGACACGTACGATGGGGACGAAACTTCTTTGGAGGACATTCCTTCAACGAAATTCGCACTGCATACCCGCGAGTGTGCGATGGCATTTCAGTTCGAGCTGAGATATGCAGGCGTTACTAGTACGAAAACAAACGCAGAGCGCAAAGCGGCAGTGCAGAATATCTCAGCCGTGCCGACACAGTGGAAAACATGATCGAGAGACCAAATTTCTTGCGTCGTACGGCACGGGTCCATATCGTTGTCGCTGTCCCACAAAACAGCGGCAAGGTGAAAAACTGTGAAACTTCGTCCCCATGAGATACGACGCATAACTATTGGAGCACTTAACGACGCAGTAGTTCATGCTGTGAACCCAGCGCAACCGCACCGCTCCGACTTCAATGCGTACCAATGTACACGGCGTGGTAGGCGTGGTTTCGTTTCGCTGGGGCTCTCACTGCCAGTCTTCGGTAACGGTCGCGCGGCGGCGCGCCGGTCGCGTCGCACGGAGTGTATAAAGTAGACCAGTTTGTGTGCAATATACGTAAAAATTATTAATGGTTTAGAGCTGTACTTGTTACTCCTGGGGCCCTCAAAGTAGCGTCAACGCGCAATCGGAAAAGTCATCGTTTCCACCCCCTTTCAGTCGCAATTTTTTCTCACGACAACAATGAAGTACTTTTTAAAAGCAACGTCTGTTCCACTGTGTAGACAATTTTTGCTACCTCATAAAAAAATTTAATTGAAAACAAAAAAGGGACATGACACCCCCATGATTGTCCTTATCTGAACACACCCATTATTGTTTATTATAATAGTCGATGTGCAAATGCACGTTAATGCATCTGGAAGTGCGCTTCTCCCTCTAATGGTTTGCACTTCAGAAAAGCAGAATAACAGGAAGCGGCAGTTATGCAAGATGCTCTTCATCTAGCTGGCGTGGCTAACGAAAATGCTGGTGTTCAGAATTAGCACGTTCAGTTTAAGATTGCTTGTTAGTGCTAACCGTGTTGTGGTCTGTAAATATGTTCATTGCTGCACTTTACCAGCGTTAACAGTCAACGCTATTGGTAGTCTTTACTGCAGTCGTTACATCGGCCAGCAAAAGGCTCGATGGCTTCGAACACTGATGCTGACACCGAATGTTCTCCAAGAATCCGGTCGAGAGTGATGTCTTTGATACTGACGTTCAATAAAAACAATCATACTCCCAAAATTCTGGTTTCACAGTTTTGTGGGCAGTAAGACTTGCTAGTTTTCAGAGTTCGCAAGCAGAAACAGTACTCTGTAACGATAGCCTACACAGCATATCACTGCAGCTTCTGTGGTACACCTGTTGAGCTCGTATAACGTGCAAAACAACCCTTGTAACTAGCTCAAACTTAAATTTTAGTTTTTATTTTTAAATTTTCCCATCAGTATGCAGCCTCATCTCCTGCTAGAGCTCTAGCTTTCAACCCCCGGACAGTAATTTACAAATGGAGGACACCTTCCATTTTCTTAAGGTTAGAGCTTCTAAATCAGCTCATAGGCCACCTAGCCCTTTCAGATGCTACATCTAGAAGCATCTGGCACTGCCGTTACTAAAAAATACTTTTGATTTGATATCGAAATGTATCTTGCACTTGAAATAGCTCACCTGATTTCAATGCAACATCACCTAGAATATCCTGAGCTTGTCATTGCCCATCCGATGCTGCTGTTCGGTTTGAATGGAACGTTCTCTGGACTGAAGCTGTCGGATCAGCTGCCTTTGTTCCTCTATCTTCTTCTCCACCTTCGCATGCATCAGTTTGTCCCTACAACAACAACAAAAAAAAAAGTGACTTGGTTCCAATTAGTACTTCAACTAAGGTTTGTGGGATGCTATCATCCTACTGCTATGCTCTGCGTCACCTTACTATAGACCAACACGCGTCCCTGACGTCGCGCAGCTGCAGTGGCACTGTCAACGGCACTACGCATGCGCAGACGCTTCGCTTTTTTTCAATTCGGTTTCTGCGCACACGCAGTGGCCACACCTGGTGTGGGCAAACGCGGGCTTGTTTGTAAACAGCGTGTCGGTCTATAGACTGCAGCAAGTGCTACGAGTCGTCCCAGCTAATCTAGCACTGTGGACCTATCACATGAATATGCACCCCGTGCGTCGCTGCACCCAGTCCGAAAGTCATGTGATAATTACTGGCACAATATTGGATTAGCTTCTATGGCTCGTAGCATCATGTATGGCCCATCATAAAGTGAAACAAAGTATAAGTAGTGCTTTCTATTACTTGATTAGCCACTGCCTTTGTTTATCTGGCTCTTGGTGTCCCTTCTTTAAGTAGAGGCCCACATTGAGGTTTTAGACGTACAGGGTGGGTGAAAGAAACATTTAGAGTTCCTCGTGCATATACTGTATTTACTAGAATCTAATGCAACCTTTTAATACAAAAACTTACAAGTCAACTTCCTTTCACAACTTGCAGAAAACCAATCAAGACAAATACAAGGAGAACAGCAAATAAGGATAAGGATAAAAAACACAATTGTTAAGCCCAAAAATGCTCTTTCCACTAAGATGTGCAATGGCAAATGCTGTCACTTAAAAGTATTCTGTAGATGGAGAAAACACAAAAATTAAGCTACTATGCAATAAATAAAAAAGTTCTGCCATAAACCTTGAGTTTTTCTTGAGAACAGCAGCTGCCGAACCTTCGCATCTTTTATTATGCTCCATTATATAAAAAAAAGGTACCTATGTGCAGGATCCCTAAAAGCTTAAAAGTGTACTCGGGCGATTTTTTGAGCTACCCCAACTAACTACATTTTCAGAATCACCAGCCTTTGCTCTTTCCAGTATGCTATTTTGTATCGCGAAATTCAGAATAGTTATTGTGAAATTGGCAAGTGAATATGATGCCAAAACCAACATTCGAATATACCTGTGCTCTTCAATTTCGTGACGTCAGAGGAAGGCAAGCTTGCAGGTCGAGCGGGCAGTCTAAAAATGAACTACACCGAGCATGTTTCGTGCTACTGTGCGGGCGCTGAAGCGGGCTTCCGAAGCATTCATTTCACGCCACGAAACTGCTTGTAATCAGTTGGAAACAATGTCTACAGTTCAGAGAGTGAACACCTGCCTTCTCCTGATGTCGCTTTTTCACTGTTGCCAGTAGGGACTTTCGCTTTGAAAAACACGGTGGACCAAAATTTAAATTCAACAACTTTGCTAAAAAAATCATTCTGGCCCAATATTTAGGTTACTATTTCAGCAATGTTTGTTGGTGTATTCAGCGAATTTTGAGGCAAATCAGGGACTATGATTTTGTAAAATGTTCTAATCTAGAAGAGGAAAATAAAGACTTCATAAAGCCTTCTTATTAGAAGCCAGTCAGAAGTTAGTTAAAATATACAAAAACATAATTAAGATATTGCAATTCCAAATAGATACCTGTACTCTACACATTTTCAAGATATTGCACAAATATTTTCATTACGAAGGAAAGGCTCTAAGAACCGAAAACTGAGTGCCCAAACTGAAAAGACGACTTAAAGCTGCAAAACGAAAAAAATGCACTTGAAAGTTTGAAAGATGTATAATCTTTAAAAATCGACTGCAATGGCATCAAATTCGAACATAACATAGGTAGGATGTCCAGGAATCATCCAGAGTCACTAAAACTGTCCATCACTGTATGGTGTGATTTTTCTGGCCCCTTTTGTGCCATGTGCCATCAAACACCGTTACATTAGATGCTGGCAGTTTTTGCGGTAGCGGCATAAACTTTCTTGCCAGTAAAAGTCTTGTGGTGTATGCGTTTTAGCAGGCTGAGCATAGCACTGAAGCGCAGAAGTTTGTGGCTTTCAAGTTGACGGATGGTAAAACTCGCACGAGCTCCCACTGTCGTAGCTTTGGTTTCAACCAATGTCTCCATCTGACGTGGCACGTTCAGAAGTTAACATCAAGAGAAAAACCCACTTGAGGCACTCACTCCTCTCTAAGTGTAAAATGGGGGACGATGAAAATCCGGGTCTCTATTGTTCTGCGGAAACATGTTGCGTGAAAACACGTTTTGTGGACACACGTTTCATGACCACATGGTTCATTGACACTGGGTGTTTCAGGGGCAGATGCCCCTGCAACGTTTCGTTGACTACACATTTTTTTTACTAAATCATTAGGAGCTAGCGCGTAATTCACTGAGGTGTGTTTACCCAAGCCTTGGGCCAACCTTCTCTCTTTCCCCCACGTAAACCAGGCAAGACGCAAAAACTTTGTTACAAAAACAGCCGGGTTTTGTTAGACGAAACGTTGCAAGGCTTGTCGATGAAACAAATGCACAAAGCCTTTTGATAAATCGTCGCATGTCAACGAAACAATCTGTCGACGAAGCAATCTGTCGATAAAACATTGTTTGACAAACTGATTGCCACCGTGAAAATCCCTTGCATTTTCCAGCCACACTCGTGACAAGCAGGGCAGATGGCATCCCAGGCGAAAATCAGCCCACTTCCAGCTGGATCATGGAACTGATTCCACCTGGAAATGAGGCAGTTCAGCTGGATTCCAACTGGGTCCAGCTGGGATCCAGCTGGACTGCCTCAATTCCAGCTGGGACCAGTTCCATAATCCAGCTGGAAGTGGGCTGATTTTCGCCTGGGATCGCTCAGAAGTATTGTCAGCACGCCGATGTCGCACATCCCTAAACTTGCACAGCCATAACCACTTGTTCTGTAAACGTTTTTGAAAAACACAATCTTCTTTTACAAAGTGCTGACATATGTGAATGGAGCAGCAAAATTGCACTGGAACAGACGCCTTTGCCATGGCTAGGCTTAGCATGCAGCGATAAAAGTTTCTCCACCGGCATTCTTTGCTTGCTTTTGCGCCGCCTTCCTTATTAAAACTTCTGCTTGCTTCTGTAGTTCCAAACTTGAAAATCACGCTTCTTAGTGTTGTGGCAAATCAAATCGGAGAAACATAGAAAGCGCCTCTGAGCCGAGTGACAGCCTCTCGAAGACGGCCAATATTCGCATCAACTTACTATGTCTTGAGCCACCGCGAGTTAATCAGGCATGTTTTTTTCCTAGTTTCTCGTCCAAATATTGTTTTAATATTTTTATTCATGAAAGTAGGATGTCCAGAAATAATAAAACAAGCAAATTAAAAAAAAAAAAAAAAAAAGAATTTTAAACTAGATTTGATTTTTTAAAGATTTGCATTTGTTCAGTCATCTTATAACAATTCTCATGATTAAGCGATGCCTCATTAAAGCCACAGTGAAAAGCGTGAGACTCTCGAAAGTGCTTTATCTAGAGCAGCATCAGAAGCAGTCTGCTGCACTCTGCTGGAGCCTTATAAAATGGTAAGCAGAGATCTATATTTAAGAATACTTAGTAATAATGAGAAAAAAAAAGTAATGAAATGGCCTTGCTTGGTTTTAACCATTTTGTATGAAGGAACATGTTAGAAAACAATTTTTTGTTTCAAGTACCCCTGATAACTCTGAATATGGATTCAACAAAAGTACCAAAATATTGGCACGCCAATATAACTACCTAGTACTTTTAGATATCAGTAGTACCCAGTACTTATAAATTGGAGTATACTATAGACCGTTCCATTAGGGTCATAGCAGAAAGGGTAATATAGAGAAAAAAATGCCCTCTCCCTTTCACCCCGCATGTCGTCTGATCCGCCGAGTGGGCTGTACCTAGCATCCGACTGGCGTGCAAATTTTGTTTAAAATTGCGTCATTTTGGAACTTTCAAGCGCAGATGTGCAGATTTTGGTATTCCAGTTATCGTGCAATATTATGCTAGACAAAAAGACTAACAGGGTCCAATTGCGCTATTACCTGTGTGCAAATAAAAAAAAAATTGGGAAAACTGTCTCAGATTGGCCGGTCTGTCCGGCGAAAAGTAAATCCGGTTGCTGTATCTTTTTTACTATACAAAGTTTGTACTGGTGTAGGCCTTTAGCGACCATGAGTGGAAGTCTGAAATAATAAATAAAAACATGCTCTCCTGCCGCAATACACGCAGTAGTTGAGGGTAGTACTGCCGGCTCACTTGACTGCTATTTAAAGGACACATGCAAAGGAAAAAAACTTTCTTTTAGACAGCTTAGATGGAAAAAGGATGTCATAAAACGATTTTACAATGAAGAAAAAAATATTTGAGAGCTATATTTACGGCGCTATACGAATTTGTAGTTGGCGCTCGCGGGAGCCGCTGCTGGTCACGTGGTAGGCCCGCGCACCGCCGCGCTGCGTCGCCGTCGCACGCTGAGCGTTGTGCGAACGCCGCTTCAACGCGTTTCTCCACGCCGCCGTCGCCGCCGCCGCACAAGTTTGTCTGCTTCGGGGCGCCGCCGCCGCCTTCTGACCGGCGCACAGGTCTATCACGTCTGCTTGCGCTTTTTCAGGAGTTTCCTTTGGGCTCTAAAAGTTACTCATTCATCTTAGTTTTTTGTTATACTTCAAACAAAGATGAATAAGTTACTTTTAGAGGCCATAGGAAGCTTCCGAAAGAACGCAAGCACCACGTGATAAATAAGGACCAGTCACGTGATAAATACGGACCACTTTTCCGCGGTGCCCGCGGGCGCCAACTACAAATTCGTTTTGCGCCGTAAATATAGCTCTAAAATTTTTTTTTTCTTCGTTGTAAAATTGTTTTATGGTGTCCTTTTTCCATCTAAGCCGTTTAAAAAAAATGTTTTTTTCCTTTGCATGTGTCCTTTAAGTAACGAGAAAAAGATATGCTAGTTGATCATTTACCAAAATAGAACAACAGAGAGCTATAGGCTGAGTTTGGAGTAGCCATGAATATTCTAAGAACGGGAACCACTTCACAACGGCAGCCACGAGCGAGAGTTCAATGTTCCGTACAGCCCGTCGGTACAGCCCAAAGATGGAGAATGGCAACCTCCCGGTTTGTCGTCTGCTAGCGGAGTAGGGCGCGTGCCCTCTCTCTCGTTTTACCCCGCCGAACCCCCCGGATGTATGGAGAGGGCGCTGCTGTCGAACAAAATGGTGCCGCCCAGAGAGCGCTAAATGGAATGGTCTATAATAAGACATGCATGCACTGAAGCATGGAGTGCTCATTTGTCAGGAGCAGAAGGTGTTGGTTCAAAAGTATTAATGCAAAATTATATTGTTCATTCAGAAAACACTGAGGAAAGGAATCACTGTCAGTTCTCCAGAATCAACATTTTTAGCTGATTGCAGTCACACTAGTTTGCAAAGATGCAATTTTGTTTGCAAAACATTATCCACTAAAGCTTGTATTCAAGTAAGTTTCCATTCAAGATTGTATTTTTTGGTAAAAAAAGGAAATACATAAATTGATCATTTCTAATAAATGCAGCAAATCTCACTGCTCTAGCCATATAGAAATGGTAAGCACTCTTGCTTTCCCTTTGGAACGACATAAACTAAAGCAGTTGTAGTAAAACACACAAAACACCTACCTATCCTTGTTTCTTGCAGAAGATTTGCCCAACCTCACAATTTCCCTCTCAGCCTTCTTGATGGCTTCAGTGACCTGAAGTGACTGCAAAAGAGCACATGAAAGATAGAGACTCTGAAGCATACAAAGTGCTACTGTCCATTTTGCAACAAAACAATAAAAAGCACAGCCTATCTGTAACCGTCATATGCTGACAAAATGCAGCACCTTGCCCCCTTTGGTCAAGCTGGAAGGGTATGTTCGAGCTAGTTCACTAATTCTGCCATATTGGCAGCAGTTGAACCTTTTGCTTTCTGAACCAATCCAATTTATATATCTTGAAAATCCCAGACTTGGTAACAAAAAAGGGGACAACACACATACACAGGTTGACATATAGGCGATAGAAAATAAGTGTCGCTCAGCTCAATACAGAAAAGCTAGCTGTAAAACATCTTGCACTTTATCAGGTCGTAACTAGATGGTCAGTGTAATTTTTACACATGTATGTTTTCCTTGCAAACAAAATGGAGAAAAGCAAATTACCCCAGCTATATCAATCCACATATGTACAAGTCATTAAGGGGGGACATGTCCTGGGAGGTTCAAATTTTGAACCATTGTCTCAAATTGATTCAAACTTTAAGGGTGAATTGAACCCCATTAGGATTGATGACATCTAAAGTTTTAGTCTTATAGGCCAATTCTACAACATACTATGTTTAACAAGCTCCAGAAAAAAGTTACTTTATTAGGCTATGTATTTTAGAAAAATAATAATTGCAATCCATAAAATGTTTGATTTAATGTGAAGTAGAATACCCATAGTGCAAGTTAAGGTGAAAATTAAGTGTAGAAAATGCAATTCTAGAGAAAAACAACAACACCCAAAAAGAGCAAATGATTTTCACAAATTTCAGCATTTCAAAATATTCAGTTTTTGTCGTGAAGAATTTAGCTTTCTCAGATTATGAGTACCTTAACTTGTTCCTCAGAAAATGTCAGTCCAAGACACCACTGAATGAAATCTTCACACTTTCAAAATGTCCAATGATACATTTCTTCATACCACATTTCCTGCCAAAAAGTGAAACTGAGAAAAATGCAGTTGAAGTTTCAACTTTAGGTTTCTTACTTTTCTGTGAGACCGAGGTAGGCGAAATTCACCTGGTGCATTGTTAGCACCTTCCTCTTTGAGACTTCCTTGTTCCCCTGGCAATAGCTACCAGTTTGTGTTGTTTGTAGGCACGCTAGCTTTTGTAGCAGGCATACATTCACAGATAAACTGGCAAGAACTAAGAGGCAAATCGCACTAAAGAGCAGCAAAGCAGGAATAGGATCTGAAGTGGAAGATACTGTAAAAGAGAGTTACTGAAGATGATGGACTATCACGTAACTGGGAATGACCAATCGTAAACCCTGTTTCAGGTCTCAGCCAATAAGATTGCCCATACCAAATTTTCAGATTTTTTTTCTGTTTGGATGTATTGGGCTTTCCTGGCCATTGATACTTGTAAACTTGGAAAACTTCTACGGGCAAAATCTAGAGTAAATGGCACTTCCAATGGGGGCAAGATGTTCTAACTATGTTAATTAAGTATGAAGCAGCACTAAATAGAAAACACAAAAAACTTGCTCCCTGCTGACTCGGAGGGCTGCCGACCCGTCGAAAATAATTTATTGCGAGATGAATCCTGCATGTTTATAAATGAAAGTTTCTGAAACCATTCTTTTGAAGTTAATAAACATAAACATATCCTTTTTGAAAAAAACTTTTTTTTTTTTCAGAAAAATGTGAATTCCGAGGCCATGTCCCCCCTTAAAAAAAGAAAAGGAAAAAAAGACCACTTACTTTTTAAGTTCAATATTAAAAAGTTTGCTTTTTAATATTAAAGTTGAAAATAAAAAAAAATTAAAATATGCACATGTAAAAGAGAACGCAACTTCCAGTCCAGAAGCGTGGTTTCCACAGTCAGCACTGAACTTAAGCAGGGAACACATGAGTGATGCAAACGGGCGCTGTGCAGCAACACTTATAGCAACCGGTGCTGGCGTCCCATGTCACATCCTCGCGGTGCTGCAGCGCTAGGATCTGGTTGGTTCAGAAAAGGTCACACAGTGCGACTGTGGAGCACCTGGCAGCGAGTGGCAAGTGTAGTGCGGCACCCAGTTTCACCGCTCATATGTTCCATGCTCTACCATCCTCACATTTATTTTAAGGCGCAGCTTTTAGGCGCCCGTTTCCGGCTTGAGCGGTGTTGCCGTCGGCGTTGCTGTAATTGCGCGGTGCATTATGGGTAAATTTCAATTTCCCCGCTAAATCTAGCAAAAAATTTCCCCGTTAAATCTAGCGGAAAAATCTCCCTGCTAAATCTAGCAGAAAAATTTCCCCGCTAAATCTAGTGGAAAAATTTCTCTGGGGGGTCACGTGACCTTGGAGGGGGGGGGGGGGGGGGGGGACGTGACCACTCAAGATCACGTGATCCCTCCCCTGGTCATGTGACCCCCCCCCCCCAGAATGCGTGACCCCCAGTACCCTTCCCTCCTCCTCCTCCTTCTCAAGAGCTGCGCTCTAATTCGGCATTACAGGGAGTTGTAAGCGGCTTTCATTTTTTATTTGCAACAAATTAATGTCATAAGGACTGAACATACTACATGCAAAGCTGATTTTGATGCCAACAGATTGTGGCATAGATGACAGAGTTTGCTAATAAAGTTTGAAAAAGGATAATGAATGTGTCTCATGTACTCCAAGACAGCCGAGGTTGCCTGATGGGGCCTAAACATACCTCAACACTGAGTCCCTTCGAAGACGTCGACTTGATGTCTTGACTAGCTGACTTCTCTTTGGCAAGGAGAGATTGAGCTCCACCGCCTTTGTTGTCTGCACGGTCTAGAACGGAAATTTTGAACAAATAATGATTTTCCACATTGCGTCTCAGTTCAGCTAGCAGCATTCATGAACCTGTTGCATACCTATGCACTGTGCACCTACAACACAAGTTTACTTTGAGTGTTGCTTTGTATGGTACCCAACACATGCTTGCTTTCTCAGTTCATTGGCAAACAAGAAAGATGAAAATAGATTGCAAAATATACGAGCAAAAGGGGAAACTGCAAGAGGAAGGCTAGATTAAAGAACACTCCATTCACGTACATTATTGCCACTGCCCTCCCCCTTCCATCAAATTTGCATAATATAGAGTATTAAAACTGTACCCATAATGAGTCCCTCTCTCCTCCTTGGTTCAGCCCTCAAGCCCATCTCTATACTCAAGCCCTAGAAGAAAACTTTTTGGCACAGCTCCTGTACAAGTAGAGTGCAATATGACACCACGTCGCATGGTCTTCATGGCTATTGCTTTTTCTTTTTAGAGGTATACATTAACATAATAAAAAATCAAAGTACCCTCAACCTCTTTGCCAGAGTATTAGCCTCCAAAAAGCTACGAGAAAAATTATATAGCACAATGGCGTTCACCTCTTATACTAAAGGGTTGACCATGAGACAAGTAGAAGGTAACTGAAGGGCAGAGAGCAAGATAGGCACATCCATATAAATGACCAAAACGGAGATACAGTAAAACCTCGTTATAACAAAGTTGAAGGAGCGATCGTAATTATTTCGTTATAACCATTAGTTTGTTATAGCCAATGTCCATTTCTTCCCACTATTAGCAAGCAAGGGGAATCATGATTGCTTTGTTATATCCATTAGTTTGTTATATCCCATTTTGTTATAACGAGGTTTTACTGTACAGTCTTTGGAAATGATTTCATAAAGATGGAGCCCCAGCAAATAATATTAAGCATATCCAGATAAACAAACAGGCTAAATTTTATTCAATCCTAAAGGGGATACTTCAACGAAATTTGAAATATATCCGTCGTGTTCCGAAATAGGCTGAATATGATCCACAATGTCCATAAATGACAAACGCACGTTTGTATTCTGAGCCTGATGACTGTATTTTTCGCTATAAACGGCCCACTTTGGCAAGCGCTTGGAAAGCATCCAGCGGAGAGCAAGTGACATCCGGCGCAGTCGTGACGAAGATTGCCTCGGGATGAGCAAAGCTGCGGCAAGGCTGACGTCAACAGTACGTCCCAGCCACTGAAGCACGCTAGCGATCGGACCACCGAAACTAACCCCGAAGCTGCTTTTGTACGAATTTTGAGTTAATCCTCTATAATCTTGTAGAGGGACAATAGCGACGTCTGGGACACACAAAAGAGAGTCCCAATGGGGAGTTCCTTCTTTCCCTCTTTTCTCGTGGTGGCCGAAGGTGAGACGGGCATCGTCACTCCTTGTGAAGGTTCCTAGACGGGCATTACAAACGAGGCTTTAGCGACATCTACCAGGTGCTCTTTGCTAATTGTTTAATTCCTTTTAAAATTCCTTTTCATGTCTTTTCTTAACGAGATATTGGTGTGTCTGATGTGATACTACTCCCTCGAACACGAATAGACCAAGAAATAAGTGCCGAAATTTCGTTGTAGTATCCCTTTAAAAGAAATTTAGGCCAAAAGAAGGTGGTTACATGCAAAGGTCCTCTTATCTTAAAACTGATACACCCACCTTGATTCCAACCCTTCAATTCAAAGCTGCAAGTGCTTCTGAAAAATCTTGTAATATATTTAATTCTGCCTCATCAGAACTGTGTTATAGATAGAGTTTTGTGTTTTCGGAGTTATTTTTCTGTCAAATTCGAAGGGTGATTTTCAGGGTTTACTTTTTGCCGAAAATTCAGAGTTTATCAAAGTTTCATATTGTTACATTCCCGATTCTCTGAAATTCAGAATATAATTTTGCAGTTTTTCCTATTTTTAAAAAATCTAGATTTGAAAGAATGTGCTTGTAGTAAATAATATTTCTTCAGCTGGTTTTGGCATTGGTGCCCTTGCTATTGGCAATATTCTGTCACACAACAAAACTTGGAAGAAAGTGTTGCTTCAATAAAAGTTAATACCTTAACTCCTAGTTCATAGCTTTCACTGTTAAAAAAACACAACACGTCTTTCCTCTAAGAAGTGCAAATAGTATGGTTTAAACTGGGAACTGCAACAGTGATTTTTATTGCGACCTATAAATACAACAACTTGTTCACCGGAATGAACCTTGACGAAATAAACGGTAGACCCCTTTTGTCAATGATCCTGAAATTTGAAAGGAAACTGAGGTGGCATTTTCTCAAGACTATCGACTTTGTGCACTGACTAAACTTTATTATGTATTACCATTTTTTTTTTTATTGGGACAGCGGAATTCGGAATTTATCAGATAAATCTCTATGGACAAATATTTTATTGGAGGCGTTTTTCTGGGTTTTTTGGATTTATCCAAAAACATGGAATCCTAGCGTATAGTATACTATACATGCAAACTTCCTGACAACCTGTGGCATTTACAGCGACCTCTGCCACAACTGCTTACAAAAAACATGTAGAGAACATTTCTTATAAGAGAATGTCTATTGGATGTCTGCTGTTAAATGCTCCAGTAGTACTTTTCTCTTTAGATGTTTGCAAAACAAGGGGAGGACTAAGGATATCCCTCTGACAGATATACGATACTAAAAATCATTAGTAGCCTTGACATGACAGCTAAAGACGCCAATACATAACAAACTTTTGACTGACGAATGAGATAACAAATGTTCAACCATAATGCTGTGGAGCAACTCACGCTTCTTTGAAAAGATCTGTCCATTGAGGAAGTCGAAGACGGATTCAGGCTTAGAGGCTTTGTGGTACTGCCTCTGCAGCTTCTCTTCCTGCCTCTGCAGCTTCAGCAGCATTTTCCTCTGGACTTTGGCTGAGTTTTGTGTCAGGCCTTTCTCCCTTAATTCCATACACTTGTCCAAGGACTTGCCTGGTACATGAAGTCAAAGCATCACTATAAACACTTTAGCTTGGTAGAAAGAGACTAACTTCTTTATGTTGTAAGCCATGCAAGTGAGACAGTGGCTTGTTGTGCAAAACAACCTCCCCTCTTTAAAAGTTTGCCCTCTCGTAGTTAAACCGCTTGGATTTCTCAGCTCTTTCAGTGTTGTTTCCTTGTGGGAGTTTGGTTCGAGAAGTGATAACCAAAAAGAAGAAGTGCATATCTTGTTACCAAAAACGTTTGCCTCATTTTTAAGCAAATAACTAGGGTTTTAAATCTTAGTCCTAAAACATTCAGCTTGAAAAACCAAACTTATATATTTTTGGGCCAAATTGACCTGAGAAGTTGATGTACTTCGGAAAAGCATTGAAATATTTTCTAAATATACACTGTAGTCTCGTGTGAATAGTGGATTTTGAGTTCGAAGCGAATTCAAAGCGAATACTGGTTTTGGCAGAATATTTTCGATGCATATATTGAATAGTTTTTCCACGCCTTTCACTACCATTGCGTAATGCTTAAACGAAAACCCAGCTAACTTGTGAAGGTTGTTCCACTCGGTCATTTATAAGCTAAGTTTATCTTTTTTTTTTATCTGATGTCTCGGGATGGCAAGTGAACAACAAATTTGACATAAAATGAATCCTATAGAGATAACCAACTATACCCAATTGAGTGAATTTACAAATTTTGCTAAATAAAATATGCCTTCTTTAATCTCGAGTTAAAAAAATAAATAATTGCGCATGTTGAACGCAGGGTGTAAGGGCATCTCTGCCAAACATACTATACTCTTGGATAACAATCAGTTTAATTTTTGAACTTTTACTACAATGCAGATATACACACTCACAAAGTTTCTATTTATTCCCAAATTCAACCGGCACATGTGCACCATCCCGATTTGAATGTATGCTTTTCTTCCAAGCATGCAATTGCAATATTCATACTTTTCCAAGTGTTTATCGCGGCGGGTTACCCTGTTAAGTGTGCTTCTTACCGAGCACCGGTGCTCAGAAAGAAGCACACTCAACAGGGCTAACCCACCGCAATCAACACTTTGAAAAACGCAAATAGTGCAGCTCTTCTCGAAGCAAATATCGAATAGTCTATCATTCAAAACTACTATTCGACATTTCGAATATTCGCACAACCCTAGTACATTCTGTTCAAAAACTGTAGTGAAAATTCAGAATGATAAGTCAAGAGAGGCTAAAAAAAGAGGACAACTTACCAGCAGGTAAGATGACAGCTTCCACTGGCTCTGTTCGACCGTTGCCTCTTATTCCCAAGCCTTCCCTAAAAAACAAAAAATATTATTCTTTAAAGCTCGGCCGATTGACCAGAACAAACAATCCTGATAATTTTATATTGTGTTCATTTAACCCTAACCAGACTACAGCACACAGAGTTGTAAAGACTGCTCCTGAAACTTAAGGACACCATAACTAAGTGTAATTTTGCAGTAGAGAAGGCTACATATTTACTACTGTGAGTAAGTATGCGTCGCATTTACTTGAAAATTTTCAATAAAAGTTCTGCTCCTTGTTTTTCCACAGGGTATGTAGATATTCAGTCATTCAGATCAATAAAAGAAGGTTCCAGAATACGATCAGCAATGGAATTCTGAGCTCAGGAAAATGATGCCTAGTTCCCCGATGCAAGTCATTCTCTTGGGTGCAATATTAGTTTTGCTCTTTTGTTTGTTAGGGGCTCATTCCACAAGTTGCATTTATTCATTTTCTATGGTCTGCAATAAAATAAAAGGCTAACCTACAATACAAAATAGTATTGCATTTTGGAATAAATACAGTGAATACTACATTGTTTCCAACATTGGCCAATCCAGATAATATCTCAGCATAAATCTGATTAAATTTAAGTGCAAAAACCTGTAAATTCATTACACATTGTCGCTGTTGACTAAGAAATGTTCTTAGGTTCTAAACCATATCGGTGGATTCGAGGTGCTTTTGGTATTTTATAAACTACTAAGCCAGTGGCATAGCCAGGGGCGGAAGCTTATGGGGCTTCAGACCCCCACCCCACCCCCCTTCCCGAAATCCAGCCGACGTTATAATATCCCTACATATGCACTTTTACCCCCCCTCCCCTCCTTTGCCCACCAAGTCATGGACATCCCAGCCACCTCAGCAACCTACCAACCAACCAACCAACCAACCAACCAACCAACCAACCCCAACCCCCTCCCAGAAGAAATTTCCTGGTTATGCTACTGCCCTAAGCCTGACAGCAGGCAAAATATTCTTTGCTATCAATTTCCTACCGGGCGCGTGAGGACAAATTCAAGACGTAGTGCCGATGTGAGTAGCAACATCAGTTAGTGCACTGCTAACTGACAACCTTGCTCACTCAGTAAACAGACATGCTTCCATATCTGGTTGAAAACATCAACCTGTCCTCTAGTGAAGTGTTTAAGAATCATAACTATCATAACTCACAAGTTATACAGAATATGACCTAACAGTTTTCTTTCACCTAACCTGAAATAAAAGGGTATGCACAAGCCACTTGAGTAAAGTGGATGCGGTATTCAGGCTGTGCCATATTCTGCTAAATGAAAAAGCAACATTGCTGTGGTCTTGGAAGCCAAAAAACTTCAAGGCCCTTTACTACCCTAAACATATGTATGTTTGAATGAAATCCAACAAAGTCTGCATGATCTGATTCACTAGCAATTTGATTTAATTTCCTTCAACTGGATCTCATCCAATTTCAGCACTTGATTTAAACCAAGAGACTTTGGCACAACAAAAGTTCTTTGCCTCAATTTCACTTACCTTAGAAATCGGTATAAATTTGGACAACTACTACAACAATGTCCAACAAATGTCTAATGTACTATTTATAACTGATTAATTGTCAAAATTAGCTTATGTTTCATGGCATGCACAGTGTGGTTATACTGACTGACTGTCCATTATAAATAAAAATATATATGTTTTATGTTAATTACCAAAAAAATTTCAAGAGCCTACAAATTAAAGATAATTACCCCCAGACATAGCCCATCTTCTCCATGAGTTTGGATCCAATACCCTAGAAAGAAAAAAAGCACAAAACAAACCAAAAGGTGAGGCAAAGCACTATCCTTTAGAGTATTCAAGAAATTACTTAATATAATGCCTCACCTTCGTATGTTTTTCCCAGAGACCAAGAGGAAAGCTCGCAGACTCGTTGGGCATCCAGGCTATCACAGGTACAGATGCATCTTCCTCACTGGCTTCGCTCGGTGGAAGGCACATTTCACTCGGCCCGTCCTCCGTGCTCAGATCTAAGTCTGAGTCAGAATCAGAGTCTTCGGCCCCACCATAGTCCCCCAATGGCAAGACATCTTCAGCGGCCACCGAGATTGCCTTTCCCGAACGAGATAACCTGACCATGATTTTCCCGGCACTGCTCTTTGAGAGCGTCGATGCCTGGTCGGAGTCAACAGTTGCCAGCTGCCAGAGGCCGTCGGAATCGTTCCGGATGAGGCACGTCGACCCTAGCTGCATGGAAGAGAAGCTCGGCTCCGCATACTCTTGGAGATCCGACAATGGCACTGCGTGGCCATGCGAAAAGCGGCAGCGTTCCGCGCTGAACTTGCAGTGTCCTTCCAAGAAGAAGGAACACGGTTTCATGGATGGAGTAGTAGGATGAGTGAACATCACCTGGATGAGAACAAAAAAACAAAAGTGTGAAGGGAAGATTTTGAATAAAGTACAAGCCATCATTTATAGAGATCTTGAAGGAAGCAGCAAAAAAGCTATTGACTGCTGTTCAATGTACAGGCACCCCAAAGGTCTGGAATGAATTGATGGTCTATTTTTCTTTGGAGATGCCATAACAGAGTACCTAAATATGTTTGATTTTAAGCACTGCCTAGCCTGCTGAACCCAGAAGCCAAGTAACCTGCCTGGTTCCAACGCGACAGCGCACCTGTTCATTATGCAACTATTGTGCCATATATATGTTTATCACTGGTGCCCAGGAAAAGGTATAATGGATCCTGCAAAACCCAGACCTGGCAACACCTGGCTTTTCTTTGGATACACTTTAAAAATCACTGATTATGCGGCAAAGATTGTTGACCCGCAGCACCTGGCATCCAAAGTCAGGCACCCTTGTCAGTATATTGATCCTACTATCATTAACCGAATGTTAACGACAGCATCGACTGGATCTGATGTTTTGTAAATAAAGGGGTTCATTCCAAGCATGTCGTATGAAACTCCCAATGATCCCAGACTTTTGGGGTACCTGGTAGTTTCTGGAGTGACTCCCAGTGTGTTGTGTTTTGGCATTTTTTATAGGCTCTAAAGCCATTGTTTTGGTTATGTCTGAGTGAACACCTTTGTAAAAGCACGAATGAGGACGTTTTTCTGGGCGACTCTTAATTAATCAAATCGGTGACCTCGTTTATGCTTCTGTGGCAACTCAATTTTACTCAGTATGGCCGTAAAGAAGCGAAGTATCCCCTGCCCTTGGACGTTCAGTGCTTAGAGTACTCATTGTATGTCATGGCATAACACCTAAAGATAAAATCAGCAAAGGGCTGAGGAACAATACTGGGCATCAGAAGACCTTCTTCATGTACCAGGATGGCATTGCAACCAGCCTTGATTAAACTGCAAACCAGACAGGCCAGAATCCTTAGTAGGAAGGCTACCGGTTTCAAAGATCGCTTGGTTCGAGAGATTTTGGTATGAACTGTGTGCAAGCATGGTACGAGCAAGCATGATAACTTCTTGCAGCGCAAGGAAGCTAGATCTTGTTAGCTGCACAGAGCTATAGTAGCCTAGATTAAGCTCTGGACACACCGCTTTTACATTCATTGTGGTTCATACTTTGTCGCCAAATCGTCACAAAGAAGCTACTTCTTAATGCTCCCTAATGACACAATTTCTTTCATAACAAGAAATCCCCAGGACCCAGTTTCCATTAGATTACAACAAATCCCGACAGGTGAAACCACTTCTCTATAAAAATGAAAGATGATATAAGCCCGACGTCGTGCACCTCGACCAGAAATCGCTATAAGCACGATGTGGAGAGCTTGTAGAGCTCACACTATTTAGTGGTGGGTTTCAGGTCCCTAGCATTTTGTCAAAACATGTATCGTGGAAACACATTTCGCGGACAACTTTTTCGTGAATATGCATTTCAGGGGCACACATTTCGTCAACACTGTTCCGTTTCGTAGACACATGCTCCTGCAACATTTCGTCGACAGGCTATTTTTTTTTACCAAGTGTGTATTCCCACTCCTCCACCTCCCCCGTAAACCAGGCAGGATGCAAAAAGTTTTGCATCATGTGTAAAGTCACTTTCAGTCGCAGTGCCATTACATCCTGCATATAGACGCTTTGCACCTAACGTCATCCCATCAGTTCTTTGGCCACCACTAGAAAAGAGGGGGAAGCAGCTTCCTTCTCTCTCTTCTGTGGTGGTGCAAAATGAATGATCTGACGTCAGTGCAAACTCAAAGCATGCATAGCATTCTTCTTAAAAAAAAAATATGAATTGTAGGCTGACATATCCCATTCTTTCCTTGCTCTCTTTTTCAGGGACATAAACTAATACGAGTTGAAATATGTTGCCAGCCAAAACAATACAGCACTCACATTCACTCTGATGTCATCCACATGAGCTATGTCAGCCGCCTCTACGGACAGTACAATCGCATTGTGGTATTCCATTTGTCCCCAGTCCTTTGAGTACGGTGCCCGAACTTTGGACCCTTCCAGATGGTCGGTGAGCTCAGCAAGTTCTTTGCTATGGTCCTCCTCGGCAGCGGAACCAGCGACATCGGCCGGCCCGGACGTGCCTCCCAAGCCGGCAATCTCCGCCTGGACACCGTCGAAGAATACCATTTGTAACAGGGTCCGTGATGTCAGTTAATTAAAGGGCAGGAGAGCGGGGGCTGCGGTTATTTTGCAGAATCACGTTTGACACAAGTTAAGAGATACAACGTGAAGGGCACTCACCTGAAACCTCGCAAATTCGTCGTCGATGCTTTGGGAAGAGTCATCCAGCGATCGCCGTCCCTCTGTCGCCTCTGTTGCGGGATTCTGAGCATGGGTAGCTTGTAAACTAGCTGCGCACAGGAGACGACCTGTCTGTCAACCATCGCGACTTGGGTACCGGAGCCATGACTTACTTTTTGTGAGGCATATTACTTCTTCCAGGTTTTGTTTTAGTTCCAGGAGATCGCTAGCCTGTGCGTCGTCCGATGATTCTAGTGCTATGTGAACGGCTTGGAGCTGCGTGCGGATTCGTGCCAGTTACGAATCTTGGTCGCGCATCGACATCGTTTTTCAAATGAAGCACGAAGGCACCGGCTTACCTGTTGTTCATATTGCTTCAGAGATTCTTCCAGAGCATAACGTTCGTTTGTATCCATGGCTACGGGCTACATTTCACGAGAAATTCAAGAACAAATTCAGTTGCACGATTAGCGAACTACCAATGAACATTACAAAGCTACGCGAGCAGCCATCTTGATATCATGGTTAACAGATCGTCGATTCACGGATTAGCCAAACTTGGATTTACTGTGGAGACGAGTGGGGTAATCGCGGTAGTTTCCTTAATCACTGCGCTCAATTGTACCCAAAATATTTATCTTGTAAAGCTTTAAAATTATTTTTTAACGTTTTCAATTGCGTTTAAAGCATAAATTGGTTTCCCCACTAACCAAAACAACAGGGCTCGATCGAGAAAACGGAACTCTGTTTTTCGTCGAAAATTCGAGATTATGACATTTTCTGGTTCAATACTACACTAGTGTGAACTCTAGTCAATAACGATCAATATAAACAAATGTAAAAAAAAAAGGGATAACACGTAAAGCCAATTTCAATTTGGCTCACAGTATTAAATTAAAGAGATACTACAACGAAATTTCGACGCTCATTCTTTGGTCTATAAGTCTTCAAAGGAGCAGTATCACCGCTCCTTTGATACTGCTATCCCGCCGATCCCGCCCATACATCAAAAGTGGTCCCCACTGATCTCAATGACAATTGCTGGATCGCGCTTGCCGCTCCCGCAAGTGAAGCCACCGGACTTCACTCGCTTGGGATACGATTTGCCGTTTTTGCTAGCCTTTGCTGCGGTTTTCCAGCGTGCTGTGGACACGTTTTCTACTCGTTCGTCGTCATTCGCCGAAGAAGCTTTTTGAAGACTGTGTATTGTTGAGACTCGCCGTCGTGAACACGTGGAAAATTTTACGAAAGTGCAGTGTCGCAGGAGAAAGGCACAACGCGTCGAAAGGAAGGGCTGGCGGCGTGTTCAAAGCTTCCTTGGCCCGCCGAAGTGCCGTGTCTCTGTGCCTTCGCACGCTTGGATACCGACCAAGAATCGAAGCCGTGTGGATGCGTTTTGCGAGTGCAATGTGCGTGAAGCCCTATCAAAAGGTAGAACTCGTCGAAAACAAGTGTCGCCGGTGTCGCGGCGTGATCAAAGCTTCCTTGGCACGCCGAGTGATGCATCTTTGTGCCTTCGCACGCTTGGATACCGGTCAAGAATTGACGCCGCGCCAAAGTTCTGAACGTGTGTCGCGCGTAGAAGCCTTTAGATCATTTATATATACACTCCGTGCGACGCGACTGGCGCGCCGCCGCGCGGCCGGTACCGAAGGTAGGCAGTGAGAACCCCAGAGAAAACGAAACCGAAACCACGCCGCGTACGTTGGTACGCATTGAAGTCGGAGTGGTGCGGTTGCGCTGGGTTCACAGCATGAAGTGCTGCCTGTGCTGCGTCATTAAGTGCTTCAATAATTATGCGTCGTATCTCGTGGAGACAAAGTTTCACAGTTTTTCACCTCGCCGATGTTTTGTGGGACAGCGACAACGATGGACCCGCGCCGTACGACGCGAGAAATTTGGTCTCCCGATCATGTCTGCCACTGTATCGGCACGGCTGACATATTCTACACTGCCGCTTTGCGCTCTGCGTTTGTTTTCGTACCAGTAACGCCTACATGTGTCAGCGCCGATGGGACGAACTGAAATGCCATCCCACAGTCGCGGGTATGCAGTGCCAATTTCGTTGGAGGAATGCCCTCCAAAGAAGTTTCGTCCCCATCGTACGTGTCGATGATATTTCCGGACAAGTATGGCACGCAATCTGTACTCCATGAAGAACGATTCGAACGGTAAAAAAAGTGACAAATATAAATCTAAAGAAAACAACAATGAAACTCGGAATCACTGGAGAATCGACGTTTGAGTATGGAAGTTTCTGTGGTGTGCTTTCTTTCTTGATCAGCGTCCTTTTCTGCTGGCACCCCGAGTTCTGTAGACAACGCTGGCACCCCGAGTTCTGTAGCCAACAATTTTTTTTCTCGGCTTTAGAGTCACCTATCGCAAAGTGGTTCGAACTGGAAGTACCGTCCACTGGTCCCTTCCTACCTGTAAAGTGTGCACCTCCCACGACGAGTGGTATTATCCGACAGCCTTTGAAGGTAAAAGCCAGTTCCCAGTTACGCCGCCCGAACTAAATTTCCACCTGGTTTCGCTATGCCAACTCTTTTTGTTATAATAAGTGTTGTGCCAAGTGACGGTCACGTCAAAGTACCTGTGCGCCGAAAATCAGCACCTCGCACAACAGGTTAATACACAACAGCTGACCGCAAAAGCCCTTGGCGGCCAAACCGTGTTATGGCCGACAACTTTGTTTCCTCGGCTTTGGAACCACCTTTCGTAAAGTTGTTTAAATTGGAAGTACAGTCCCCCACTAGTCCCTTCCTACCTGTAAAGTCTCCACCTCCCCCGACCAATGGTATTCTCCTGACAGCCTTTTCATGGTCAAAACCGGTACCCATTGAGTTGCGCCGCCCAAACCAAATTTTCACCTGGTTTCCCTATGCCACCTTTTTTTTTTTTTGTATATTAAGTGCTGTGTCATGTTACTGTCAAGTCTAAGCACCTGTGTGCCCAAATCTGCAATTTGCACAGCCCGCTATAACACAACATTTTGGGTCCAATATTGGATATCCCGTACAGCTTTGTTTCTTTATTCGTTAGAAACCTAACTTTCACACCTGCTGTCTTAAAGACGGCACTCTTCGAGCACATACTTAGTGAACATCTCACTCGCCTCCAAATATCATCGTTACAGCAGTCCTAGGTTTACAGCGATGAGCGAAATGAATTTCCCACTCGGAGCAATTAAGGTGGCGGCCGTCTTGTTTTTCGGAAAATTGCTCCAACTCCTTTTTCGGCCGCAACGAGAGAAATTACCCCTAATAACAACTCAAACTCAATATATAAGAAGTGGAGAACAGCTAAATGCCCTTCTGCCCCAGCACTCATGCAACGTCACCTTCAACTTATCCGCTCAAAAAGCAAAAGTTTCGTCCGCGCGCGCTTCCGCCGCCACAGCTTGGCATGCGAAAAGGCGCCGCAGACTGCTGAACGCGCCTCACAGTTGAACGCCAGCTCCTCCGCTAGCGGCGCTGTGCGCGTTTTTCAAAGCGCCCCCTATAGTTCCCGCACGGAGTGTATATCGGCCACGGAGTTCTGGATCGTCCAGCTGTTCCGGTGAGTTGCTATAAATAAAATGGAGAGATCTGTATGTGTTCTTATGTACTATATTAACCATGGCTATGTCCCAAATCTACTCTAATAGATTCCGTGGGAGCACGAATAGGGCAACGTTGTGGAGCCAGGGGGGTTTTCGAAAGCAAAAGTACAAGACGGCGAGAATGAAAATCTTTGAAGCGCGGCCGATATGGTCGTGTGCAATCTGCTGACCAATTACGATCAGGCGAGCCGCGCTCAAACGTCAAGTGCAATTAAGTAGGTTGATAATAAGCCAGCACTGATCAGTGATGAGGAGCTGTTGTGCACGGTATTGTGTAAATCGTCTAAGGACGAAAAAAAGACGTACCTTCCCCCCATCTTCCGTCGCTAGTGGACGCTGGATTAAGCTCGTTCCTAAACCGCGAGGGGAAAAGACGCTGATCCAGAGGCACGAACAGCTTCACGCACATTGCACTCGCTAGACACATACACACGGCGTCGGTTCTTGGTCGGTATCCAAGCGTGCGAAGGCACAGACACGGCACTTCGGCGTGCCAAGGAAGCTTTGAACACGCCGCCAGCCCTTCCTTTCGACGCGTTGTGCCTTTTTCCTGCGACACTGCACTTTCGTAAAATTTTCCACGTGTTCACAACGGCAAGTCTCAACAATACACAGAGTCTTCAAAAAACTTCTTCGGCGAATGACGACGAACGAGTAGAAAACGTGTCCACAGCACGCTGGAAAACCGCAGCAAAGGCTAGCAAAAACGGCAAATCGTATCCCAAGCGAGTGAAGTCCGGTGGCTTCACTTGCGCTGCAGCGAACAAGCGGGGAAGCGCGATCCAGCAATTGTCATAGAGATCAGTGGTGGTCCCAATGTGGCAACAAATGACGTCACAGAAGCCGGAGTGTCATGCTGTTGCCTGTCGCGATCCTGGCAGTTGGCCGTAGAAATGCTGGCGAAAAGCATGAGTGTCGCTGTCGTCACGGCGTCTCAACTTCCGGCTGCTCTAGCTTCCGTGGACTGTCACAGTGGGGAGCGACCTGCAGCAGAACAGGCGTCTGCCATATCCACCACAGCTGCTGAGACGCCACCAGGGTCGCGACCGGCGACAGCATGACACTTGTATGACGTCATCAGGCGGAAATCAAGGGACCACTTTTTTGGGCGCGGTAAACACACCAGTCAGAGATGCGTTCCAGGCACCATAGTGTTGCAGGCGCGCTCGCCGCACAGACACGCAGCGCCATGGGGCAGCGGTCACTGAAACTGACGCGCGCAGCAGCCAATGGAAGCCTCGTCGACGCGCGCCAACCATTGGGGCCGAAGGTGGAATCCATCAGCTCTGTCCCACTCCTTTGGGATTAGGGAAGCTAGATGACGTTGTCTAGGCTTTTCGCGTGGTTTCATAGCTGGGAGCTGGCTTCACTTGGAGAAAGGATATAAGGTGCTGTTTGGCGCACTTCAAATTGATGATGTTGGCTCGCTCCATGGGACCAGTGTAGAGCCTTTCCACTTCACGTGAAGATGAAGGACCAGCAAAGCTGTTATCCTTACCACATCTACGACGATGCCTAGAGGACGACTTCTTGGACGACCTCAAGGACGACTTCTAGGATGGCCTCGAGGATGACACCTAAGACCCCCTCAGGGGCGACGGCTAGGACGACTTCAACGACGACGTCTAGGACGTCCTCAAGGACAACCTCGAGGACGATGTCAAAAACGACCTCAAGGGTGACTTCTAGGACGACCTCGAGGACAACCTCTCCGACAACCTCAAGGGCAACGTCTAGGACAACCTCAAGGACAACCTTGAGGACAACGCCTAGAGGACGTCGTCTTGGAGGACGATTTCTACAACGACGCCTAGAGAAATTCAGCCTTTCCGCTCTGGTGAAAACCAGAGTTGAAAGGTTGCCACCATTAGTGAGCGACGGCAGCAACCAGACAACTGGCGAGCCGGTTGTTTGGTTGCCACTATCGCTCTTAGATGGCGGTAGCTGTTAGAGTTTTGTGTCGACATTTGATTGCCTGCAGACACGATACTGGGAAAACTAGTCCTTAACAGCTCCGCTGTCAAAATTTAACGATTAGCAATAGAGCACTTGGTGGATATCGCTAAAGCCTCATTTGTAATGTTCATCTAGGAACCTTGAGAGGTAGTGACTAACTGTCTCGCCTAGAACCAATGTTATTAGATTAGCTCAGTTACGGACCTGCTCACTGACGCTGCATACACGAGCAGTACCCCCGTCACTCACAACTCGCACCCAGCTGTTCGGCGCACTGGACGGCTGCTATGGTAACTGCAGTGTATTCTATGGAATACGTACGTTTCGAAGCACAGCATCTAGATGGTGTTCCACCATACTCTATGGAATGCACAGTTCGTAAACGAAAATCTAGATGGCGCTTCGAACGACGGGAGGCTAGAGTGCCTTCATACGCACACGCACTTTTGCTTGAGTGGTTACATCTGAACCGTTTTTCCGCTCCATGGTTTTTTTTTATGCATTTTGAAGTATGTGCAATCCGGTGTCACTCAGCTCGAGCGTGTAGCTTTGGCTAATGCATAGACGCCATTTTACCGCTCAAGTCACGAACCGAGTGCGCCAGAGCGTCACGCACTGGCACATTCAGGGTAGCAATGGATGTCTTCACCCTGAGACAGACAGACAGACAGACATCTAGGCACCCTATGGGAGGCGGACTGAAGTGAGGGGGGGGGTACCCCCTTCTGCGGGAGTTCCACAAATGACATTGCCTAGAACCAACATAATTAAGGCCAGTTCACACGATGCATTTTTCTCGCTCATCTAGTGTCGCAAAACATAGTTTCGCGAAATGGTTGCGCCGTCTGAACGAATCCTAAAAGGACGCGCATCCTTTTCGGACTCGTTCAGACGGCGCAACCATTTCACGAAACTACGTTTCGTGACACTAGATGCGCGAGAAAAATGCATTGTGTTAACAGGTTTTTAGATTAGCTCAGTTACGGAACTGCAGTTCATGAGCGGTACCCCTCCTCACTCACTACAACTCGTTTCCCATCGTTCGACGTGCCGGATGGAGGCTATCGTAACCAGTGTATTCTATGAATATGTATGTTTCAATGCACAGCGTCTAGATGGCGTTCCACCATACTCTATGGAACACACAGTACAATAACGAAAATCTAGATGGTGCTTCAAACGACGGGAGGCCTCTGCGGGAGGCGGACTGAAGTGAGTGAGGGAGGGTAACCCTTCTGCAGGAGTTCCACAATTGAGGTAATCTGAGTATTGCTAGTTCTAGGCAACGTTACGACGGAAGGCACTCTAGCCTCCCATTGTTCGAAGCGCCATCTAGATTTTCGTTTCACAACTGAGTTCGATAGGGTACGGTGGAACACCGTCTATATGTTGTGCTTTGAAACGTATGTATTCCATAGAATATACTGCAATTATCATAGCAGTCGTGTGGCACATCAAACGGGGGGAGGCGAGTCGTGGCGAGTGAGGAGGGGTACGTCCTCAAGAGGCGAGGGAGGAACTCCCCACTCAATGGGACCCTCTTTTGTGTGTTCCAGACAATGCTATTCTCCCTCTACAAGATTATAGAAGATTAACCCGTCACTCAAAATTCACACAAAAGCAGCTTTGCAGTCAGTTGCAGTGGCCTGATCGCTGGTGTGCTTCAACCACTTCGGTGGCTGGAACAGCTGGGGCATCCTGACGACAACAGCCTTGCCGCAGCTTTGCCTATCCCGAGATAGACTACGTCACGATTGCGCCGGATGCGACGTGCTCTCCGCTGGCTCGCACACGTGCCATGCGAGTGTGCGACTTGTAGTGCTTCAGCAATGCACCAAAAGTCAGCAAACCATGGCACTTTACTCAAGCAGACTTCCACTTGTTCTCGAGCAGGTCACATTATGATGCGTTGTTGACATAGAGCCCCCTGGCATTTCATGCTCGAGCATTGGTCCTTTAGGGTGACAGAAGTCATGAGCATAACCTCGCCCCGTGTCGGACCTGCCTGTAACTTCCCTGGTCTAGGCGACGAAGTGTGCCTCCACTCTATGCTTGCGCGCTTGGGCCTCTAGCTGGACATAGAGGATTCAGCATTTGTCCCCAGAGACAATGCACCGAAAATAATCTTTTCCAGCTTTGTAGAGTCAGAGCAGCATCTCGCGCACATCCTTGCGGCACTCCTGCCCAGCGTAAGTTGTCTTTGAACACATATAGCAAACACTTTATGGTACTGCAGATTATTGTGGATCATGTGGTGTACCAAGTCATGGCTAATGTTCAATTATTTTGTGTACAAGCTGTTCAATTACGATAATAGTAGTTTTCAACAAACCGTTACCGTGTTCTGCGTACCGCACTACCTGAGCCTTTAAAGCACGCTTTTAAGTGCACGCCCCGCGGTCACAGTATCACCCGAGTGCGCACTTAAAAGCGTGCTTCAAAGGCCCTGGTAGTCTAATACGCGGAACACGGTAACAGTTAGCTAGAAGTCCCTATTGTGCGCGTCGTTGTCCAAGTCTGGGCCTGGCTGGAGCGAGGTGCGTCGGTCAGACTCGACTACTACAGTAAAACCTCGTTATAACAAAGTTGAAGGAGCGATCGTAATTATTTCGTTATAACCATTAGTTTGTTATAGCCAATGTTAATTTCTTCCCACTATTAGCAAGAGGGGGGAATTATGATTGCTTTGTTATATCCATTAGTTTGTCATATCCCATTTTGTTATAACAAGGTTTTACTGTATACGCTTTGAAAATCTTTGTGCCACTTGTGCACCTGTTAAGGTGGCATACAGGTGCCTCCATACTCCATACTGCTTCAACATCTGCAATGAATCTCGGCAGGCTTTTTGCTCTCTGCTCTCAAAAACCGGATTACCGAGCCCTCCCTGGTGCACACTTTGAGGGGGGCAGCCATTTCAAGAGCACTGTGATGCACAGCAGCCTAGAGTGTGATTTCGAATTTTTATAATGGTAAATTCTGGTTACTTTTAGACTCTGCCCTGTACTAGTAAAAGCGGTATACCATGTCAAGCTTGGAGCCAGGGCTTAAAATGTCTCGCATGCCTTCACCAGGTGATGTGTTCCCGGAGGAAGAACCACAACCACCAAGTCGTCGAGGCATTGTAAACTATAGTGACTGTCAGGATGAGAACAAAACAGCTTGTAAAGCCACCCTGGTGGGCCTACTTCCATTTCTCACTTAATCTTTGTGTTTTTGACTACTATCCTATTCACTGCCCTAACAGCACCTAACCATTATATCTCAACAAAACACAAAACTATCTTTCTCTTCAGCTCGTGTCTCAGAGATATATGTATCCCAAGTGCCATATTGTATACATCAAGACCCCCGTCATAAAGCGTGATTTTGGAATGGTAAAACCATTCCAAAACTTCGCTTTACTGTGGCAATAGTATCTACAAAACCACGCAGTTGGCAAAGAGAAACATAGAAGGCTCTTTACTGCATTGCATAAAGGATGTATTGAACAGCTGTTAAAAATACTGTACAATTAACATATAAACAGAGGGTCAAGTATGAAAACCGCAGCACATAAAACTCCAATGATTTACATGTCTCGTGCTGGGATGGCAAAACAATTGTGAAACAATTAGACAAGGTTAACCAACAAAATACTGATGCAGGAGTGGGTGCCTCCAAGGCTGGCATTTTTTAGACTCTTCCGTCAATGACTGCGCCCACTTAAACAGATGTATTTTTGCGGTTGGGGTCAACTGTGTTGACCTTGGACAGCATGATGGCATCCTCTAACGTCTTGGTGCTGCCCCTCTTGGTGAGGAGAATGGGAATGAAGGTGTGGTACAGGAACTTGATCCTCTCTACAGAGAAAAAAAAATTAATTATTTGCACAGAAAACGGGTGAATACACATAAAAATCCTTATGCAAGAGCGTCTGCTAGCCTTCCACTGTGCACATTATGTTACAAACAAAATAAAAACACTGAAATGATGACGGTGATGACTGATGATGACTAAAGAGAAGGGGAGTAGGTTAAACAGGTGATCATATTCAAGCACGAAGACAGTCGGCAAAGACATCCTTGCAGAATCCCCGAAACTAACTTCTATTTTGGGGTCAACGTCTCAGTATAGACATTAAGTTCAGTTTTACTCCTACCTCAAAATCATACCACAGCATAATTATTAAACTACAAAAAATTTGTTCAGGAAAAAAGTTTTGTTTTTCACGACATAATATGTTTCATTTAGGTATTTAAATTGTGTTCTTCAGAGCAGTGTCTAAGAGTGAAGACAGGAATTTTCATAGACCAAAAAAGGTAGCAGAATATAATTTTTGTTGAAAAAATTGGCACAGAGTTTTCTCCCTACAATAATTCTCATGCAATATAATGAACCTTGGGTTCCCTAACACGTTCTTGGGCATTGAGATGATCCTTTATTTCCAGAATTATTTCCAACACAAGAATAACGAGAGCAATTCACATTTTGCTCAATCTTGTCACAAGTTACCAGTTTAAACTAGTTTGGCATAACTTAGGAATTAAAAAATGGTGTTCCGACTACAAAAACTCAAAAACGGAATCAGGGAAAGGCAACCAAGATACATGCCTTGTATAAGGTAGCCTGTGGCGCATAAAACAGAATAATGCATAGAATAATGGTAAAAATATAAAAAAAGAAGACCCTTGTAAAGATTATTAGGTCTAAATTAACTAGTTTTGTAATTGTGGCATTTATCGAAAGCCTTACATTACCGCTAGTTTTGTTCCGAATAATAAGATTAAAATATCCTGATGCATAGTTTTTTAAGCTTTCATATTATTTATTGCTTATGATCTCATTTCAAATGCACTACCAGCCATGGCAATCCAAAGTTGGCAAATTACCATCACTGGTGTCACCGGTGGCATTTTTAATTAACAAGTTATAAAGTAAAAACTGTACAATATAAACAAAAGCACACCAGCTAGTATGGCAAAGCCTTACAAAATGTACATTAGCTGTGGATAAAACACATGGAGGTGATCTCCAAGTCTCGACCTTTGACAATCAACAAAACTTCCAAACTTGCCTTTAATATTTCTGGACCAAATGCCCCCCAAAAAAACAAAAAATCGGATTACATTGTTTTCCGGGTTACCAAAAATTTCCCAGAACATTTTAATTTTTCCGTGCCGTCGTTGGGCCAATCTCGGCCTTTCCACTTCGAAGGAACAACACCCTCTTGCATGTCTGCTCACCGTAGCACGTTTCATTGGCATTGGAAAACCAGTGAAACGGTCAGGTTCACTTCTATACGGCAGCAACACTATGTTGGGACAGTGAACAGTGCTCTTTGCATTCAGAAATGGCTGTTTGCGAGACATGATCACAAGCTGTTCCACTGCGCTTGCCAAATAAAAGTGGGGGACCCTTGCTAAAGTGCTTCACGTTCCCGCCGCAGCAGGGCGAGCAACGAGCTAGAGACTCGTTAAAAGAGATGCAACACCTGTATATTTCAAAAGCACAATCATATACAAAAATTTCACATATTTCCCCCTTGGAATTGCACTGCACAAGTATTTTTCCTTACATATCTAAGGTTACAGAAAAGGAATGTTTAAAGCATTTGCATAACTTTGATCTTAAGGGTTTCGAACCTTATATTTGCTTTTAAAGCTACCTAAATAACTGAACGTCACAATTAAAATTCCAATATTAAGTACCTTTAGCGGTGCTAATATTAAACACAAATTCTCATATCCCTCCCAAAAAAGTTTAAACTTTGGTGAGCAGAACGTAAGGGCGCAAGTGAGCTGGTGTATATTGCCCGAGCCCGAGCTGCCCGAGCTGCCCGAGCACAAAAAATTTCTAGTCGTACCGTTTTTTCATAAAATCTCACACAATTTAAAATCAGTCGGTGATAAGTTTGGTTTACGCATGGCGTTTAGCACAGATAGCAGTTTGAAACGGTTAACTCCGTTCGCTTCCGCCCAGAAAGGTTGTTAAAAAAAACACAGGGAAAAGTGTGTCACATGTATTTCAGGTATAGTCTACAAGATCCCTTTTGATTGTGGTTTATGCTATATAGGTCAAACGAAGCATTGTATTAATGATAGACTAGGTGAACATAAACGTTGTGTAAAAAACAAGGATCCGTATTCCGAGGTGTCCAAGCATATTTAGGAGTGTAGGAATTGCATGTCTTTATGGAACTCTACAACCACAATTGTAAAAGAAAAAAACGACCACAACTGCCTGTTGAAAGAGTCAATCGCAATAATGAAGCATGAAAATGCAGTGAACAAGCCTTCATTGTCTTTAGATATAGAATGGAAGTGATTTCTAAATCTCTAATAATATTAAAAACCTTGTTTTTTTTCCTTTTTTCGTGTGTGTGTTGTTTTATAGCCGACTTTCTCAGTGAAAGGTCCAGTGCAATCTGTTAAATTCCCAGCAATCTTTTCTTTTTTTTTGTGATGTGTCATTGTTGGTGCTGTCAGGTCTTTTGTTGGTTTGACCCCATTGTTAGACACCCGGTGTCGTGTCTTCAATGGAGAGAGAGATGTCGTACCTTCTGTGAAGAGAGGTGATGTGAAGAAGGGTTCTCTTTCCTTCCTTCTTTTTTCAGCCCTATATAAAGGCTGCTTTCCTCAATAAAGGTTCAGCTGTGTTTGAGACGTTCCCCTTCTCTTCCTTGTAGTCGTCTGTTTTACTTCAGTCTCGGGTTTTTCACTAAAATAGTTAAACTTTGCTGTTAACCATTAAACAGTCAAATTTTTTTTTTCTTTTCTAAAGGATGATTTTTAGTACTTATGTTTTGTTTCCAAAGCAATAGCCTAAAGCAGGGGTCCCCACACCCCGACCCGCAGGCCAGATCCAGCCTGCGGAAGCCCTCCTACAGGCCCAAGGCTGGCCGCAGTCCTTGGACTTGCGTGCAAAAATAGACGCGTGTGAATAAACGGTGCCACGACACTCACTATAAATGCTTCATATTCGTTATGATTCTTATTCCGCTGATAGTTGTGTGTCAGTTTGTGTAACTACGTTAAAATTATTTTGGGCTCTCATGTATATTGTGCTTGGCATCTTGCGTCACAAGTATCGCATATTGTCATTAGCGCCTTGTGTTGTCGTCAAACTTTAGTTTTTTCGTTTTTATTTCTATGCACTTTTAGTACATAATGAACCAACTAGCTTAACTCACCATTTTGCCATTGGTCTTCTGCACTGTGCTAATATGCCAACGTTCCTATGCCCTTTGATTTAGGTATGTCCGGTTAGCTTTCTGGGCTACAATTATTGTATAATGTCATAATTAGCTAAATATTAAATTATACTATATATTGAACTCGATTATTTGTGAGTCTTGTTATTTGCACGTAGGATTTCTATTAATACACTTTAATTCTTTTTTTTTATTTTTTATTCCACTTTGAATTTTTAATTTATATGCTTATCTAGCTGTGTTTATCTAGTTTTTTTGTTTTTTTTCTTAACTTGGTATATTAACTCGTTCGTTTTCTAGCCCTCGAGACCGAGACGGACAAATAATCTGGCCCCTCTGCCATAAAGTTTGGAGACCCCTGGTCTAAAGGAAGGGTCCAATGCACAGGGTTTTCCTCAATCATCTGGCAGGAGCATGTACAGCGCTCGCAAGCTATTGAGGTTTGAAAGCATCAAATGAAAATATTGAAGGCGAAAAACTGTCAGCTTTCTTGCATTCGGTTTCCTTTTGGCGCGCCTGCTTCCGCAACGATCCGGTGGTTTCTGATTTCCAAACCAAAGGTACTTTACCGAGCTACTCCATCGTATGGTACGTCCTCTTCGGTGTGCTCCTTTCTTGTGAAAGTCACCGTAATTGAAGTCTTCCCAGCTTTTCCAGCGAGCGTAATAGACCCCGTCGAAAGTGTGCCCTCTGTTGGAAGCTATGGAATCCCTGCACAATGTCGGACACTGGTGCACACTCTTGGAGTTTGATTACCTCCCGGCTGCACGAGCCGTCATACAGCAGAAGCATAACTCGAAGCTACCCGCTCGCACTACTTGCACATTTCACAGTATCGGTTGGCGAAAGAAACCTTATCGAAGTTTTCGAACCAATTCATCCACTTATCACACCCCTGCGCATATGCTTCGTGTTACGAATAAAACAATTTCCTGGGGAGAAATGCTACCGCATTTAAAAGTGTCACAGAGCTCGGAATAAATGCTGGTTAGATGTATCACCTTTGTAGTCAGGAGGCACATGCCTCGGCACATGATCGACCACATTCCGCCACGCCCTCCTCAAGTACTGGGGCGAGGATGCCCTGGGAGAAATGGCACAAAGAAAGATTACCTTAGATAACACCGAAAATCGAGACTGCAGCTGAAACTAAAGTGACATACTGTTAAACCTCAATGTAACAAATATTCTGCTGAGGGACCGGTGGCAGGCATAAAGTTTGCTGTGAGGCAAGCTTTGAATGGCACATGTGTATGTGCCCACAACATCCTAGAAAACCAGGTATTACATTTATGCATGACCCTTTTCCCTAATAAAAAATGAGACCAAGTCTTTTAACATAGTCCTTTTTCTATATATATCTAAAGAAAGGGGTCACAATGTTTGATTGCATTTTTAATTTAAAAAAAAATGCATTATCAGAATTTGGGTTAGACGGTATAAAATGACCAACTAAAAATCCATTTTAGTACAGTCGACTCTCATTAATTCAAACTAACATGCAGGTCTCATCCTATGCATATCTATGGGAGGAAACTCCTGATAATTCAAACTTTCCTTTATTCAAACAAATTTTTGGCCCCCCTCGAGTTTGAATTAACGAGATTAGACTGTACCCTTAAGTTTTTACAGTAGCAAATTGTGTTTATTTATTTTACAGTATTTAGAAAATACAGCAAGCCTTTGGCCCCTGCAGGTGTAGAGTACAAAAAACAATGCAAAGATAAGTAACACATAAAGCAAGGAAATGCATTTCAACCACCACTTTACACCTGAGTAAATGGGCATATTAAAGCAGACACAGGCCAACAAACAAAGAGAAAACTATGTAACTACATTGCATAAACATCCTGTACTGCAAAGTCAGATTCACGAAAAGCATGTAAAAATTATTGGTAACGAAATGGCATTCAAGAACTGACCATGGAGGGCTCTAATGAAATCCTGGGAAAGAAAAAGATCATGAGGGAGGGCGTTCCAATGAATATGGTGCATGGGAAAAAAGATATACTTGAAAATGTTAGTTTGAGAAAATACTGGCACTAGAGTACTGACGGCAGCCACTAGTTTCCCTGGAATGTAATGTGGTCGTATATAACCTTGAATCACTGGACAGCTTGTTACAAAAAAATAGAGAAAAAACGTTTGATCTCTCAGTCTTTCAATGCTGCTCAAGTGATATATTGTTTGCTGTGATATTGAAGATGGAGAAATCTATCCTCTTGTACTTTCCCCAAATAAAACAAACACTTCTCCCCTACACCATCTCAAATATCAACCTAGCCATTTTTGTGATCAGGTCCCAATGCATGCCAGCTTAAAATCAAACCGGGAAGTTGCATGTTTGAAATTTAAAGGGGAATGAAAGTATGCTTAGAGGCAAATTGAAGCGGTTTTAAATATCACATTTTCCAGTCTGCAAGTTGCACCTCCTGTAAATGAGTGTTTTCACAAAAAGTCAGTATATACTGTAGTATGTAAATCACACTTCTATATTTCCATGGTCTGTGCAGCAAAACTGCATTGATAAGCCTGCATTTGTGTATTGTGATCACAATATATGCACAAGCGGGAGCCAGTTTAAACAATCTCGTCAATGAACAAAAAAAAAAAAAATTGACAGTTCATATTTAGACACCATAAGGTCAGTCTGCCTTTGAGGTATGGCAACACTAGTTTAAGCTGTAGATGAGAAATTTAGCCAGTGCAGTACTACTGCTAGCCTGGGGTATCTAACGTGCCTCATGCAGTAGTGATACACAAACGCACATTGGTATCATGCTCGTCCAGATCGAAATGGGCAGGGGTGGGGATCAAACCCAGCACCCCGGTTTCCACAGAGCGAGCTTTCGCTTCACATGCTCCGAGCTGCGGTGCACCAACACGCACAGCCACCAAACCCCCCCAAGAAATATGACCCCTCGGCAAATATGCACAGTTAAGGCTCATACTCAAGGAAGAAAAGTTACCAGCGACCTTTATCTCCAAATTATAGAGTGCATGAAATGCAGTATCTAAGGTGCGATCGTTCAAGAATATTTAGAAAGCATTAAATCGTTGTTTCGGAAAGAAAAGAAGGACCTTCATTTTTATTGATTTCCCCAGTACATTGAGAAGGGAAACTCCGTGCATAGGTCATGGGGTGTCTATTTTCCCAATAAATTTGGCGTGGAAACTGAATTGGTGTGTGGGTCAAATGACGTCAGGTCATGCGACGTCAATTTTCCCGCCGACTTTGGAGGGGAAACATGACATCATGTGAAACCAATTGACGTCACGTGACCTAAACACCAATTTAGTTTCCCCGCTAAATTTGACAGAAAATGCACAGAAAGAGGGACAGAAAAAATTTTAAGATTGGGGGATTCCATTAAAGGGCAACTCCGCTTCTTTTCCAGTAGTGCAAAACTATACAGTTCTCTTTGTTATCATCTACAAAACCCCCATGGCAAATATTACGACGGAATTCCGCCCAGAAGTTCATTAAAATCGCTGTCAAAGTTTGACAAGCACGAATCCGCTGGTTTTGGATGAGACGTGCGGGCCAGACAACACTGCCCGGCTGCATTTCCGCTTCCTCCAAATTCCTTCTCCCGGCACGTCCGCGACGTCATCAAGCATGTACAGCTTCTTTTTTTTTTTTTTCAATTTTGTTTTCTTTCCTGGGGAGAGCACGGGTGGCGCCAGCGCCGTGAAAGACGTGAGTGACGCGCTCGGCCGGCCCGGCGCTTGACTATTGATACTACTGATAAGCCGATCGCCTCGTTGAGCGCGGCTTGTGTTACATCGCATACTTTTGAACACCAAGTAAAAGGAGGAGAGGGAAGCTGCTTTTGTAAGAATTTTGAGTGACAGGTTAATCTTCTATAATCTTCTGGGAGGAGAATAGCGACGCCTGTGCTAATCCAGGAGGCACAAAGGAGGATCCTGATAAGAGGGGAGCTCCTTCTTCGCCTTGTATATCACGTGGGTGTACATGCTTAGTGATGCCGAATATACAATGTTGTCCGGCTTTGTTACCGTTTCGGTTTCGGTTTGTGATCATGGCTAGAGTAAAATTACACGAAAAATATTTTATTTTTCGCGAAACAAAGGATTGGGGATGGTTTTTGAGTGCTTCAAAAAGCAAAATCGGCCACTATCTCAAAATTTTTGAAATTAAGCGGAGTTGCCGTTTAAAAAGCATTTCGAGCTTTGGAAAAGACACACAGATGGAAATAAAAAAGAAAGTCTCACTTATGCACTAAAAAATATAAAATAAAAAAAAAAAGCTTGATTCTTGTTAATTAGCCCCCCCCAGCATCGCAAACTCTTTTTGCATGCTCTCATTTTTTTTTTTTTCCCCTCCACGTAAATGCCGCCATTTAAAGGGCAACTCCGCTTCATTTTTGATATTTAAAAAAGTATGTAGCCCTCTTCAGTATCATGTAGGAAGACCCCATGTCAAATATTACGATCTAATTCCGTCTATATATTTAATAAACTGGCCAGCAAACCTTCAAGCGAGCCAAGTCGCCGAAATCTGCCAACTCTAGCGTGCAGCGCGAGTCGCAATCATCAGCGCAGTCAATGCCACGGAGTTGGAGCAGCCGACATTGAGCCACTACGTCAGAGGCACGACTACGTCATTCCCATGTTTTGTTTGTTTTTACTTCTCAAAGCGAAATTGAACGATGACGTCATGAGTTTCTCCTCCTGGTGTTGGCTGACCGGGCGTTCACGTGATCACCGTAACGCGGATGCGCTAGTTTGCGCTGCCCTGCGCGCTTATCGGTCTATTTCTCCGCTCCACTTCTCCTCTTTCGTCTTCTCCCCTTCCCCTCTCCCCCGGGCCATCACCGTCCACGCCATGCGAAGCAACCTGCCTGCGTCCAATAAAGAAAGAGAAAAAAAAAAAAAAAAAAAAAAGACCTGCCCGCGTTGCGTGTTCTGTTTCTTGCTCCCTTCCGAACGTCACAAGACCACGTGGTTCGACGTGTCGTAGCCATAACTCTGACGACCCAAGACCAATGTTGCCTGACGCAACCGAAGTTTCGGTATCAGCTGATGTTTAAATTAGGATTACACAAATAATATTCCACATTTCGCGAATCCGAAGACGTAGAGTTGTTTAGTAATCCTTTGTGAATTTGAATCACATGTAAGCCTAAATTTTTCGAAATTGAGCTGAGTTGCCCTTTAAGGCAAGTGCTCGGCAGGGCATGAGTCGGGTAGTTTCTAATTGCGGGTTCACCATGCTTACCAAGGGAATTCCTCGTTCAGCAAAGTCTTCCAGTCGACATGGAAATCAGAAGAAAATTTCTTGTGGTACAGCCTGAAATGACATTCATGAAGTAAACATGTTTGTTCTCTTAACATCATTTGCTTGGTATGTGCGCACAATTTTTATAGCTGCAACGATCTCTACAGGAGTGTGTGAAAACAAGATTGCAAAGTCATCAAGGATAACTTTGATTAATTCGCGCTTGTCGATGTAGATGTTCCCCGTTGTTGCTCCTGCCACAGATGCTGCGATCGTAGACTTTGCGTGCAGCCAGGGTAAACACGAAGCGACGTCAGAGAGGCACCTCGAGAAACGCTGATGACTGCAGAGATGCGAAAATCCTTACAGCTACTTTGAAACAAAGTGGAATGCAGCAGCTGTGACAGTATTCTTGCAATCCCTGGAGCAGTTCAAGGAGAACTGATGCCCGGGTGAAATTATAAGCAAAGTTCACTTAATTATTTTTTACTCGGTAAAGCTGCTGCGAGATGTTCATAACCAAGGTATGTTTGATTAAATGAACGGTCAGGGTGTTCCGCAGTGTTCCCGACCACCTTCAAGGCTGCTGGCACTGTTTTTCTGGCTCTATCGCTTTTATTGAATTACAGCTTATATACAATTTTTCAGCCGTCCCGTTGACTTTTGGGTCAAAATAATCGTCTGCTAAAGACGCCGGCTCTCGGCGCCGTATGCTCGTTTGTTGGTGGCAGTTGGCATTGCGACCGCTTGCACCATCTCATCTCCCATCCGAAGCGGCGCCGCATTGTTTGAAGACTGGTGGCTTCGCTGCATCTCTATAGGAGCTAAGCCTTTCTCTTTCTTTACTTTTCCCTCAGGCAAGTTTGCTCTTTGCAAATTTTACAAAAAACAATTGCACCCCCTATGACAACGCTGTACAAAATCGTAGCACGATAGGTTAAGAAACCAAATTTTGCGGTTGATTTAAAACGCCTGGCCGCTCCTTGGGTCACTGAGTATATTGATACACCCATTGTCCCTTTGGCTATGCAAGCTCCGGGATACACAGCCTTCAAACCATTTACATAAATTTACCAAGGTATCTCGGCATTATGCACTGCAATCGATGTGTTGCGGATCCAGTGGGGCCCCCTCTTCCTGATAAAGAATGTCTCTTGCAGTTCGCATGCACTTTGATTCTTACTTCTACCTAGAATCTTGGTGTCACCGAAGCATGGCTCACATTTGCAGGCCGTACAGTCTGTGGAAAAATATGCCTAATCATTTGTCTTTAAATTTGTGCATGCTCCCTCGAACGATCATTGGTGCACCTTCCCGTCTGCCCAACGTAAAATTTTCCACACGTTAGGGGGATTTCATACACGACCGCTGCAATGCATTCGATATACGGCCTGCCATATTTCATTCCACATCCTCGCTCGTTTTTGATTTCACTAGCGATTCGAGGGCAAAATTGGCAGAGTTTCTTTGGCACTGAAAACCTGAAGCACTCCACACCTGCTTGCAACGTTCTTGAGGTTATGCAACATTTTGTGTACGTATGGTACCATATCATATAGGAGCTCCTTTTGGGACTGTGGGACTAGCCCAACAACAAGTACTTTTATAGCAAAGGTCGCTTCAACGAGCAGAGTTGCATAACCTTCTTCTCATTATTCCAGGAATCTGTGTTTTATTGCAGCCTTCCAAGATTCTGCTCTGTGAGAGAATTACGCTCAAGTGTGTGTCATATTCAGTATTTTTTTAATCTGCCTCCAAAACTCATATTTTTAAATATAGTCTGCTTCATGTTAAAAGTGACTGTACATTTCAAACAAGCATACTGAAATTGACCTATTTGGTAACTTCTATGCTTACAAAGTGAAGAATAAAAATTTTAAAAACAATGCCTCAGTAGCACCTTCACTGAGCTGCTGTAAATGAGTACTCCATTGCTTTCAAAACAAGTATTTCCAAGTGCAATTGTTTGTGATGTGCCACTGTCTCTACGATTTGCTAACAAAAAAACAGTCACACAGTAGTCACTTATTATAGCGAGATCGCTTTACTCGAATTATCACTCTACTCGAAGTTCAACACGGTCCCAACTGAAATGCATGCATTTTGAAGCGAATTATTCAAAGTGTATCGGCGGCTGACCACGCTCACTTCGAAAGCCCAGGTGCCGAAAGCATCCAAGCCTACATGGAAGTGATCAGGAGACCTTTGCTTTCCCTCCCCTCCCCCACTGAGGCAAACTGGGCAAACAGCAAATGGATCAAACGGGTGACAGGGAGCGGAGCGCTGCTTCCGACGATGATGCGCCGACGCAGCCAGAAAACAGCGTCCACGTTTCGCCACTACGCACAGCGCCCGCAACCCGACTCATGTCGGGATTGGGTCAAGGGAGCGAAAAAGCCAAAAGGAGATAATCCCTTCGGGTGCACGTGCGCCTGTGGCGTACACGTGCGTCGCATGAAAGTGTTTATCGAAAGTCACCTAGAACTGCGAGGTCGAAAGGAGTGGGGCCATGAAATAGGCCCCCTAGGCCTAGGCTGGCCCAAGTCCAAAATCATAGAAGAATTCGACATTCTGGCATCAACTGTTCGACACTGTCAATCATCTTGCGGAACAAGCAAGACGTACCGGATGGGTTCAAGAAGGCTTTCTCATGCAAGAGAAAGTGCACCCATGATTCGAAGATAAAAAATTGCCGATCGCGCATGTCGGATTTTCTCGTTTGCGCATGCTTGCCGTGTTGTCGCACAATTCCCAGAACTGCAACCATCTCTACAGGAGTGTGAGCGAACATGCAGGTGAAACCACAGAGGATAACTCAGATTCGTTCGTGTTTGTTGATGCTGACATTCTTGTTGTTGCTCCTGCCATGTATGCCACGATCATAGACCTTGTGTGCAGCCAAAGTGAAAAAGGAAAAGACGTTGGAGAGGTACCTCGAGAAATACAGATGACTGCAGAGACACGAAACATGCTATGCTGCTTTGGAACAAAGTGAAGTGCGGCGGCGGTGACAGTGCTCTGGCGATGCCTGAGGCAACTCAACAACTGAAGCCTGGAAAAATTATTCCGCAAACTCCACTTATAATTATTAACGCAGAATGTGTTAAGGTCCATACGCACATCTGCGCTTGAGCGCGGTGTGTTTCGAAGAGCGCTTGCGCCATGCTTGTACACACAGTTGCGCTGACACGCAGTGAACCACAGTCAAAGCCAATAAAAATGCGCAATCGTCGCCAGCGGCTCACCAATAGTAAGCGAAATCCACGGCAACATCGCGGCGCCCAGCGACAGCGCCGAAGTGTTTGATCTTGGGACAATCCCGCTGGCTTCCCCGACCTTTTGCCGAACTTGAACATCGCAGACTTGGAGAACCAGTCCCCACCGCCCCCCAAAACAAAAAAGCAAGCACTGCGGGAGGAGAACCAGGGTCCGTCTCGCCAAGTCAGCCGAGTGGCGCGAGCGGACACGTCACCCTCTTCTCTGTCGGCTTCTGATTGGTCGAACGCACTGCAACGCTTCGGAAAGTTGAGCGAGTCTCTACTCGCTTGCGTCGCGCTGCTGAACGCTGCGAAAGGTGCGCGTCGCGCAGCAAGCGACCGCTCCTGGTTGCAAGGACTCCGCAACGCACTCAAATGCATTCAAACACGAATGTGCGTATGGACCATAATATATAGCTGGCACATTGTCACTTCCGGCGAGGGTAAAATATCCCGTGTTCAGACATACAGCGGAGCTCTGCTCCATGAAACAAGCGTGCTCCAAGCTACCCCAGAAAAAGAGTATGAGACAGAGTAACAGAAAAGCAGACACTACATTAGATGTGCTCACTTTGTCACCACGGCTGCTCGGCACTCCTCTGCTGCAAGCTGGTGTCAAAGCTCTGCTTGGTGCTGCCACATTTTAATTGTACTGTTTTCCACACGCTCCCTACTGCATCTCACACTCTAACACGCTCCGAGAAATTCGCATTTATAATGCCACCGCAGAAGATGACCCCCAGCTACCATTCGCACCACACAGTCCCCATGTGTGTACGCAGTTTCTCCACATAAACACATCACATTCTGTGTTACCACTGCCTTTGTGGCCCTAAAACAACAAAGAGGTGACTTCTTTTTTTTTTTCACGTTTTGGTAAAGGTGTTCAAAGTTGTTCATCATTGAGGTTTGTTTAAATAAATGTATGTTTCAAGTCTGCTGCAGCATTTCTGTCCACCTTCAAGGTTGCAGTCACTGTTTTTTGGCTCTCAAGCTCTCATCAAATTACTGCTTACTGTAAAGTCCCGTATGAACACCTGTCCCGGAGAGATCGCCCATTCCGTTATTTGGGCTGAAATCCATACCACGAAAATTCAGAAATGTCGCCCACACCCTGATTCGAGCACTTTTGTTTGTGATCTGCGCGTGTGACGTCGATCTCCGTGACACCCCAGTTTGTGGTGGGTTTTCACGCGTTTGTTGCACGGTGAAGTGCGAACGTGCTACATCCACGTTCTGCGGTATCCGTTCCTGTGATCAAGGAGTTTGTAGTGAACTCCTGCATACTTGTCGCACCATGGAACGCAAACTTGCCATGTCCGTGATCTGTGGTATCAGTTCCCCCGTTTCACGTAGTTTGTAGTAGCCGCCCCTGCTTATGACCAATTTTTTATAAACTTTTGCTGCTGTCACATCTCAAAACATTGCCCGCCCCCCTATTTTTCATTCTTCATCTCTTCATTTTGGGTGGGCGTTCTTTCGGGACTTTACGGTATATAGAATATTTTTGTCATCTCGTAGACTTGGTTATAACAAGGGACTACTGTATGGCACATTCATTCTTCCTTTACAACAGCTTTAACATGCCACCACAGGCAAATAAGTGAAGACTGCCAAATAAAACCATTCCTATATTTAGAATTTAGAATAAATACCGAAAATAAAACCAGAAGATCTGGGGACAAAAGAGCTAAACTTACACGTGAATAAGGTGAACAGAGTTGTTGTCATTCCACTTGTGCCTCAATTTTTTCTCTTTCGCTGGCCTCATTCGCTGAGTGACATACCTGAAGTGCAAAAAGAGCAGCTCAGAAGTTATAAGTATGAAAGGAAAACAAAACGCTTCTTTCTCTACCAGAAAATAGCTTCACACGCTACCATAATTTGCAACATGGGAACACATTCCGTTATGCTGAACCGTTCTCAACAAACAGGTAACCACCTGATGAGACTGTGTTTTCATGCCGATTCGGGATCATATCAAATGGTCGACTTCGGTTTCAGTTTTGATCCGGTTTTCGGTTCGGGTTCGGTTTGACACCTTGCAAGCGGCACCCAACAGGCATGGGCTGGAAAGGATGCCCCTCGGCAGACCGTTTCGTGTTGAACCACGTGACTCAACTAGTCGCCATGAACAGCATCCATCCAGCGCTTGCTGGAGGGAGCGGCGCGCTTGTGCGGCATAGAAAAGTTGGATTACCAGCATACTTTGCAACGTCCAAGCCCCCGTCCCATGTTTTCAGGCCTACAGCTGCTTCGGTGGCTCCGAGGCAAGGCGCCGGCCAACGGACTTCTGGGTGACGAGTTTGATTCTTGGCCGAAGCGCCCGCAATCTGACGGACGCCTTATGTGGAAACGGTAACCGAGACTTCGGTTGCCGCCAAAAGATCTCCTCGAAAGCAATTCCCGGTTCCTGCCGGCCGTGCCCGATGCCCTTCGTTGGATTGGCACGTAAAACCCCTAAATTTTACTTTGGGGCCTATTGCGAAATAAAACCCTAGCTATGCCCCTGCCCCACGATACTCAGTATTAGATAACCCCGGGGCAGGGTCTCACCAACGGTGCTTGCACTGCGCGACAGTGCGGGTCCCGACGTGGCTTGCCACCTTCTTCCAGCAGACCTTGGAGATGTCCTCGAGGTCATCCCCGACCTGGGCACGGATGGCCTCCTCCAGAAGGGCCACTTCGTTCTTGCTCCATCTGCCAATGACTGGAAGGAACAAAGATTGTATGGACAGTTCTGCCTTAGTGCACTTTGGAAGAATCTGTGCTCTGCGCTGTCTGCCTGAAGCAGACCGGCGCAGGACACCGATTGGACAAGAGTGCTGTGTCAGCGTTCAGCTTGGCGAATGGACGCGAGTCTCAGCCAAACGCTTAACACAGTGCTCGTGTCCCATCTGTGCATTGCACTGGTCTCCAATGGGTGCACATTAACAGCCAAAGCCACCACTTCTTCGCACGCTGTGGCAAAAAGATGAGGACTTTTCTTAAGTATGCGAATGTTCAGAGGCTGGCACTTCATCTGCCAGAATGTTTTTGGTGAAGCGTACCCAGGCATAATTCCTCACATTTTTCCTTCATCTTGTTGTTACGGACAGCAGCTCTCACGGTGGCGGCGTACTTGCCCATGCGCCTCCCGATCTCCATCCACTGTGGACCCAGGGTTGCATACAGCTCAAACAACTTGTCCTCTTCTTCAGCGGTCAACCTCCTGTGAAAATACTTGCCAATGTCGCTGGCCACAGACAGTCGACCAACCAGAGCACTGGTAAAGTTGTGCCAGTAATGAGTGTGAAATCGGTCAAAGCTGCAAAATGTCGATAGGCCACGACGAAACCAGAAAATAGACGCAAGCCCCTATACTCGGTGTCAACTTCTTTATGTTACACTGCCAAAACTAGAATAGTTCCCACATTGCTGTCAAATGCACTTGTACAAGCGCACGCGAATGAGATGCACGACAAAGCCACATACCCGCGCAGCACTGCAGGGCTACGGCACCATGGAAACTAAGCTAGCCTTGACAGTGTAGCACAAAGATGTCGACGCCAAGTATAGTCTAAAGCCTCAATACCGAGTGTACCTTCGATAATCATGCCCATTTGACGAAATAAGCTAAAGTTCCAGCCCATTCCCCATGATTTCAACGTGTTGGCACAGACACTGTAACTAACACCAGTGTAACAAATAGATTTCTATATGTGGCATTGCGAGGTAAATGACAGCCACTGCGAATCTTTGAGGTATAGAGTAATAAATTCCTCGTAAATTATTGCCACTTTAGTTGTCATATGTGTAAAAATGCTCAATAAAAAACTACCTACCAAAAAATACTGGGAGAGCGCTCAGCCCACTTTCACTGAAAACTGAGTTAATTTAAACCTGGGCACTTGCCCGGTCAAATCGGGCACTTAAAGGGATTGTCCGGTCGAAACCGGAAGTCTTAAGTTTTTGCACTCATTACGTCGAGGGAGAGTAAACAAACGTCATTTTTCTTTTGATATATGATCTCCCGTTATTGATTAAACCTTTCATCAGCGTATGTACGAAACTGTACCCCAAATTTCGCCAGTTTCAATGGCTAACATCCGTAGCTGCTGCATGACGTCACAGAACAAAATACAAGACGGATGTCTTGTATTTTGTCTCTAATTATATAGTCTCCTAGGCTGTACCCTACTGAAATATGGTTCTTTTAATGCAGTTCCCAAGCGTGTGCAAAAAAAGTCACGCCTTTTAGCAGGATATTACTCGAAAACAGCCATAAGCTTCGAGCAAACGTATGCCGTTTCGCACAAACGCAACTGCGACGGCCACCGATCGAACTAGGAGAACTAGGAGCGCTTGCAAAGCAAAGGATGCTGATTTCGCCTCTGAAGCGGCAACTAGGTACACAAAGCGCAGCTGGGTACACATTTCGGCGGATCCACTGGATCAATGATAGGCTGCGGGTCATTTCCTCGGAGGTAATGTCCGCGGGTCGAAGGCAAACGGCGAATCGTTCAAATGCATGTCGTCATTTGACCTGGACGAGCTTGGTGAATCGCAGCCATGCTCTATTTTCACATGCGGGTCAAACAGAATTTGGCTGCACGCGTGCTAAATACACCTGCATCGTTTCCAGGTGGTCTAGCTGTTGGTTTCGGTTTCGCTGCATAATCAAATTGATTGATCCGATTTGGGCGAGGAGTGGATGGACATAGTTTAATATCGTTGGCACAGCATCACACCTCAACTTACGAGCCTTCTCTCCGCTTAGAGCTCAGCTCGTAGCTCTCTTCTGTGAGATGATTGCTGCATAAGCGGGATCTCGATCTTGACGGGAACCCAGTCCCTACGCACGACGACGATCCATTTTGCTCGTCACTGCATGTCTCGCGGAAAAGTGTGGAACGTCACGCCTTGGCTCGCATGTGCTGCCCGGTAGTTGTGGCACCCAACCGCGCAACAAAAAATCTCACCCAACCACGAAACAAGTCGAGCACAACAACAAAAACGAAGCACTCTGAGGAGTTCACCCACAGGTAAACGAAGAAACAGAAATGCTCGCTTTGTGTTGTGTGACGTCAGAGCTCCAACGTTGCCATCGAAAGTAGCGTTTACGCTAGGCTGCAATTTGAACAGTATAAGTTCAATTACTCATGCAGAGGGGCATATAAAATTCAGATACTGCACGTACGATGCGTCTCGAGGCAATAACAACGATATTCAATTGTTTTCTCATATACAAAATTTGACCGGAACATCCCTTTTAACGTATAATTTGCAGAATTCCCAATTTTAGGACAAGTTAATAGTGAGTGCTTCAACGAAGTGGGCGCTTCCGCTGCGTTTTATTTACGGTACTATATGTACTGTCCTGCGTACAAATCAACGCAACTTCACCTAAAAATTATGGTGTTTAATCTTTTTACTTTATCAGTTATTGCCAAGTATAGAGCTTATTCGGCTCGAGATCGAACCGTGTCGCCACCGTGCGGCCGAAATGGGAAACATGCGAAAGCGGGGATACCGCCACGCGTAGTCTACTATGGGTGCACGTTCAGAAGCATGGATCTCTACGACGCAATCCCGTTTCCAGCTGAGCTTGCCCCTCCCAATTAAAAGTTTGATGTTTTTTTTTTTTTTGTTTCTTCTTACTAAAGGTTGTGTTGTATCGTTCCACGTGCGTACAAATTCAGCAAAGCGATTATTATTAAGTCGGATCGAAGCTTCCATAATCTTAGTGTGTTGGTTTGTAATCGAACGCTGGTCCCACGTATTTTTCTTATCTCGCACAAACCATAGCTTTCATAAAACATTGAATGTTGATTGGAGCTGTGGTTTAATTAAAAAATTAACCCAACTGATCGCTACCCTTTAATAGACAAATCAATCGATAAATCTGTTAGTTGATTTTCCGTCGGTCATATTGCATGAAAGGCGTCAAAACTACACTTTTTTTTACTGTTTTTACTATGCCATAAATGGCATATTGCATTCCCATTTTAAACTTCATGTTGCGACGACTACAAAAATATGAAGAGGGAAGCCTTTTAAAGATGAAGTAATTTTTATCTTATTATATAAACAGTATAATCACCCTCTGCGACAATCACAAGCACGCTGAATCGGTTACCGTGCAAGCCTGTGTGACAAAAGAAATTAACACGTTAAAATATGAAAGCAGGCATTTTTTACATTTTGCTGACTTTCCCAGCACAAAATTCCGATTAAATGGCAAAAAAAAAAATGCAATTAAATCATAACTCGATTAATCTGAAGGTTAATCGATGAACTGCCCAGTCTCAATATGCGTTAGCTGAGGGCGGAGGGTGGCGGGAAAGTCTCGTGAGAGTCGCTAGCCGTCTTCGGTAAAAGAGTGTTGCTGCAGCCGATGCTGCCTGTGTCGTGGTGCGGGTCGTTTGTTAAAGTTGCAGAGTCTACTGTGTTTTTATTTAGTCAGAAATTAATAATATTAGCCTCTCGACATCTGCGGCCTTCACCAGGAATATTGAAGCGGGCGAATCCACACTACCGAGAACGGCATCTAATAACACAAACGTTGCTGCGTTGCTCGGTCACACTCGTTTATTACACTCGCGGCAGATATAGTAAAACGGTTTGTTTCACTTGTTTCAGTTGTCGTGCCAACGTGCAGTTTGCGGGTCGTCACTAGAAGAGGCACTCTCTCCTCATCGCAACGTGGTAAAAATTTTCAAGTTCTGAAAAATGTACTCACACCATGGCAGAGTAAAGGGAAACATTGGCTGCAGAGGAACTCAATAGCACGGTAATTTCCAGTACAGCACTAACTTCTCCTTATGCTAAATATTTATATCACTGCAAAAGCTAACAGTTAAAAAAAATGCACTGGACCTGCGATTTCACAGCACACAGTACCAGTATTATGTAATCCGAGTTGGAATTAATTGTTTTATTGAATTCCCACGCTGATGAACTGATACATCTATTTTAAAAGAAACAAGTATTTAACATAAATAGTGCAGTTGACCCAAAGACAGGCATCCGTCGTGCAGATCCACGTTTCCCAACGTCTGCCTAGAGCAGACAACTGATTCACCCAAGCGATTATTTAAATTTAGGCCAACGCTATAGTCGGTTGCAAGCTAAGAAAAAAACGGAAATGCCTCTCAGAGGAAAATGTAATCCTACACCGAGAAACGCCAGCCAATCGTTTTCATGACGTCACGATTCCGTGAACCAATCGCAATCCTTTTGAGAGAGAAAAAAAAAAAAAAAAAAAAAAAAAAAAGCTCGACATGGCTGGTGGCCTTAGCAACGCGACGCTAGTTTCTCGTGACAATTATTCTGCTTTTTTGCACCGCGTTTTACGTGCCCGAGGTTACGCCACGAAATCTTAATGGTATCGGCTTGCGTTTGCAGCAGTTTTTGCGCGACAACGTGAGAATCCAGCGACGCTATCGCCAACGAAAATTTCGAAGCGGGCGCGAGGCTTAGCACTGCTGAGAGGTATGTTAGACGGTATGTTAGACAGTATCTTGGACAGAAAATGAATTGGGAAGACGGTACATTGGACATGAATTTCTTTCTTTCTTTACTAAACAGCTATTTCATTGACAAAAACATATTCTAACTTATTTAAATGTCCTGAATGAATTAAATAAATATTGTAGTAGTTTAGGACACGTTTCCAGGAGGAAGAAAAAGCAACGTTGCTAGCGAACTGCTTTCTCGACGGCGGAGGCACTTCAGATGGGCGCAATGCGCTTGTGGGAGGAACTAAAAGATTGTTCTCAGGTTGCATCCGACTATAGTAACACGATTTAACCTTCACTGAAGCACCGAACAGTGCCGCACCATTTTCCGCTAAAATTGATTTCCCACTGATATTATGCGACAAAATAAATGCAAGAATCTACGCCGTCTCGTGCACGAACATGGAGAACCTATGGGGCGGCCGTGCTTCTATCCGTGCTCTGATGATGATGATAGCGCGACAGTAGCACCACCTCTAGGTCGATCTCGAGGCCAATACAGTGCAATCCACTTATAACGATAACAAAAAACCCTGAAATTTCAATTGTTATAACCGATTATCATTGTATCTGGACCAGAATCTGATCATTTCTAGACTAGAAACTCTAGAAACTGATTGTTATAAGCATTACATAGTTATATGTGGTATCGTTATAAGCAGATCACACTGTATCAAGAAAATGTATCAAATAGATTATGTTGCTTAGCTTTTTTCAGTTAAAATGGCAAAACCTTCAGTTCAAACATCACATAAAAGAAATGCGAGCAAATGACTTCTTTCTTTTTCTTTTTTAAAAGGGATTAATTGCAATATCCATAAACCATGCATGCAAAACACTCATGAAAATGAATAATGTAGAACTGCAAAGCAGCCCATCAAAGTAATGCAAGAAACAAACATGCAATGCCTACGACAGCAAATTTCCGTCGAGTGTTTGTCAGTTAAAGGCCGGCAAGTCTGTTGAACTGAGGGAAAAAAGCAGTGGCTACAAAAAGCGGGGTCACAAAAAGTAAGCAGAGTAAAGACAAAACAAAATGAAATTCTTGAAAATTCAAGAATTTTCAAAATCCCAAATCATAGAAACGAAACTATGCACGAGCACCCAGACCGCCGACTTACTCTCGCTTTTCGACTTTTCTGATTGGATCAAAGAGCGCTCGACCACGATAGTAGCAGTGCTTCAGGGTCCTGTGCTCCAAACCTTTCCCTGGAACCAAAGCATGGCCTAATCAGCATTGCTCTTGTGTAGAAATGGCTTTACTAATACAGTGTAGACCGCATATAACGTATGTCGCGGGAGTCGCGAAAATCCGCACTATAAGCGGTACCGCGCTATAACCAAAACATAAATTTTTCAGGCCAAAATACATGCCATGAGACAACTTACCTTTGTAAAAGAATTTATTTTATGCTAGATGAAAAATAAAGCTTACTTTGAAGAGAGTCTTTATTTCACCAGACTAGTACACTTTTCTCTCAAGTGTGTCACACATTTTGAAAGAAATGAGCGGTTTTTGCCTGGCGCAGCCTTTTAACGGCGTCGCGGGTTGCGGACGAACGTAGCGAGCGTTCAGGATTGCTAACCCTAATCACTTTTCTCCGGAGATGAAAACGCGTGAAAATTCGCATCCTTCATACGGTACGCCCCAGTAATACCTTGAACTTGAGCACACGCATGAAATGCGCCAAATAAGGAATCCGGGCGATGTTCGAGGACACAAATGCTTAGAAATCACCACTGTAGTCGAAGTAAACAAACACGACGACACGGGCGTTTCTGCCGTCTTGAGAGCGCCGCCACGACACCGTCGCACGAGTAGGTGGATCTTCCCTTCTAGTACGTGCTGGGTTATCATAGCGACACAACGAAAATTCACAGTCAAGGATAGCGCTTTTACGCGGAACGATGAGATGAACGCCGTCGACGACGACGATCACAACCGACGCCATGTTCGCGGGTAGAAGCAGCTGCGCGACCGGCATGCAACGCGCGCGAACACTTCCCCTCGACCTGCGATTGGTCTGCCCTTGCGGTTGTTTGTTTCCAACGCAGCGGAGGGACGCACGGTGGACGCACGCACGTGAACGATACGTGCGTGCGTCCCTCCGTCGTTATGGCAACTGAAGTTTCTCTCTTCGCTTCCCCCGCTTCTTCCAGAAACCTCCTTGCTCCGCGTGTGCCGCTTGCGGCCTTGCGGCTCGTCTCGCGCCGTCAGCGCCGTTTTCTGGTGTCACACAGGGAAGCGTGCTCGCCGCTCCGGTCGTCGGCGCGGTCGGCGGGCTGTGCCAGAAACCGCACTATAACCGGTATTTCCCTTCGCGCGCCTGCATTTTAAGCGGTATGCAATTACATGGAGTTCTATGGGAGGCGAACCGGTGGTTTAAAAAAACCGCGTTATACCCGGTCCTGCACTATAAGCGGTTACGTTGTAAGTGGTCTATACTGTAGCCCCTTCCTCTGGCAAATAGCGAGCGCTCGGCGAGCGGATTCTCGTTTCCCTCGCGACATGAGAGCAATCTCTCCATGTGCCGCTTGTACATCTGGAGCCAGTGGGGCGCTCGCCGAGCGGCTCCAACCGCTCCGTGGAAAAGTGGCGGAGCGCATCGAGTGGTCCGGAGTAGTTCTCCGCGCCGCGCAGCCTTTCTCGGAGGAGTACGATCTGTAGTCGTCTCTCGCAATGTTTCACTTTCATTATCGATATTCCCGCGGGGCAGTGAAAGAGTTTCGCGGCTTTATTGTTTCGATTGCTGGGTGGGCTCTCTTGGTGTGCTTGTTTTCGTTCCCCTCGTCATGACCGACTCGCCCAAGCAAACTGCGGCGATGACATCGTTGCAGTTAATTTCAGGAGGTCTAATAAAACGCAGTGACAGTGACGAAGATACCAGCTTAGCTCCAGCTCGAGTGACGGCGAGGCAGCCGTTCTCGGCGAAGTGTTTGCCGAGTCGTTTGCCTGGCCGGCGAAGAGGCCCAAGATACCGTGTTACGTCGAAGGCGTTGTGCGCGCCTATTCGGATGAAGAACTAGGTATGTTGTTTGTTTGTTTTGTGATTTCTGTAATGTAATTGGAATAATTAGAAGACAGCACGCCAAATACTCCGCAGACGCAAAATGGAAAGTCTACGCCGCTGTTCCCAGAGGTGTGCAATGTTCAGTGGCTGGTGTCACTTTTTCATGGGGGCGTCACTGCTTTCAAACGTAAGAGTGTTGAGCTTGAGAATGAGTTTCTTGAGCTCAGGGCAAGCACTGCCCTGTAAGAAAAGTTTGGCACTAATGTCGTTACATTTTGGTTGAAGACTGCATCACAATTTCCCCGTCTTTTTGACAATGCAGTGGACATGCTGCTTGCTTTCGCAACCACATATGCTTGTGAGCAGGCATTTGTCACGCTGACCTACCTGAAGAACAAACACAGAAATCGGTTGAACCCAGCAGTTGATATGAGGCTGGTCCTAAGCATGACTGAGCCAGGGATAAAGTTGCTGTTGCGGGCAAAGCAACCTCACCCCTCGCACCAATATGTATACATATTTTACACTGTGTCCCACGTTAACTTCTCTGCCTTCTTATTCTGCCTGTAGTCCTCCATTTTGTTTTATTCTATCAGTGCAATAAACTCTTGTTCACTATCTAAATGCCTTTATTGCCCAGCATTATCGTCGGCAACAAGGGGAGGGAGGTGGAAGGGTCCTCGGGACTTCTTGAGGCCTGCTGGGGTTCCCTGGGACGAAAAAGTTTGAGAACGTCTGCCCGACACAGTGCTATACAAAACATTTGAGGCCGCAGTTGGTGCTACCTTTTTTTTACGCAAGACCCGGAAGTCGAAAACACAGATCCTTTTTGTGCACTGGCAAAACAATGCCGCAATCATCACCTCAATACCAGTACATCAATTCGATTCGCCAGCAAGCGTAGAGCAACCCAATAATAACAGGAACGAAAAATACTCATCGTGTACATTTAATAAATTACTGGCACTGGTGAACGTCGTCCCGCAGTGATTTCCAAACCGTCAAACCCACAAACTCTTCATATAGGCATCTTCCAGTGCAGATAAACGAAAAGCATGGCAGCATGTTGCCACCGTTGGCGTTTACAGCTGTGGGACGCACGATTGAACCCGAGCTTTGAGCAACTCCTGAAGGTCGAATGACGGAAAACACGTACAGAGCAACGCTGGATGTGGGTAGGTTTAGAATGTCAAGGTGCCAAACCTTTACTGCCAATCGAGATTGAAAAATGCGGCCAAGGAAAGCGCAGATGTGGCTAAGACGCCGCGGGCACATTAGAATGTGTTGGAGCGGGTAGCGCTTCACCGGGCGACGTAACGCAGACACTGTTGCTGCTGGCGCTGCCAACCAGATGCCAAGGCGCAGCGGGACGTCCCCTACAGGTGTCACATGCTCCCAATTTGAGTGAGATATATTCATAAATAAGAAAAAAGTTTTAAAAAACTTCTCCCCCCCTTAACTTTTTTTTGAAGATGAGTCTCCTCACCCAGAAGATGAAGCATCCCCTCCTTTTTCATAAAAGCTCGCTCTGCCTTGCAGTCCTCCCTGGACTCCTCGCCTTGCAGTCCCACGAGCATGTGCGGATGACGCAGATTGTAGTACTGAAAAGGAACGCAGGAAAGGCCCGGATGATGAGCACAGCCAGGGTCCGTTTGCTGGGGAATGCAGCTACCTCCCCCAACGATTCAAATGGCCACAAAAAGAATTTTGAAGTCATAGTATGACCGACTCCGTGGGGAGAAAATACCTAGTGTTCCGGTCGATTTGACCTAGGGGACGCAAGCCGTGCCTGTCTTTTTCTTTCATAGAAGACACCGGATTCGAAATTATCTTTTGAACCACTTGTATGGTTGGAATGAAACTGGCAGGAGGCACTTAAGATCAGATAAAGGGGTACTGTGCAAACGACCTCTCTAGGACAATTTTCTTAGGAGTTAGACATTTCTGTGTGGAAGCTGTGAAACCCTTCCTTAAAGACCGACGACCAGCTCGCGCTTTCCACTTTTCGCCCGCTTTCTCCTCTCCCTCCTACCCTTTCCACCAACGCCCGCCCCTCTTGGTCCCTTCTTTCCATCCTTGGCTTCCCTCGCCCGAAGGCGTGGAGAGGAGGGTCTTCTGCCTTGCAGGATCTCGAGTCTGGTCGTCGGCCTTTAAGGAATAAATGGTATACAAATTAATGCAATAAGCCATGATTTTACAGCGATAGCTGTTATGGTCTCTTCCCACTACTGGAAATGACGTCTGTTGTAGATGTTGTAGTAGTTGTCGTTGATATTTTAGTTGGCGATGTGGGGCGTCTGTCGTCGATGTTGCCAAATGCTTGAAAAAGCTCGCCCACTGTCCACAGGTATCAAACCTGGGTCCGCTGCGTGCAAAGCAAAGGTGTTACCACTGAACTATGTCACGCCGCTAATAACCTGCTTTAAACAGTTTTTCTTGTACCCAATGCCCACTGCACATGCTCTCTGGAAAAAGAAACAAACAATGTTGTAGCACTGTCAATGCTAAGAGCTTGTGCTGGGAGACGTGCTTTCATGTGCTCCAGAACAAAAAAAGAAACAAAAGCGTTCGAAACAAAATAGTCAGATGTCTATTTTGTTATGAACGCTTTTGTTCATGCACCCCATGGTGTGTGAACGCGACGCTGATTTCCAACGACTTCGCCATGACTTGTCGTAGCTATCACTGTGACTCTACTGTGGATTAACACAGGGCTGCTCAATTTTTTTTAATATAATAAAAGCCAAACAAAAAGGAGGGACAAGGACAGACATGTACAGGCTCCTGTACATGTCTGTCTGTTCCTCTTTTATTTAGCTTTCATTATATTAGACACGCTTGTCCAACTCTCTGTTCGCTACAATATTATTGATTGAACATAAGCCACAATTTTATTGCTTAAACACGAGCGGCTCCCATGCACGAAGCTGCTTATTGAGGATGTTCTTGCCAAAGGGCGAACCTAGCAGAGACGCGCACATCGAACCCCTGTTGACGGCGAAGACGACAAACCACAAGAGGGAGCCGAAGCCACACCAATGGTCATGTGCTCGACGTGCACGAGAGGGGCTCGCCCGACTGTTGAACGCACGGTATGGTCATGTCCTGGCTTTCACGACCTTAGGAATCGTTACTGCCAGCCTCACATCACATCACTGCAGGAATGGACCACCCCTGCCAACGACAATCGAGCCCATGACACGCAGCTTTTCCTCTCAGATTTGCACGTGAGGTAAGCATCGATTGCCAAATGCTACGTTTTTTATTACCCTCCTCCTCCTTCTAGGCCAAACTGCCATCCTCTTTGTTAATAAAGAATTTTATATTCAATTCAATTATAAAAATGTAAATATATGTAGAAAAACTCACCCATAAATGAGGATCACTTTCTTTGCATTCCGGTTTTTCAATGCATCACTTTCTCTCTATTATGACCTAAACTTAAAGGGAAGCTGAAGAGCTTTTCGAAAAAAATGAGTTAATGGTTGATTCTGACGCATTTGTGCCTGCTGAGTCCAAATATCACAACCATTTCACCCAAAATAATCCCTGAACACGAAAAAAAGCAAAGAAAGAAGAAGCGATCGCCGCAGCGGCACGCCATTGGCTAGCCATGCGTGACGCGCCACTACGTCATAAAAGGACCATCTCGATTCTCGTTTGCTCCGTCGCTTGCGGAAGTAGCCGGGCGCCGGGTCTTCTGCTCTTGTAAATCGGGTTCGGCTTCTGATTTTTCGAAATCTTTCGGTGGATGCGAAAGAGGGATGTGTCCAGACGACCCTTGATGTGACAAAGTATGCGTTCCAGCCGTTGGCAAAGTAGGAAAATGACCCCCCGCAGTAATAAACACAGAGACGAGGAACCGCTTGCGCGGACGCGAGCAACATGGTCGGCTTTGTACCTTCAGGAAAGTACTGACCGCTACTTATTGTAACCTAAAACGTTGACAATAAACGGAGTGCTATTGACGGGACACCTCAAGCCGGATTAGCGTGACCCTTTCCAAAACGGTCGTCAGAGGACAGGAATTCTGCACACATCGGCCTTCGTGCTTGCCAGCTGCTGGACGCGTGAGCGTGTAGACTGCATTGTTCATCAAGGCTGAAGTGGTTTGAAGGGATAGTATAATCGGCTTCGGGCGACGGGAGAGCTTCCCCTGAGATGAGACGGGTGATAAGATTGGGTCGCCGTTCTGCCAACGCCATGTCCTTGGGCACTATGCGAATAACTGCGCAAAAGGTCCATCCTTGTCATAGCAGTACCCTCTGTTGCGTTTAGTTTGTTTCCCGCAAACTATTACGCCATTATAGCTCTAGAAAAAGCGGAGATGTGTGCCCGCACCCCTTAATTTTATGTTGAATTCGTTAAAGCTTCCTGGGCCTCTACATTTGCATACTTTTACCAAGATTTGTTGACTGCATCACACCGCCACCAGGCATTATCATCGTCCGATCGCATTTCTAGTGCACAAAGAACTGTTGCATTACACAAACTTTATACGGAAAACACTGCGTAACTTGTAAAAAAAGAACTCAATTCAAAACAGAAGGTCAGATGCTTTGTATTTCCACAAGGCTCTCCTGAAGAGAATATGAACCTTTGGAAGGAAAATTTAACACAATTTAGGTTTACGTTTAAAAATTATGTGACCTTAAATAATGCCAGCAACTGTAAAAAAAGAAAAAAAAAAGTTTATGCTAAAACAAGTTGCACCGTGAAAGTCGCATTATGAATAGCATGACTACTTATTAGAGCAAGCCCTTCTCTCCCAAGTGACTGGGTAGCCGAGTAGATTAAAAGCAAAAGAAAATAATCTTGGGCTACCCAAGATTGTTGTCCACTTAAGGCCAGCTGAACTAGAAAAAAACATACACATAAAGAAAAGACCATTCACGCCGCTGGACTAACAACTGATTTTCTTTTTCCTCCTCTTCTACTACAAGCCACACTTGAGGGAACAATTCTCTTTTCCTCTTTTTTGCTTTCTAATCCACCTTAATTTTTTTTTTTTTCCTTAATTCCCTTTAAAATGTTAACCCCGAAGAAATCTTTTTTCTTTCTCGTGAAGCACGAGAGAAGGTGCGCTAAGGCAGTCATCGCCTTTTTCCTCAATGGCAAGTGCCTCTAGGATTTCACGTCCCAGTTTTGTTTTGTTCCTTACCACGATGTTTACGTCGTAGAACAGTGCCGAACATTGACATGCACGACAATGGGTTGGCAAGTGTCCTCCTGCTGACAGGGTTTTCACTGATGCAGCGTGCTCCCTCGTCCGATCGTTAATGCATCGGCCGGTTTGTCCGAAGTAACTTCGGCCGCATGTCAGCGGAGTGTGGTATACCACCTCCTTTTCACACAGGGCGTATGGAGACTTGTGAACTTTGCCACACCTCTTCTCGTTGTTACTTCGCTCCCGGTTAACCCGCGGGGCAGGGCAGGAGAGGTATAAGGAAGGCGGTATTTTCATAAAGAAAATAAATATTTTTAAAAGGTCACCATCACGTGCACCCCGATATCCCGTGCTCTCCGAAAGCATATTATACACCTAAAATTGTGCGGCGGCCATTAAGCTAAAATAATTTTCATTCACAGTGATATATTTTTGTGTAATTGTAATGGTAAATATTTCATTATGGGTGTCTACGTTGAAACCATAAAAATTGACTGCAGCAAACCAAAATGCATGAAAGGGAAATAAGAAATCGTAAATCTTTTTCAGATTATTGTTTCCTGTCGATACTTACTCTTATACTAACATGCTCTTACACAACCTTATGTTGCTGACATTAGAATTAAGGTACTAGAACCTTATGTTGCCGTTTTTTCGACCCTTGTGAGACTAAAAAAAGAGCTTTCCAAAACAACCCTTTTGCATGACACAGTATGATTTGCAAATAATTACAATAGTTTATTTTTCAACTATTGGGAAGCAATTTTCGCTCACAATATTTTGCCATCAAGGGGAGAGGCACAACGGCACGTGCGTCTTTTTCCCGCAAGAACGACGGTTGCTTCCCGCAGTGCTGTATAGAAAATGGCATACCATCGATATTCACATGTTTATCAGCTACCTCCGCGCTATCCCGTGGCCCGTTCTTTGGAAGCGCCATAATTTGCGTAGTGAATGCTACGACAATGTCAAATGCGGGACATTTTAAAGATTTTTTATATTTCTTGCGGGACGCGGGACACGCGCTCTCAATGCGGAACAGTCCCGCGAGTCGCGGGACGGGTGGTCACCCTATGGCCACCACTCCTATGGCTGCTGCATTGAAGCAGGATGTTAAAATAAGAAACCCCCTATATTGACGTTTTACAGAGGTGACATCACAGACGTCAAAATAATTTTTGAGATATTATGACGGTGGACGTCGAAATAGTCACTGCCAACATAAAAACTGCCATCCACACTGGAGCAATGAGCAAGGGAAGTGTCACGCTCATTGTTCCTGTGCAGATCACATTTTTCAGAAATTATAGTGCTATGGTCCTGTTTTGGGTTCTTTCCGTTCTTCGTTGTTGTTTCACGAGAAAGTGGCAGAGAAAAGTACCAGTTTCTATTGTTTTGCGGGGTCTAAACATTTAGTGGAAGCCGCCGCCGTCAGTCGATAGAAAGAAGCGAGAGGACCCTTTTGGGGCTGACTTGGATGTTCCGGTGAATGTTCAGAAGTGCAACCCCTATACTCCGTTCACCCTTAAGCTAAGACTAGAAGCTCCGCCTTCAACGCGAGCTTTCTGCCCTTGCTAACACAACTGTGAAAGCGAGGCACGCACAGCCAAAGCACTGCAAAAGCCAGCGAGCTCACGCTGAAGGCGGAGCTTCTAGTCTCAGCTTAGAATGGACTAGTAAGTGCTCCTGGGACGTTAAGCTCTCAGCGGTTTTTTCCCTTTTCTTTATGACCACACACAGTAGAAGGAAAAGGGGGCGACTGCGCTCAAAACTGTGATTTGGTAGGAACAGCCAACATTCTGAGACAGGTGGCATTGTTTCAATGGAAGGTGTTCAAGTGGGAGGAAGAAAGGAGACTGAAAGAAAGTCACTGGGATGCGATAAGAGGTTGGACCCTTGTTATTAGTGAAAGCGGGAGATCAAGAAAAATCTACAAGCTGGAGAGGAGGAGCGGTCGGAAGCCTGTTCCAAACAAACCCTGAATTCCAGAATGTTTTCTAGAAAACTCTGATCTTTCCCCAGTTACCAGATTGAAACACAGTCCTAATTTTCACCCTTTAATTTTGAAAAGAAAAACAAACAAACGTATAGGTTTATAAATTTATAAACTTAACTCGAAAAAGCCCGAACTTAGGAACTGTTCCACGTAAAACCCGATTTCTCCCTGATAATCAGCTTGAAAAGTAGCTCTTTACCCCCAAATTGAAAAAAAAATATAAAACCCAAAAACGAAGAACCCTACGTATAGTCAGCTTGTGCAGCGGTGGCAAGCGAGCTGCCGTGCCGCGCAATCTGCGAGCTATTTGCACTGGGCGAAAATAGGGCGGGCCTCGGCAGGCCCGTGAAAATTAGCATCGGGCCGGGCAGAGCCAGGCAGACACAGCTGTCGAAAATGAATAGTGGGCTGCAGGCGGGCCCCAGCCCTAGATATGGCGGGCCGGGCTTCCACAGATTGGCCCGTGCAGACCTCTAATTCATACATACATATACAGGATGTTTGATTTGACTAACCGATTTATTTTAAAATATACGTAAGGTAGAATAATGAGGTCTGTGCAGGCAAGTTATAAGGCCAGAGGAACGTAATACAGTGCAATCCACTTATAACGATTATGAGAAAACCCAAAAATGCAATCATTATAACCGATTATCGTTGTACCTGGACTAGAAACTGATTGTTTCTAGCCTAGAAACTCTATAAACTGATCATTATAAGCAGTATATCGTTATATGTAGTATCGTTATAAGGGAATTGCACTGTAAAAGGGGCTGATCATCACGATAAGTAATGAAGTGAAATTTGTTAATTAGTGGAAATAAACACATGGTTCCATTTAGAAACTTGCTCAGCATCATGTAAAAACAGTAAATCGGAGAATTTTGTAAAAGATTGAAGCGCGTGGTGAGTGCAGGTGTGTGCCAAAGTTTCCACTCGTACAAAGGCTCAACACTGGCAGTCCAAAAACGCAAATGAAAAGATTGTCATCTGTGTTTTTGGCCGCAGGCATTGTACATGTTTCATGAGTAAAACTTAAACACACCTTTGCACTCACCATGTGCTTCAAACTTTTAAAAAATTGACAAATTGAATGTTTATAGATGATGCTGAGCAACTTTTTAATTGGAACCATGCATTTATTTCCACTAATTAAGAAATTTCACCTAATCAACTAACTTATCCTGACGATCGGCCAGAAATATCATGTCCCATATGGCCGTAAACTCGCCTGAACAGACCGCATCATTCTACCTCTCGCGGCTTTTCTAAAACAAACCTGTTCAAACTAAAATTAAGCACCCTGTATGCCTTCCCACTGCTTATCACCCAGGCAAAAACTGCTTAGTCCCTGGGCTGTTTTGCAAAAAAGTGCTACTGCGTGATCAGAACGCACTACACAGCCCAGTAGACAAAGATGGCAGAGAATGATTATTGGAATGACCTAAGCAAGCTGTCTCAATTAACATCTACCTAATTTTAAGAAAGGAAAGGAAAAAAAAAAAAAAATGAAGCACTCAATGCATATGAAGTCAAGTGTATGTTGTTAGTGTCTCGTAAAAGCACCAGAGTTCCTTTATTAAGTCTAATTTATTAACCGGTTAAAACTACTTTGCCAAACGATGATTTCAGGGCCAAGGTGCAACTGTCGCCTTGTTGTCTATACCCACTATACCTCTTTACTCTTGCGACAACACTCGCAAAAGAAGTCGCATGCGCGTCATTATCTCCTAAATTTTGACATGTGCACCACGTGGCTGCAAGCTAAGTCGTGCAAGTGGCCAATAGAGCACATAGAGAGCAACAGGTACAAATGTGGAAAGAGCAACTCTACCCTCTCGACTTCTGCTACCTTCTCCAGTTTGTTGGGGCAACCGTCATCGAAATGCCATTTAAAAAGAAAAAATTCAATATCAGCCCCCGCTCTACTTCGTGGCGAGTTTGCCGCGTTTTGATTTGGGAACATCGCCGGAGTTCTTGCCGAATTACGACAATACACTACAAATAGCTTGTATTTTCTGTTTTGTTACCCCAGGCTTTTTGGTTGTTTTGACGTCTTTCACTAAAAATTAGACCGGAAAAAGAAGACTCGGCAGCAACCTTTCTGCATCATTCAATAGATACCGGAAACGCAAAACCCTAATTATGTGCTCCTGCACCACCCGTCGCCACTGCAGAATGCACAATGTGTAGCTTCACTATGTTGGGCGAAAAAACTTGGTAGGCATTTGTTGCCTTAATGATGCAAATGTCGCCACGCTTGGCATTTCTAGAAGGAAACCCCACCAAAGCCAGCGCTCGAGCAAAAGCAGAGTGCAGTTTGCGTCTTTTGCGGTCGGGCACTTCCCTCCTCGACTCGGCTATTTCGCGTCCCACGTTTCCCGCAAAGTGGAGAATAAAAAGTGCAAAGGTCGCACCATTCGACCGCCATAAACGTGGCACTGTTTGCAAATGCAGAGGTTCGTCCTCCACAAGTGGAAGCCCGGGTGCATTTCCCTCATGCCTCGATCACACTGCTAATATGTCGCACAAAAGACGGTCTGCACATGCTGTCCAAGGCATACTGTATTTATTCGAATATAAGTCTACCTTTTTTTTTTTGCGGAAATGTTGTCAAAAATTAAGGGTCGACCTATAATCGTGTTTAGAAAATTTCTACCTACATTTGTGCCAAATATTTTGGGACCCTACCAAGTGCATGGAGCTATCGAGTCGCCGAGCCGACGTCGCCGTAGCACCACACTGCATCTTGTTTCAGAAAACTTTTGGTGCACGAAGACCACCGAAACAGCGGCAGTAGCGACGTTGCTAGCGTCTTCGTATGTGATCTTTTGTCTCTTCACCGGTCTACACCTACTTTCATTTCGTGTCGTCACCATTTTGCAACGGTGCCAGTGAGGTCTCGTTGCAAATCTGTGACGAAGCTGACGAAGCTTTCGACGATGATGACATGTCAGGAAGTCCGGGCAATGATTAAGTTTTAGGCATCGCGCTGTGATTTAGCTAAGAGTGCTGTAAATAAAAGTTTGTTTCTTTTCTTCACTCAAACTTTCTTCTGTTCATTAAACAAATAAAAAGGTCAACCTATATTTGCACTTTTTTTTTTTTTGCGTGTTTTATATAAAGGCATTGACTATATTTGTGGTAGACTTATATTTGAGTAAATACGGTACATTCCTCATACGACACTCCCGTCACGTTGGTCGTACAAAAACCGTCTTTAGGCACAATCAAATCGCACGTACGTATGAAGCAAACATGCTTCGAACATGCTCTGGGCGCGTCTGCACATCGTTCTGTCGTTGTGACTGCAGCAAACGCCGTGTCTTTTGCACGACATAAGGGCAGTGTGACCGCGACTTGAGGAAACAAACGAGAGCTCTTGCGGCATTCTCTTCCTTTACGTGGTTTGTCCCTGGCACCATGGCACCTTTGCCACAGAGAAGGGTCGGTTATACGGGCATGCAAGTGCACTTTCCAGTTTACTTCTCTCTCTTTTCCAACGTTGCCCATAGGAAGCAAGACCGAAGCGCAGATTAGATACGAGCGTTGCACCAACGTCTGGCTGAGACTCCCGTTCGATCAGCGAGGACGAGAGTTTGAAATGAACGATAACGCGGTGCTTGCGCGACGCTCTTCTGCTACAAGAACGGACTATGGGAAGTGGCTAGGAGCCAGCCCGCATAACACGTTCTGCGTTAAGAACGATGAGGAAAAGTGCCTTACTTTTGCTATGTTCCTGTAGTTTCTCCTCAAGATTTCATCTTCCGCGTAGGTGAACCTTCCGTCTTGTATTTTTATGCCTGCGAGCAAGCGAGTGAACACATCGAGTGACGCGCCACAAGCACGGTACTATGGGAGTGCTTCGGACAGTAATAACAAATTGACTATTGTGAAATATAGACCGTAAAATACCACAGAAGTGCCCACTTTGTTCAAGCACCCACTATTAACATTTCCCAATATTGGGAATTCTGCAAATTCTGCCCGACTTGACCAGACAAGTGCCAATGGCTAGATTAACCCAGTTTTCAGCGAAAATGGGGCAGGCACACCTAAGGTATTTTACGGTAATTCAATTTAAGATACAAAGGTGCGTAAATTTTTAACGGAACCACCCTCTTTTTTACTGCACCTCTTGCACCACTGCACTCACTTCCGTGCTCCTTCGCGAAAGACGTTTCTGGTTGTGCCTCTGACCAGGAATGGACCTAGCCATCCCTCCAATATTTACATCCCTTCAAAGCATTCTTCAAGGGCCCTAACGCACAAAATTCACAGGGTCTCTTATTTTATCCCTAAGACGACTTGAAGGTGGAAGCCTAAGCGCCGATGAAAACGTGATAGCAAACCTCCAAACACAGTGCACTCTCTGACAACGCACTTTTGGTGCAGTTTCATTGGTATCTTTCGTTTTGGTGCCTTTCGCGTCGCCAATCTGTTTTCGCTCAAGGACTTCGAAGGTGAACTGTAAACCATTTCTTCATTTAAACACGATAGAGTAACATACAAAACGGTAAAAAAAGAACTTGCAACTTGCTTGCAGTAGCAGTGATAGAAGCGACCACTGAACCTTCTTTAGCAGATTTTGTAATGGGTAAAATATTGGATTAGAGCAGCGGCCAAAGCTTTTGGGGCAGACGCCAACATCTGTTGGCACATCACTTGAAAATGAAAGTGTGATTGCATAGCTAAATAAGCTGCTATCTGATAATGATTGAGAGTTCTATTTTGGTACTGAAGCATATTCCTTATTACTTTTTGTAGTAAGAATAGATATAGGATGTAAAAGGTACTACACACAGCCTTCTTTTTAGAAATAAAACTCAAGTCACAGAGATTCCGTTCACAATGGCTATTTAACAAAAATGGTTGAAAAATGAAGCATAGTGCAACATTCCAGTTGAGAAAAAGCCCCTCTTTCCCTCCCACTTTTATAGTTGGTAGTTAAATCAGTCAGTAAATATACTAATTCTCATAAAATCCTGGCAAATACACTAAAACGTCTATCAATAAAAATATGTCCTCCCAAGATTTTTTTAACACCGAACTCAATTCTAATTTCATAAGCTGCAAAAACAACCACCCGCCAATAATTTAAAAATTTACATGTGTGTTTTAAAAGTGACCCTGTGCTTTAGCGGCGTTCGAACCAGAGTCAAGTTAGTTTGCTGCCCTTCCGACTGACCGCTGCACGGGAACTCCCTTGAGAAACGTATTTATTCAAATATAGACCCACATTTTTTCTTCTTTCTCGACATAGCTTTCGAAATTAGAGGTCAACCTACAAGTGAAGACCAAAGAAGGTAGACTTGTAATAGTATTAAGCATAATTTTAGAGCTTATCATACTAACCCACGTACTACCCACATCAGTTGCTGCACCTAGCACTCCAGTGCAAAGCGGTGAAGCTCCACTCGCACACACTGCTATGAGGCCGTGAAGGTTTATGAGAGAGGTGCAGCGGTGTAGACTTTCCATTTTCCCAAGGGGGGGGGGGGGGGGGGGGGCTGCACGTTACCTTTTCGCCAGAACTGGAGATTGAAGCTAACGAAAGCACGCTGGGATTCCATTTCCCATGTATTTTGTCAATAAAGGCAACAAGGACGTTATTTTGTTTACATGCCGCTACTAGAAGCTCGTTACATGGCACGTAAACAGCGTCTCGGTAACGATCTTGGCCCAGGCCCGGGGGGGGGGGGGGGCTGTGCCACTCTTCCCCCCCCCGGATTCACCAGGGGGGGCACGAGCCCCAATGCCCCCCCCCGTAGTCTACGCCTACGGAGGGGTGCAAGTGCCACAGCACACTGTAACCACAACTGAGAGGCATGTGGCAGACATAATATTCAAGTGATATCGCCAGGACTAAAGTACCCTGCTTTCATCTTGTTACAGTATACGCCATCCCACATTTAACAGCGAAGCTCTACATGACTCGTTGGTCGGGTTTTTTCGAGTCCGTTGACAGAATAGGTAGTAGTCGACAGGTGCCTTATCTCTTATCATGGGGTTTTGACACTTGTTTCAATAAGAAAACCATGAAACAAATGTCAAGACCACGTGATAGATGATAAGCACGTAGCGCTTTCCACATGCGTTTCTCAGTAAAGATTGCGGTTGCATAAGCTGCCACGGCAATGGTAGCCGTACGAAGTCTTTCATATATAAAAAAAGTTTTGGTACGGTGCATTTACTTTTCTTTTGTCAGTCACATGGTATATACCTTTTTGGTGTTTACAAACATAAACTGCCGCTTGCGTCCCAAGCGACTTCCGGTCGCACTGTCCTTGCAAGCCTGTTGAGCTTGCTTATATCACCAGTGTTAGCATAAATGCTACACGGACAACAAAGTTGGATATTCAAAGAGGGCCTTTGGCTGTACAATATTACATCTAGGAGGTAAGTTGGTTTACAAGGAAACTCTAAACATTTCAACAGATCTCCCACTTCTTTGTTCTTTTGGTGCTCACCTGGAGAATTGGTTGTTAAACTTTTCATCTACATTTCAAACAGCAGTGTTAGGATGGCTTTTGTTCATTTTTTATATAAACCGGAAGTTCTCTGGGACGTCAAAGAAAGGAGCACAACCTAGTGGCATTTGCCATAAAAAGGGGTCTATAATGTAGTTGGCAATCAATGCAGGTGATACCACAGCTTCGCTGGCCAACCAGCTTCCAAGCGTGGACTAGAGCCTTCATTTTTTTGCAAATATTCCTCCCAACTTTTAGCTTCTGACATCGCTGCCATAGTCTGGAAATTCAAAGGTGCCAGCACGGCTGACAAGTCATCTCTACACTTCGTTTTATTTCCAGTCAAAGTGCAGGTGACACTACGAAACAATGGGACCAATCAAACAGCGTCAAAAGCACGACATTATGGCATTTGTCGTCTATCAGAATGTGCACTTTCATCCGTTAAACCAGCCAAGTGCAGTGAATGTCCCTAAACTTGCACTTTTTGTATCTGCATACGATAGTATGCGTTTGAGCTTTTGACTGGGTTCTGACGCAAGATGAAACAAACTGTACAGTGGGTACAAAAGCTGTGAAATAAATTTTTGTATCATTTTCATTTACTTTTATTCTGAATATTAAAATCAACCAATAATAGACCTTTTTTTCTTTATTAAGCCTACTTTGACACAGGTATGGCACAATTCTTAGCAAAAATGGCATTTTGGCGCAAGGTGTAGCGAACTTTCATTCATGGCGCAATTTGGCTCAAATGGCACAGCACTTTCATCACTGCAGTAGTTATTTGATTCAGTGGGTTCGCTCTACTCCAGTGAGCCTGTGCTATAGTAAAAGCATGCTCAGAAGAAAACGTCCTATATGTTTCAAAACTATTTTTAGAACAAAAAGGAGGAAAATTTTTATCCAGCGATTTCATGCAAAGTTTGATATAAGGACACTGGCACAATGAATGTGCAAGTTTAAACAATTTGGACAGGCATAGAGAATTTATTAGTTTTAATTAACATTACCCGTCTGCTCCTCATAGTCCTTTCTTGTCTCCTCGTTCATCTTGTAGAGACACTTGTGTATAGCAGGGATTCTGTCTCGGTTCAGCACATAGTCCTACGAAAACGCAGAAATAAGTGTAGTTAGATGTAACACATTTAATGAGACATATCCCAGGCCACCCATCTGCAACTCAAAGACTACGCTTCCTAACGCCCATTTCTCTGTTCCCCAGTTAAGCCGTCAGGTCACAACGGTTTTCGTTCAACTTTTCGGCGGGCACAAGCTGCTGCTTTATGCGTTTGCCACTAGATGGCAGCCCATGAATAGAGATGAAGAGTGCAAGCCAAGCCAGCAACGATACAGCAGTGCCTGGAATGTACCTTTGACTGTTTACCACCCTACAATGGCCCTGCATCAAAAGTGGTCCCAAAGTAAACAAATGCCGGTGAACAAGACGAGTGAATGAGAACGCCATTGTCGCCGCGGCGCCCAAACCCTCGGCTGCTGAATCTTCCGTGGAGTATCAAGTTAGAAAGCAACCTGCAGCAGAACAGGCATCTGCCACATCCGCCACCATCACAGCGATACCGCCAAAATTGCGGCAGGCCACAGCACAACACTTTTATGGCGTCATCATGCAGAAATCGAGGGAACGCTTTAGAAGATGCGGGAAATGCATCAGTCGGAGACGTGTTCCAGGCACGATATCGTTACTCAGGTCACGTGGGATGCCTCATTTTCTGAGGCAGGCTCCCAAATAATGCCTGTAACATCAGATATTTCTAACAAATTTCAGCGAAGCCCCTGGACAGAAATAGGGAAAAAACTGGGTGAGCGTTTATTTGATAACTCTTTAATATTTCATATTTCCCTTACAATAAAAAAAATACAACAGAAAGTTAAAAAAAAAAATTCAGCAGAACCTAAACATTGTTATTACTTTTGCAATGTACCATGATTGAGTGATCTCGATTCCAGCATCATGAACACGAGAGAGGTGCCATCGGCCTTATTTCTCCTGTTAACAATGTGACTACTGCTTACGTTTATTCAACATGAGTACCTCTGTTTCTCATTTCTGCCAATATTTATCACACACATATACAGTGGGGTGGCACTAAAAGTCAATACTGTAGGCAGGAAAAGAGAGTAAGCACCCACTCTACCTGTTTGTCTTTAATCGAGAGAAGGTATAAAAGTGATTGGAGAAAGAATGGTGTCCTAAAATTAGAGCAGACTTTTATGAAAACTGAGACAAATAGGAATGAATTTTCTACAAAATTGAAAGCTTCTCGGGATCAGAAATACCGAAATTAAAGAGATTTGGAGCGAGCTGGCTCTTCAGTTCCAACGATCGTCGATTTCTGTGTTAATCCATCAGCGCTCACCGCAGCTCCCTCCGGAGGAACTATACTCACTGCAGCTTAAAAAAACGCAAGTTGTTGCAATCCCCGAGCCTCTTGTCGCTCCCCAGTCAATGAGATTGCAGTATTCGATGCTGAAGAGCGAATCATAAAGCAAGAAGTGTGAACATAACAAAACATGCCCTGCGTTTCTTAAGCTATCAGTGCCTATAGTACATTTCACTGGCAAAGACAAAGGACAGGTTGTGGGAGCCTGGTCGGTCATGTCGTTAAAGCCGCACAGGCGCACAAACTTCTTCAAAGAGAACTTGAGCTAAATTATTAGATTTATACTACAAGGGGCATCGCTGCACCGCCGACAGGCCCCATGTGTGTCCAGATACAGAAGTACCTGTGCCTTCCTTCTGTCTACCCTCAGTGGATGCCAGGATCTCGTATCACATCCCGTTAAAACCAGCAGGCACAAGTCTTGTCATCAGTTATAATACGCACCTTGAAGTCCTCGTCAACCGGAGGACCAGAGTCGCGTTCTTCACGGAATGTGGGACTGTCCCGCTCACTGTCGTCAGAAGCCTCTCTCCTCTTTGTGGGCTCCTCCTTGATCTCCATTTTTATGCGTCGTGGCGATCTGTCTGGATCCCATCCTCAAAAGGTGAAAGGAATTTGGGAGAAAAAATTATTCACGCAAAGAAAAACATCACAGTTTTTCGAGGTCACATATGTCAACAGCGCGCCAGGGAAATTTCTCGCTGGACACAGCTAAGAAAAACGTGAATGGAGGCTGGCCACCCGGTGCCTCGAGGGACGCTAAACAAAGCTTGCCGGTACGGCTCGACGACTGGGGAAAATGGGATTACAAATGTACAGTTTTAGAACGACAAGGAAGTGTCTTTTCAGCCCGACGGCTGGGGTAGCCACAAGTTTGCGGGCCTATCACAAGACGAAGTGTGACGATACCTGCACTAAAAGACGAACTCGCTGTCACGGGCCCACCGAGGATAGGCCTTTAAGGAAGAGGGTGTGTACGCAACGTGAGGGGGAACACTGGATGACTCTCGGATACGCCTCGTCCGGGGTGTCTGACTTTTGCCGACAAAGAAGGCGCCGTACATGGTATCGGCACGGCTCTCGGGAAGTGCCGGGAGCATAGTGGACGGCATCGTTAGGCTGTCACCTCCTATCTCTGGGGGACACGGAATATTTCTGTCACTCGTAGCGAGCGAGACAACCACCGTTTGTGTCTGTGAACACGGTCGGCACAAAGTCTGGGTGATGTTTGTACATCAATGGTTTTCTGGTTTAATAAAGCGACAATGTAACGATCACGCAGCTTTCTAGAGTGCTTTTCAGAGGTGCGATTTAAGTGACTAAACTGTAACGAAGCGAGCTCCAGATAGTGTAAACGACTCAATTTTTGCGGGCTTGGTATTTGGCAAATTTCGAGAAGTGTCGGGCTCGAGCATATTTCACTGGCACAAAATTTTGCGATTAGGCATGATTCGCTACGTATTGTTTACCATGGGGTAATATATTTACAGGATCTATTATTCGCAATAATATTCAAATCAAGAAAATTAGTATGTCGTTTACAGTACTCGGGAACGCTCATTTGCCTCCCAAGGCTGCGCGGGGGCCAACAGAATAAGCCCTTTCATTGCAAAAAAAACCCCCCGCTCTTTTATCAAGGTAAAATTTCCTCAAAGGAAACCAAAAAAAAAAAAACTTCCTTCCCCCTTCCCCTCCCCCCCCCCCCCCCCACAGGGCGGTGCCGATTCCGACATCCAAATGCAACACGGTGCTTTCCCCACAGCCTAATTCAGCCCGGCAACGCTCGCGTCGTGCACTCTCAAACCGGCAAGTTGGAGAAGGGGGGATTTCTCATCACCTGCAGCCACCCAAGCAAAGCCCGCGAGCGCGCAGTCCTCCAAAGATGGCAGCGAGTGTCGCCGAGGACATCCAAAAGTGTGAAAGTGCGCAACATCCACCGCTGGGTCTGGGCCGCCGCACAAATGGGTGCAGTGAGCGAAAGAATGAGTGAGTGGTATGCAAAAGAAAAAACTGACTAAACAAGTGAGAGCTGCACTTGTTTTATTTGTCTAATAGCAGCATAGTTACCGTCCTCACCCAAAAACCGTAGATACTTCCAATCCCTCGTCTCAGGGCTCACCACACATCAGCAAAACACATTCCATGCCAAGTGCAGGCTTTGTGGGGGGGAAGCTTGCCTTTTGGTGGCACTCTAACAGGGTCCCTGATAATCCTCAAACCATGTCACACTTGGAAAGAAAAGTACCTCCTTTTGAGCAAAAACGAAAAAAGAAAAGAAATAAGGAAGCAAAACAAGCGACATCTGCGTAGTTACGGCGCCGCAGTGCTGTTTTAAGTCTGGCTCGGCTTTGAACGGCAAGTACCCAAACTGTACCGAACAACGGCTAACAGCGCAGTGAAGTGAATCCACACAATATTTCTAAGTCTGTGATATTTCGTGATATTTGTGAGTCTGTGATATTTTTGAGTCAGTAATACCTTGTGATATTTGTGAATCGGCGATATTTCGCAACATTTTGCAAGCTGGTGATATTTTGTGATATTTGTATGACTTCGGTGATATACAAGGTATCGTTCATGATGGAAGTTGCAGGTGATGTGAGGGGTCACGAGTTTTTCTACCTTAATAATCTCTGTGATTTGAGGGGCTATGACTTGAATCTTGATGGACTTTTGTGATATGACTGGCGGCGACTTTGGGATCTTGGAAAAACTTTGTGAACATGATATGATACTGAGTGACTCAGATCCAAAATGCCGACCTATGTGTATAGTATATATCAAAAAACCCTTACCAACCTTCATCGATAGCCAAAGAATCCCAGTCGGTCTTGACACTAATGCAGTAAAGCGGTTTACGAACCTAAGCAGCTTGCAAACCGTAATAAATAACCTGGGAGTGTTTGGCTCATAGTTATGCATCAATGGGCAGCTTAGATCTGCTAAAACAGTGCTTAAAATCGGAAAGCTCTCTACTTAGGGGCAGGGACGAGAGAAACTTTAGGAGCTGGGGAACCCCTGTGCTTTTAGGACCTCAATTTGAGAACCAATGGTACTCAGGATCCGTGGAAACCATCCTCAGAGGGAAAAGCAAACAAAAAACAATGCATATATGGGTTACTCACGAGATTCGTCTGGATTGTTCACGTCCCGTTCTACCGTCTCTGCGTCGAAGTTAGATGTTTCTATAAAATTCCCAGAGGACGTTGATTGGGCGACAGCACAAACACTCCTTTGCTGGGGCTGAAGAGATTTCCCATCTGCATCTGGAACAGACACACCAAAACACGACGACGGCGCATCACCTGTCCTTGTGGGCAAGTTCTGCTCGGAAGCTTTGCTTGCACCAACGGTTCCTGCGGCTTGAGGGGCTAGACCATCAGAGTCAGAATGACTGTTTTCCTCTTCAAACACGGGCGGCGATAGCTCTCGATTTTGATCAGCCTTGCTGCAAGTCACCACTCCCACACCTTCTTGTGTCGAAGCGTCATTCATCTCGGACAAAAATTCCGGCCTAAAATCTGACATATCCTTAGACTTATGCTTCCCTTTAGAGCTAGGCTGAACTCGGTCGTCACCCTGCTTTAGATTGTGGCTTGTACTAGGCTTCTTTTTTCTCTCCCGTTGCCTAGAGGAATCTGGATCCCCACCAGATTCCAGATCAAACTCCACAATTTCCTCCAGAGCAACGTCCTTTCGACAATGTTTGTGCTTCCTTTTCTTTGGAACCTCTTCACAGTCTCGCTCTTCAATGTTACTTCTGAGCAAACTCTGGCCTTCGTCAGCAGACGGCTGAACCCGGTCGTCACCCTGCCTTAGATTGTGGCTTGTACTAGGCTTCTTTTTTCTCTCCCGTCGCCTAGAGGAATCTGGATCCCCACCAGATTCCAGATCAAACTCCACAATTTCCTCCAGAGCAACGTCCTTTCGACAATGTTTGTGCTTACTTTTCTTTGGAACCTCTTCACAGTCTCGCTCTTCAATGGTATTTCTGAGCAAATTCTGGTCTTCGTCAGCAGAAGGCTGAACCCGGTCGTCACCCTGCCTTAGATTGTGGCTTTTACTAGGCTTCTTTTTTCTCTCCCGTCGCCTAGAGGAATCTGGATCCCCACCAGATTCCAGATCAAACTCCACAATTTCCTCCAGAGCAACGTCCTTTCGACAATGTTTGTGCTTACTTTTCTTTGGAACCTCTTCACAGTCTCGCTCTTCAGTGTTATTTCTGAGCAAATTCTGGTCTTCGTCAGCAGACGGCTGAACCCGGTCGTCACCCTGCCTTAGATTGTGGCTTGTACTAGGCTTCTTTTTTCTCTCCTGTTGCCTAGAGGAATCTGGATCCCCACCAGATTCCAGATCGAACTCCACAATTTCCTCCACAGCAACGTCCTTTCGAAAATGTTTGTGCTTCCTTTTCTTTGGAACCCCTTCACAGTCTCGCTCTTCAATGATACTTCTGAGCAAACTCTGGCCTTCGTCAGCAGACGTCTCTTTTTTATTTTGTTTAGGCTTCTTAGGAGCCTGCCTCTCAGTGTAGTTAGCACTAGCATAATCACCAACGGCAAGCTGCTCCTCAGAAGGAACTAAACGCTTTTTTTTCTTGGTGTTTGAGGACATAATCGGTGCTTCTGCTACAACTTCAGAGCCAATATTCTCCCCAGATTTACCTCTACTTTTGCATTTCTTCTTCTGCTTCAATATGTGTACATCGGCATCAACATCACAACTATGTAGTTCATCTTTCTTCAAAGATGTCATATCAGGCGTGCCCCCATGCCTATGCTTCTTTCGTTTGGTAACCTCCTGTTCTTGTTCAACAGCGATATCCACGCCCAACCTTGGATCTTTTGCTTCAACAAACTCATCAGCAAAAATAGACCGATGTTTCTTTCTGCGGTTCTTTACTGCAGCATTCGCTGCATCTGAAGCACTTTCGGTGTTCTCCAAACCAGAATCTTGTGCAAGAACCTCTTTACAAAGTTTCTTGTGCTTATGCTTCTTCTCCTTCTTTGAGGTTTCTTCATCATCATGCCCATGAGACGTCTGATCATCTAAGGCACTTTTTACATTGAGCTTCTTCTCCCGGGAGCTTTTCGTGGTACACATTTCTGGATCTAACGGCGAGTCAGGTTGGCACACACTCTCACCCTCTTCACAAGCACCTCTGTGGCCGCTCTTTTTTTTTTTTCTGGTCTTCAAGCGATCACTGCCATCGACATGTGCAGACAAACCCAGGTACCCATCGGCTTCTTGGGAAACAGAATTATATCTTAATATTTCTTTCTTGGCGCTTTTGAGTGTTTGATTAGAATCACACCCAGAATCCTCAGGTTGGCTAAAAGACTCTTCAACATTAGGTCTGTTTTTCTTCCTCATTGTTGAGTTTGCAACATTGGATTCAAGACCATCAAGGCTTTCCTGTGCTGTGTAGGTAGCTCGCTCCTTTTCCCTGTGCTTTTTTCTCTTTTTTGTGCTCAGGTTGATCGAACCTGCAACAATATGATGATCGTTCTGCACTGCATCAATATTTGGACCTTTTTCTTTTTGTTTCTTCTTTTTTTGTGTTGGCGGGTCAGTCTCGCCTTCGAGGCCCACGTCCTCCTGTGTCATGTCCGCAGCCGAGTGTCTGTCCTTATGCTTTTTTTTTTTCCTTGGTGCACAGTCTTGTACGTCAGATACAGCATTTAAACACTGGTCTATTGTGTCCACGGTAGCCTTACTGTTTCGGTGATTTTTCTGCTTTCTCGTTGCCAAATCAAGGTCAGGAACGAGATCCGATTCTTCATGTGCCCGATAAGCAGCTTGACTCTTGTTTCTGTGCTTCTTTTTCTTTGTTTCCGCAGAATCATGGGTGCTTATAAGGTCCAAGTTTTCTTGAGACTCTCTCATAGTCACATCTTTGTGTCTGTGCTTTTTTTTTTTCTTCCGTGGCAAATCTGCCTCATCGGCACAAAGATCTGAGTCACCCTTCATCGTGTCTACGGCTGTATCTTTACGACTGTGTTTGTTTTGTTCTCTGACTGTCGCATCGACCACATCACCATCAAAGGCAGAGTTGCCCTCGTGAATAATTCTGTCTTTCTTTTTGCACTTCTTTGCACTTGCTTCTGGCAAGTCGAGAAAATATGTGCGGCTACCTTCTTCCTGAGATTCCTGCACTGTGACATCTTCGTTCTTATATTTCTTCTTTTTCTTTTTTGTTGGTTCCGTATCATCCAAGTGCTCCTCCGTTTCATATGTGACCATATCATTTTCTTTTCTCTCTTTGTCCTTGCGTTTCTTTTTCTTTTCTTTCTTCCCGTATGGCGCCGCATCCAGCTGTTCTTGATCCAAGCGTTCGGTATCTTTTTCTCCAAACCAGAGTTCTGGTTCCCGCGGGTCCCAATATTCTCCGGTGCACTGTGTGTGACGCTTACTTGACAAATCCGCTTCAGCATCGCCGTCCGCAGCTTCGCGCGCTTGAACCGGCTTCAAATCCCGGCACTTCTTTTTGTGTCTTTTTTTTGTCTCTTGTTCCGCAGGAAGAGAAACGAGCGAAGGATCGTGGCGGACCTCTTGTTCTCTCTGCTTGTGACTTTTTTTCCCGCGGATATCAGCAGAGCCGTCATCCCCCTGCTCTATCGGCAGTTTGACTTTTTTCTTGTTTTTCATCTCGCTTCAGCTATTTAGAACAACACTACACCATCCTCACTCAGAAATCAAGCGTTCGTAAATTCGCCGCCTTACTTTTTTCTACTCGATGATGATAAGCTATAAACACAAACACGTGCACACACGACCACGCGACGCAACGAACAGCAAACTGATGTCTGATGCTGTCACCAATGCGCCTTCCGTTCTTTGACTTCTCCGTGTTTTCGTCGTTTTCATGTAAAAACTCAATAATTTAGTATTTTTAAATAAATATTATAATAATTTATATGCATGTTTTTGTTATTTTATTATGCGTGTCTTATTAACGTCACTGTGGTGTTTATTTCTACTAACCTAGCCGAATGCGCATAGTTAGGTCGTTAGGTATGCAACCTCTTCAACCTCCTCGGCCAATCATACGATGCCTACGCAAATTTGAATGTCGCGTGAGTGGGCGCGCCGAGCGGCCGAGCGCTGATATAGATCGTAATTCGTGAAACTAAACAAAAAATATTGAATTTATTAACTTTTCAGATGTTCTGTGCCAAAGCATGACGTCAAAGTGCAGCGTGAGACCGCTCATTTTGAGGCACTGGCCATCGGCAATGAAGATGTCCGAGTATTTCTCCGATTGAACGACCATTTTCCACTTCAGAGGTAATTCAAATATCCTTATTTTTTTATGTGTGTTGTGGCTGTTTGCAGACACCGGTAACAATCTCAAGATCGCAAACAGCCCGTCTCGTGACAGCTTATTGTTAAAACCTCAACAAACCTCGTGCATATTAGTTTTCAAGCCTGCAAACAATAACGTTACAACCAAAGCCTGCCCGAGTGACGAAATAGTGTGCGAGTTGTGGCGATAATGATAAAACGAAAGGCAGGTAGAACGTCCGTAATTAATGTTTTGCCCCAATAAATCGTACGGAACGTCTTTATAAACAAATTGATAGATCTGTACAGCGAGAAATATTCTAGTATGTATATTCTGTATGGCTCGAGGTAGATATATAGCAATGACAGTGTATGTGCTTTGGCACACGCAGTAGGCTAATAATACTCCCCCATATAGATTTGTCACTATGTACCAAAATCATGAATTTCTAATTATCTGCCACCTTTGTTTTTTTGTTTCAAAGAATGGAAAACCAGAAAACTCCCGTTGCAAAGAAGCTACCATCGTGGCTGCGATCTTTCCGGACATCTAAGAACGCTGCACCAAAAAACGACGAAAATTTTGCAAAGCCAGCTATCGCCCAGACCAAGGGATTTCTTCGTTCATATCGCAAAAGCTTAGGATTCAAAAAGAATGCAGATGCCGAAGAGGCCCAAGCTGGGGATCTTGATGTCGACAACTTTGCCAGGGGATCACTCATGTCTATACGCAAACTTTGGGCGGCCGAAGCAACGGGAAAAACTTTCCACACAAGAGCCAGCACAGAGGGCGTATCTAAGAAACCATGTGCAAAGCCTCACACATCTGGCAGTCCGAGCAAAATTCCAATTTCAGCACAGATGCAGGTTCAACACAAGACGCATCGCCGTTCCTTTCATCAGTCCTGGTGTCCATCAAACAAGGAGAACTGCGTCCCTTCCTCCACAGTCTTCGGGCAGACGACAGACGGCCGGAACTACAGTTCAGCCGGCAGCTCGGATGGAAACCTGGCATCGGAGATAGTGCTGAGTGCAGCGAGACATGCCAAGAACAGGAGGAGTTCCTGCAACTTCAAGGAGCAAGAAGTCTGGAAAGCAGCAGTGAATAACGTCGGCCTCCCACGCACATCAACAGAAACTGGACAGCTGCCGAAGTTGGTCGACGACAGGGTACGGAACACACCGATGTCTCTTGTGAACGACAGTGCAAATATTACGGACAAGGTCACCAATGGTGAGGCAGTGCAGAGCTGGGTCTTGCACCATAACCCAGTAAGTACCACGACAGAGGTGCAGCCTTCTGGGAGGTTTGCCTCACAGTCACTCCTAGATTGCGCAACTACCATTCCGAAGTCTCTCTACTTTCCACCTGTGATTCCACCAAGAACTTACCTTGCCAAGTTGGCACATGCTAAAGCTCACTTGGCAAGGACTGGAACGATCGAGCCTCGTGCGAAGGAGAGAACCCAGAAAGCTCTCCCCGCTGGAGTCAGGATAGCCCCTTGCAAGCAGAAGCGAGTGAATGTAGCTGGTACTTTCTTCCCGCCTTCCCTTTCCGAAAAGCCAAACTGCAATTTGGCAGATGTACACTTGCCGAATTGCAGCAGGATTGCAACTGCCCAGTGCATGTCGAGGGTTCCTTCGAATCCCCAAATCAGCAAGCGACTAACGTCATCTCGTGGACAGCACAATCCAGCCTATGGCATTGCTAGCCATAATAGAACATCAAGACATGAGAAAGCTGGCTGTGGCATAGAGTCTGATGCAATGGCAGATGATGAAATTAGTGTTATGAACTGCAGCTGCCAACAGTGCTTGCAACGATTCAGCAACATTAGGTGGCAGCCCCAAGCCAGGAGAGGGAACCTTGGAAGAAACATCCAAGCCGCTTCAAAGCCCGATTGCATCTCGCCGGTCGCTGACAAGACAAAGCATTTGGACAATCCTGGAAACCACTGTCAATGTTGCCACTGCAAAAACTTGGCTGGCATCTCCAAGACAACCACCACAGAGCGTGCTACACCTCCGATATGCAAGCAGCCGATCACAAAAAAGCCCGCTGCTGCCAAAAGCATTTTGAACAGGCAGGATGAAATCAGCAGAGTTGTAGAAGAGGCTGTAAAAGCTAGCATTGAGAAGCTCTTGTCAATGAATTCCATTTCACTCAGCAGGTCTAGATCCGTTGAGTCACTTCAAGAACCTTCCCCAACGAAAAAAAAATTGGGGGCATCACCTTTGAAGTACATACTCTTGTCATCCTGTCGAACTGGGGCTGGTGACTTACTAGCGGACTTGACTACAGAAACAAAGACAGAGAGTGGCATTGTCATGTCTCCGCAGTCATCCTCCACGGAGGAAGCCTCCGCTGAAAGGATAAGCTTCCGTAATGGCCTTTCAGGGCTAGACAGTAGTGCAATAGTGCAACCGTCAAGGTTGGAGCTCGAGCGTACAGCATCACTTCCCTCTCTGGTCGAAAGCTGCAGCCCTTCAACAAGTCAGGTCTCAACAGCATACATCAAGCTCGTAAAACGAGTGAAAAAAGTGGGGGATAAAGAAGAGGCTGGTTCACAGAAGATGCAGGTAAAAGAAGATCAAGATGAGAGGCGCACTTCACCCGCAGACACACACAGCACATGTAGCAGCTCAACAACTGGAGAGTGTTGGCATACTGCTGAGAGCCTCGTGGGAGAAGACTCTTGCAGCCAAACAGAAGGAATGACTTGTAACCTAGATGAAGATGGTCCAAGTCTTGGGACACTCAAAGAAGGATTCCAGCATTCTGCAGATTGTCTCAAAGTAGGCCTAGGGATAGCATACGAAGTTTCACAAAATGACACAAGTGTTTCCTCAGAAAATGTTTTACCCAAGGCGAAACCAGAAATGAGTGCCTCTTGTGCCAGCATGGGCAGTTTGCTGAGCCGCCGTTCTCCTGATGGATGGGAGAGAACTCCTCCGACTGATCAGTCAGCCGAGGCCGAAGATGAGCCGTCTGAACTCAACCCTCAGGGCGCAGAAAACTGTGAAGATCCCTGCTGCTCGGACGATACCGGTACAAGTGATGATGAGGATGACCAGCGTATTCTAGAGGAGGTAATCAGGAAGGGCATGGGCATGACTCCTCCCATCAAGCTTCCCGTGAAGTTGCCAAGACCCGTGAAAATGCCACGAAAGTTCAAGCCAGCTGAATTCTTTGGTGGCAAAGGTATGTGTCCAGTCAACATTGTGCATAATTTACTGTTCTTTATTTTGGTCATCTATCTTTAAAAGATGACGTTACTGGGAACTTTTTTCTTTTTTTTTGCAGATTTAGTCTTTTTTGTTGAAATCATTTATGGGGCATTGTCATACAATTTCAAATGACAGTTCATTTCTGAAAGGCCTCACCTTTTCCTTCCAGAATTGTTAGTGAGATGTGGCTGCACCTGTAACATGGGCTTTCACAGACACTCGGACCTTCCAAATGACAGAATCTCTCTTTTCACGTTCCGCTGACAGGCTCACCTTTGCTGGGCAGCTTGGTGGAGTTGTCACTTTTCCTTTTATATCTGACGTATAACTGTATGTTACGCACATCATATTGCTACACTTTTATTTTTGACTTGAAGGTTTGGTGAAGCTCCTGATGATTAGTGGTTTCCTGTTCAGCATGAATATGCTATTCTTTAGTGCGGCATTCATAATGTATGCATTTTATTGGACATTCTAAAGGGATATAGGAATGCTTACAATGGGGACGTTTTGCTTGGATGAATTTTCTTTAGCACGACTGATGAATGCATGCTCACTGGAGATGCACCTCTCATGGTTCTGGTTCTTTTTCAGCCAAGCTGAAACTCTCTGCCTACACAAACAGTGGACACCTTACCATTCACAGTAAGGTTGAATGATTCATTACGTGACAATGAAAGTATGACTTGTGTCACCCCTTCTCTATCTGTTTTCAGTAATCCGTGCACTGAAACTGAGGACTTCTCATGGAGCATCTGTAAATGCATATGTGAAGGTACGTCCTTTTGTTACTCATTGTTTTAAAAATGTAGGTGGTTTTTATGCAATAGAACTTAGGGTTCATGAATCATGGAAGTGAATTGTTCACAGTGATTAATGAAGACAAATCTAGAGGGCACCTCCTGAAAACTACAAAACAAGGTTGATCTTTCACAGATGCTTCACAGTGTTGCAAGTATTGTGTATTCAAGTTCTCCCGCCCGAGAAGTTGCATGTATTGGGAGACCCCCAGGTTGCACCGAATCGGGTGCGTGTCAAGTTTAGTTTATGTGTGCCTCGCGCGCCTGCGGACCCTGCGCCCCGGGAGACTGCGCGCATCCCCGCTGAGCGTTGGAGCTACTCTCCACAATGCAATCTCCGCCAGCCACACCGGCTGGTTATATACTCTAATCAAGTTGAGTTCTTAGGTATCAAGGACACAGCCAGCAAGCCATTAAAACTTCCAACAAAAGAAAGAGGATTATGGATGAAAAAAAGAGATGGTTAAAGCACAATACAGCGAAGCCGATTTAGAACGAACCCACGTACGGCGAATTATTGTCGATATCGAACTCATGGGAAATTTAAATAAAAATGCATGTAAAAAGTAGTTTTTATAACAAACAACGTAATGGCTATAACAAACTTTTTCCCCCAATAAGGCTTCCAAAAACGCGCAAACAATTGTCTTCTAGCCTGTCCCTTCTTCCCCCCCCCCCCAAAAAAAAATAAAGTAGGAAAGAAAGAAAATTCCAAAAGCTCAAGTTGTAAACAAAATTGAGCGAAGAGAAGGGATTCAGAAGGGGAGATAGCTAAAAAAATACACTCCGCCCGCACGCACAGAAAGATATCTTTTTCTTTCTTTTTTCATTCCAAAACTGTTCACGAAGAGAAGCGATTCAGGAGGGGATATAATCTAAAAAAATCAAACTCTGCACGCATGCAAAAAAAAAACACAAAAACTTTCTAGTGCGTTGTTACAAGGCGGAAGCAAAGAGATGAGAGAGAAAGAGAAGCTTTCGCCTTACAACGAACGTATCGTGGAAGTTCATTGTAAATGGTATTTGCTATATTGAACATATCGTAGCATTTCCTGCTGTTTGTTATAAACGGGTTTGACTGTACTACCGAATTCATGAATTCGTAAAAGAGGCAGCTATCAACATCATGCCAGTTTTCCCAATGTTTGAATAAGAATATGTTGTGGCATTTGAATATAAAAGTACTAAATGTTTTTAAGGGTTAAACTATTTTTTTTTTTTTTTTTTACTTTCTTTTTACTCACTTTTTTTGTTTTGGTGGGCTGCTTGTTTTGTTATTGAAATTTTAGTACTGGACACTGCTATCAGAAAAGATAAATGTGTATGCAAGTGTCCATCCAGTCCTGGAACAGATGACCACTATGATAATGGCAGGCATGGCTAAATATTGTAAACTGTCAAATTTTGGTCTGTTTTATTTGACATTAAATGTTTCAAGTATTTATATATATTTTTTAAATTTATTCACAACTTGTTAGGCCGGATTATATTAGTTGCAGTGAGGGCACTCTCCTTGCAGAATGTCTGCACTGTGGCAAAGTGACTTTTTCGTGGAGATACTTTTTGACAGTTGCAGAAACTTGCACGAACAAATACAGATCAATTCAAATTCTTATGTACACATTTTTAAGAAAATATAAAGTTAACTATTAAAGTGATGGAAGTGCTGTGCCATTTGCGCCATGTACAGATGTCTACTACATGTTGCACCAAAATGTAATTTTTGCTTTGAATTGTGCCACACCTGTGCTGAGATGAGCTTAAAGGACACATGCAAAGGAAAGAACCTTTTTTTTTAAAACAGGCTAGATGGAAAAAGAATATTATAAAACAAATTTACAACTACGAAAAAAACATTTAGAGCCATATTTACGTCGCAAAACAAATTTGTAGTTGGCGCTTGCGGGAGCCACTGCTTGTCACGTGGTAGGCCTGCACGCCGCCGCGCTGCGTCGCTGCCACCGCAAAGTCACGCCGCCGCCGCAAACTGAGTGTTGTGCGACGCCGCTTCAACGCGTTTCTCCACGCCGCCGCCGCCGCACAAGTTTGTCTGCTTCGGGGCGCCGCCGCCGTCATCTGACCGGCGCACAGGTCTTTCACATCTACTTGAGCTTTATCAGGAGTTTCCTTTGGGCTCTAAAAGTTACTTATTAATCTTAGTTTTTTGTTATACTTCAAACAAAGATGAATAAGTTCCTTTTAGACGTCATAGGAAGCTTCCGAAAGAGCGCAAGCACTACGTGATAAAGAAGGGCCAGTTACGTGACAAATAAGGGCCACTTTTCCGCGGCGCCCTCCGGCGCCAACTACAAATTCGTAAATATAGCTGTGCTCTAAAAAAATGTTTTCTTCATTGTAAAATTGATTTATGACATCCTTTTTCCATCTAAGCTGTTTAAAAAAAAAAAGTCTTTTTCCTTTGCATGTGTCCTTTAAAGGGGCACTGACACCCCAAAGATCATATTTTTTTTATTGTCTAAAACGATGCACGTTGTAGTAATAGACACGCAAAAAAAAATGCATTGCAAAAAAAATTTTCTTACACGCGCATTATTTTTGGCGTTTTCCTCTCCCGCTTTTTGCCTCCTCGCTTCTTTTGATGCGTGACGTCAAGAATCATGAAATTTAGAAGCTTTGTAGGCGACATTTCTATAACATTTAATAACGGCATTCATGAAACATGTTCTTTAACGCAATTGCGAACGCACTACGGCCCTTCTTTTTGAAATACCAAAATTCGGAGTCCGTTGTGATGTCGCCTTCTGGATTTTTATGTTCCCTCAGAAAACATGGTGGCGCTCGACGCATGTAGCAGAGGGCGAGTCGGGGAATCGGACAAAGTGGTCTTTTTTAGGTATTAAACAACCTTTCAGGCTTTGAAAAGGAAATCGTCAACCGGTCAGAACAACTGGGTTTGGTGTCTGTGTATCGTAGTTTTGGTTGTGACACCGCCGGGCCACCGTCATCTGCTCGAAGCAATAGGCAGCACGGCACTCACGCAAGAAACCGGTTTCCCGACGCTTCCCACATCGGTGGTTGCCACGACGCCGTCGCCCTTCTCCCACGCTCACCTCCTCGCTTCGGGTCGCGGAGATACGTTTGGAGCAGAGGTGGCGAAGGCAGCAGAGGCGCGAAAGAAACTTGACTCTCAGGATCCATCAAAATGTGATGTCACTCCAGTGGCGCGGATCGCGCGGGAACTTCAAATTCGGCATTTGGAAATGGTTTTTTTACTTCACAAATACTAAATTCCCAAGTTTCAAATTTTTAGGATAATGTCCAGGCATTGTTTTCAATCCTTTCAAACAGTAAAGAAAAAAACATTATTTCGATGTGTCAGTGCCTTTTTAAACAAAGCAAGAAATTAAATATTTTATTGCTCCACCCTAATATTGAAAGAAGCAGAAGGGAAGGAAAATGGTACAAAATGTATTTGACAGCGTCTCTACTCATTGTGTGCTTCGTTTGACCTTAGGTCAGTGTACAGTCGAAGGTTTGAACAGGTACTCCCATGAACACTCATACTAAAAGTGCAAGTCACGGGGCATTTGCTGCGCTTTATTAGTTTAGCCCATGGGTCTCCACACCCCAACCCACGAGCCGAAGAAGCCTTCCGACCGGCCCGTGGCTGGCCGCGATCCTTGCGATGATGCCCGCCTTGTGGCCCGCTTCCAGCAGGTCTGCTGCTACAGGTGCAAGAACATCTGCCTGTGAAAGAAACAGCGTTTCGACACGCACAAAACACATGGCATTTGTTCTCATTTGTATCCCAGCTGCTGATAGATCGTGGCATGTTTATTGCGCATTGTCATCAGGGGTATTACCACTTATAGTCCCCTGTTTCATGTCGGTATAACATCTGTTGAAATTCATTTGCATTCAAATGTATATAGTACTCGGTGTCTTGTGTTAATACTATTGCTTATTGTCATAATCAGTGTTACCATTCTCACTAGTCTGCCATATGTGAATTTTCCAAAGTTCCTACGTGCTTCAATTCATGCCCTGTTAGTTTTCTTTGTCACAATTACTGTATAATGTAAAAATAGCTAAATATTGATTCCATTATAAATAAATGTATTCATCTGGCTTAAACCTTTTTTCTATGTTTAGTCGAACAAGAATTTTCTTTTTTATTTACATATCTAGGTTTGTTTATTCAGTTTTTCCTATTCACCTATTTATTTTCCGGCCCCTTAGCCAAAAAGTTTGGGTACCCCTTGTTTAGCCGCTAAAATAACACGTGCAGAAAGATGGCGAATGCCATGATGTCGCTCTTTTGACGCCGTTTGATTCGTCCCATTGGCTCGTAGCGTCGGCAGCACTTCGACTTAAAGTGCAGCGTAGTGTATAGAGATCGCTCGTCAACCGCGTTGGACCCGTCATCTTCTGAATTTCCAGACGATGTCATTAATGTCAGGAGCTAAAAGTTGAGAGAAAAATTTGCATAATCGTGAGATGGCGGTCATTGTGATAAGACAAAACCATGGTCTTTTAGTCTTGATGCAATCACTCGATTATTATGTCTCCTGCATGTTAGCATGTCGTGGCTGTAGTGTACCGTAGCACCTAGTCCGCTTCACCGCCTGCCACCAGCACATGTGTCAAGCCAGTGTTCTAGGGGCAGCGGCTGACATGGAGGAGTATGTCCGTTTGCATGATTAGCTCGGAAATTATGCTGAGTACTAATGTATGTCAACCATCTTTGGTTTCGATTCAAAGTCGACCTCTAGCTCTCTAAAACTATGCTAAGAAGAAAGAAAAACTTGGGTCTTTATTTGAATAAATGGGGTAGTCGAGGAAGTTCCCATGCAGCATGCAGTCAATTGAAGGGGCAGCGAACTTTGACCCAGCTCTGGTTCCAATGTCGCTAAAGTGCAATGTCAGTTTTAAAACGCAAGTGCACATTTTCATAATATTTTTGGGTGGTTGTTTTTGCAGTTTATAAAATTAGGATCTCGAGTTCATAAAATTTGGAGGAAACATATTTTCATTGATTGACGTTTTAGTGCACATGATGGTTTTTGCTGGCATTTGGTAGAAATCATCTTTACGGGCTAAATAAAGAACCCAGCGTAAAAAAGAAGGCGTGGGGGGAGCTTTATTGCAACGCAAGTGTTGCGCTATGATTCATTTTTAGCCTTTTTTAATATCCATTGTAAATGTAACTACTCTTACCTGAACCTTATTTCTAAGAAGGTTGTGCGTTTTTGCATCTTATCTCTTGTCTCAACACGCATTGTATGTATTATGTTTCAGTATCATAGATGGACCCTCAATCTTTACCGCAATGCTCTAGTTATCAATGACCTCATCTGGATAAAAATATATAAAAGATTTGTGTAAGTTTCATGAAACTGGAACTCAGAGTCACTTCTTGTATAGGACACTGCTAAGTGTAGGCTTTAAAAAATGACCCTACTTTGGGGAGTTGTTTCTTCTTTCTCAATAAAATAATGCAACATGTTTTTAGTAGAAATGAATGCCGAAATAGAGTATAACAGGGTTCAAATTAAAAAAAAATATCAAAGGTAGTGTTTTTTTTTTTATTCACATCGGAATTTTTCTTTGTTTGATTTTTTTCCCATGTTTGCCTAACTATATCCTAACTATTGTATCACTCAGATACCTTATTTATTTTTTAAATAATAACCATATATTAGTAGAATACTATCTGCAAATTATATAATAATGATTAAATTATTTCATGAGATACAGACCTCCAAAGTTTGCCATTTGTCGTTCGAGCAGGCATGTTTGTCAATTTTTAGAAAAATCAATAAATTTTAAATAAATATTATTACTTTATATTACAAGCAAGCTATACCCATAGTTTGTCTCTAAAAAGTATTAAAATTCTCCTAATTTTATTGTTTTAGTTATTCCCTTTCAAACGTGCCCCCTCCATCAGTGTGCGTTATTGCAACTGTCCACCTCTCCATGTCTTACGATATTTCCTGTCTCCAAATTATTTTTCTGGTCAAAACTAAGTGTGGATCCGTTTATACCGGACACTTGACGATGGCATATAAAAACACCAGTTGATTTAAAAATGTCGACCAGCCACCCTTTGGCCGATCTTATCTCCATTTTTTCTTCGCCCAGGTTGCGCTCCAGCCAGACTATGCGAGACGTGCCCACTGGAGGACTCCGGTCGTCAAGAGCTGCCGAAATCCGGAATTTGACCACAAATTCTCTTTGTAAGGCTTCATCTCTCTTCGTCAACCTATTTGCTTCATTTTGTCAGTTAGTTGAGGCTCGTAGCCTATTTTGGGCCATCAGATGCACAGTGAATGTAAGCTTATTTAGATTTAAGACAAAGGTATGTCTTTTTAACTTGGAAGGCACTTTCCTAGCAACTTTTTAGTTCAAACTCTCTGCCCATGGCATACTTGCCTTTCCTAGTTTGTTTTTTTGGTGTCATTAAACAACATGTTACATCTGCCTTTTTATTATATTTTTTTTTTTTGTTTTAGCCCTTATAAAAGCTTTATTGTCCAAAATGATTTCTTTTTTTTTTTTTTTTTACGTAAGTGGATTGGTGGAGGATCTCTTTGTTCGTGGTTGTGAGCAGGATCTTTTAGTTTACATCACCCTTTTTGGTTCTGGTCCCTTAGTGAGCTGATGGCAGAAGACGCTGACAAACGTCTCTTCATAACAGTGTGGCACAGGGACACGGATAACAAGTAAGAAATCTTTTTTGGATCTTGAGTGACATCAAGACATATTTTTGGTTAATATACGGTGGCTGCTACGGTATTTTCTTTGCTGCAAAATGAATCGGAAAAATAGGAAACTGCACATAGGAGGCTAAAATTTTACCGAATGTGCACCGAGGTGGCAGATTTTACCTTGTAAAATTTCAAGGCGTAGTTCTCTTCCTGCCAAAAATGAGACCAACAAACTTGCCAGAGTCGATGGGGGACATGTTTGCAGACGACCAAGTTAGCAGTGCGTGACACTTGTAGCGCCATATTTATATAGGCGCAGCGAGTCGACGACACATTCCGTTGTCTGCGTGGTATCAATGAGCATAAGTTGACCTGAATCCGAAGGACCGGCGCGAAGAAACATGCCGCCGGACCCTGCAAGTCACGGATGTCTTTAAGACAATGTGTTTTCAGGGTTTCTTTTCTTTAAATCAGTGTATTTCTGTGTGTTTTTGTGGTCATGAATGGTATATTTTATGTATCTTATCATTTTTGTTTTTGCAGATAATTTATTCAGTTGTAGAAGGGAAGATTACATTGCAATAAAGACAATTTTGAGCAGAAGATGCGTTAGCCAGATCTTTCCTTTAGGAGGACCCAACACAAAGAAGCCGCCACACCCCGGGCCACACTGAGTTGCAAATATTGTTCTTGATACTTGGTTCATTGGGTTTCTCTAAATAAAAGTCTAAACATGCGTTATGTGTTAAAGCCCTGCCGTTGACTGTTTTAAAATTTCCTGTTTAAAGTAATTTTTTACCTTCCTTTTTTCTTTTTTTTCTTTTTTAATTTTATATCTTTTTTTTTAAACATGCCCACCAAATCGGAAGCGCTCTTCTGGGTTTGAGTGGCTTGACGTTTCAATTCTAGGCAGTGCCATCAGTAGAATTAGGACAGCGAGAAGTTTATGCAGTTGTAACGTCATTAGCCAAAAATTGAATGAAGAGAATGAAAAAGCTGTCAGCACACTTGTCAGGAATACAGCCTAAGCTCGTTATATAAGACCTTGATTTTGACCAAGATTTCGATCGGTTGTAAAAGGAGCATGTATGCAGATATGAAGTTGAGTCAATGCTATGAATAGGAAAACCAACCAACTCCACAAATTGGTATGTTATATCCAAATGTCTCTTGTAATCAGGTCTGTTGTAATGAGCTTAGACTGTATATGTTCCTGACAACTTAGCACAACTTTGGATTCTAAATAAAGCTCCCGCCATTTTTCAGGCGCAGTGAACTCCTGGGAAGCATGTCGTTTGCCATGAGCAAGATTTCAGACTGTACACAGGTAAGTAAAGGCAATTATTGAGTAATCAGCCTTGTATTGTCATCTGTGACATGTTTCACAAAACACCCAGAAAAACAAAATAGTCCTATGGCCAGTATACTTCTCAGTGGAAATCTAAGTGAAATCACTGAAAATATGTAGTGTTAAAAAGGGTGTATTGTTGTATCCTGGAATTTGGAAAAATACATCAATATTTGAGGACCAACAGTTATGTTACAACATTTCTAAATAGTTTTAATATTTCAAGTGTTAGATTTTAACTAATATAAACTGCTCTGAATGAGAAAGAGGTACATTCCAACACTTACTGCCATGTTGTTTCTAAAGTAGAGGAAAACAATTATGCAGGATTACATATTTGAATTAAAAATATAAGTGCATCCGACTGCCTCAATTGAAGACCGTCCAACTAGTATGATGTACTCATATCGTTTGGAAAAGTGTGAGAGTGTACCTATATTTTATATGCAAGTGGATCGTTTGCAGCAATGCAGGGATTAAAGACCTCCCCCTAATACGTTCACCACTGATCCCAACTTGCAGTATGCCAAAGGCTGGTACAGGCTGCTGAGGCAAGACCTCGGGATGAGGAAGCACTTTGCAGCCCGATGTGGGAAAAAGAAGGACGGTGAACGAGCTCCATCCGCTTGAAGCTGCTTTACTTGACCTTTTTGCTAGAGGACCTAGTGGTAGAATGCCCCTACCTTTGAACCTGTTGGTGCATGTTCCTGTTGAGCTGACTCAAATTACTGCATTTTCAAAGCCAGCTTGATGGTTTGTCTTACCCATAGCTTTTCATCAGACTTTCCCATTTCCTGGGCCTGCGGCAGCGCACGCAAGTACTTTCAGCGTTGTTGTTCATTCTCAGGGTATCTTGTAAAGTTCAAATGTTTGCATATAGATGCATTGTTTTGTTGACTTTTGGTTGTTGACTTTCACACGAATGTCTTCTGTACAATTTGTACCATTTTTAAGTGTTGCTATTATAGTCAGTTTTTGTCTTGTTAGGCTTTACAGGCTTCTGGTCCTTACTTGAATTATATAACTTGTTTAACATTGTTGATGCAGAGCTCTGAATGCAATGTATGCTGTAGATTGCATGATGGTAAAACTAATCCACCAAACTGCAGAACATTTTTTATTTTTTTATAAAATAGCAATAAAAAAAAAGAGTGGCTCATGTACAGTCGGCACAGAATGAAACGCGAACAGTGGGTGCATGGTTTCCGCTAGATGCTGCACCACCTGAACCAGATGGGAGCTGCAAGAAGATGGCTCCTCCTTCGATGTGTTAGACCCTTGCTCAGTGCATCCAAACCTTCGGTGTTGCGACTCTAGGTGACTCAGCGTGGGTCGAAAACCATGCACTCCTTGTTCGCGTTTCATTCCGTGCTGACTGTACACAAAATGCAATTCCAGGATTGCCGCATAGATTGTGTGAGCGTGTCAGTGTGTTTCCTCGTCGTAAAAGTCGCAAATGTGTGAACAAGCCTTTATTATAAAAATAAAATAAAAATGGGGTGTGTGTATGTTTATACAGCCTAGAACTTAGTCTGCCTCAACGGGCAACTTGTCTCCCAGCTGTAGATGAGAAATTTAGCCAGAGCAGTACAAACTGCACTGCACGCTGACATGCACGTAGCCAGGATTTTGTTTCGGGGGGGGCCCGCCCATGACAAAATAATGTATGAGGGGGAGGGGGAGAGGGGGGTCCCAGCAAAATCGAAGATTTCGGGGGGGGGGGGGGGGGGGGGGGGCTTGGGCCCCATGGGTCGCCCCCCTGGCTATGTGCCTGCACACTGGTACGGTGTTCATCCAGATCGAAACGGGCAGGGATGGGGATTGAACCCAGGATCCCGGGTTCTGCAGCGCGAGCTGGTGTGCGCTGGCCAACTCGACCACCGATCCCCCTCCTTTCTTTTAATTGCTTATACAGGGTGTTTTTTTTTTAGGCTTTACAGTTTTGTTTTAGAAACGCCACGAAAGCTACAATAATGCGGTCTGTGCAGGGGACTTATATGGCTGGGCGGTCTTAATACAGGGGCAAATCGTTGTGGCAGGTCGGCTGATTAACTAAAATGTGTTCATTAGCTTTGTAATTATTGAAAGTAAACATATGGTTCCAATTAGAAATTTGGTGAGTATCATCGAAAATCCCTAACTCAGTCATTTCTAGGAAGACTTTTAAGCACGTGGAGAGCGCAGTAGTGCACTAGAGCTCCTACTCGTGCAATGGGCACGAGGCTAGCGATGAGAGAATGCGGACATTAAGCAACAAACTGCTCAGGCGCGTTATCACACCGGTAGCCTTGCGCTTGCTGCACGAATAGTAACTTTGGCAATCCACCATGCATCCCGTGTGCTCCAAGTCATTCAAAAATCGAGTGACTTAGTGGTTTTCGTTGACACTCGGCAAATTTCTAATTGGAACCATATCTTTACTTTTACTAATTAAAAAGTTAATCATATTTTAGTTAATTAGCCTGCTTGTCGTGATGATTACCCCCTATATACCTTGTCCCCATTGCTGTATAATTCGCGTGCACAAACCGCATTAGTGTAGCTTTCACGGCTTTTTTAAAACAAATTTGTTAAGCCTAAAAAACAGCCCTGTATATTTGCTTTTCAGATTAGGAACTAGCAAACTGTGTCTGTGAACAAAATTGTATGGGGTTGAAATAACGTCTCTAGTACCCATGTTACTGCAGAAAACATGTAACATAAAATACAGCTTTGAAAATTCAAAAGGACAGGAAATTTGAAGGTAGTGAAGTAAACTCATCCATACTAGTTTTAGGATCAGAAGTTATGTAGTTTAAGTACCTTATTACATGCTTTCTAAATTTTTTTGGTGTGGTAAAGCTGAGGCAGACCTTTTCGAGCATCATGGGTGCTTTTGCAAGTTGGTGATGTCAAAAGATGTACAATTAAAGGGACAAGACACGAAAAAAAACAAAAAAACTAAGCCATACATTTTTGTCGTAGCTTGCCACAGTTTGTACATAGGATGTAGTAGTGTCCCCATTCTGAGCTAAATACACAAACTTGAGTCAATTTCGTGGTTTTACCTGCTATAATGCTGCAATTTAACATTGTATAGCCAATGTACTTAACACAGCAGTGTTCTTATTTGTGCAATGACTGCTGCAATTCGGGTGTGCAAATATTTTCCTGGAAACTTTCGTTTGATGCAAATTAAAATGTTGGATTCTTGTGTCGTCGTATGTGTGTATTTTTACAGTCCAGTGAGGTGTAATTTATGTCTATAACCCGCTATAACATAAAATAAGCAGTAGATGCTGTGCCCCTCCGGCGCAAACTTAATAGGGAGTTTTCGTAGACCGCGCTGCCTCCTCCGCTAAGCATTCCGCAACGAAGAAGTTGCTACTGCGCCTGCGCGCCGATAGCCTTGACTGTGGAGTTCCCGCTATCGTAGCGGGTTGCGGAGGGCCTTGCGGGGCGGCGAAAACGATCTACGAAAACTCCCTAATAACACCGGTGCACGCAAAGCCTAACACGTTGGAGGGCGGCACGCTCGTGCTGTAGTCGGAACGCTTACCGCTGGTCTTATGTTGGAACTGCAGATAATGAAAGCATTAGAAGTGAAACTATTAAAGTTTGCTAAGCTTTATTTTTGTGTTTCTTTGAACATGTGCTTGTCCTTTATTTACACAAACGAGCCACGCAAGTTGGCGTATGCTTTGTGCGCATAATTTGAGAGTGTGCACTGAATCATTTATTGGAAAGGAGCAAACTGCCCTTATTTTTTTTTTTTTTTTATTTCATAAAGAAGGACTCTTTTTTTTTTTTACTGGGTTTAGCTTCCAGTCCCTGACCTACTTTTGTTTTAATAACGAGAAGGGAAGAGTGGACAAAAGTGTTAGGAGTAAGGGAGGGGAGAACACTGAGAAAGTGTTTTCTTGTCGAAGACGAAACCAAAATAACCGGCTGGTATCACTGTAGTGGCACGAGTTATCATAACCGAAATATGACGTCGGAGTCAAGACACAAACTTTTAGTCAAGGAACACTGGTGCAGCATCCTTGTGGCAGTTGTGCTTGTGGCATCATGTCACGGTGGAGCTGCGGTCGATTGGTTGTACCGCGTACCGCAGCGTACCACGTTGATGTTATGTCGCGGCCATACGGCTGATGATCAGTGTTGCCATCCCTCTAGCAGATAGTTTCGGTTTTGCCGTGGACACCCGAAGCCAATATTTGAGCCGCGATATTTATAAAACTACACACAATTTCGAAAAACAATATTATACCTTGTAATTCAGGGACACTGCTATAGCTGAAAACCGTCGTAATCCCAAATTAAAAAATTAAAGACGTTTACAAATCTCTAACGCGAAATTAGAGTGCACCTCTTGAGGAGGAGGGAAGAAGATACAAACGGGAGGGTATGCCCCTCCTCCCATCCTCCTCCTCTTCCTCCCCTTTTTTCCTCCTCCTCTACCCTCCTCATTTCTTCCTTCTCCTCGTCCCCCGTACCTTCCCCTCCTCCTCTGCACGTGACGTCAATTTTCCTGTTAAATCTAGCGGAGAAACTGAATTTGTTCATAGGTGACGTGACGATGACACCAAGACATTTGACATCATTTTCCCCGCTAAATTTAGCTGGGAAACTGAATTGGTGTTGAGGTCTTGTGGCATCAATTTTCCCGCTAAATATAGCGGGGACTTGAATTGCTGTCGAGGTCACGTAGCGTCAATTTTCCCGCTACATCTAGCGGAAAAACTGAATTTGTTCATAGATGACGTGGCACCAGGTCATGTGACGTCATTTTCTCAGCTATATTTAGCGGGGAAACTGAATTGGTGTTGAGATCATATGACGTCAAGTTGCCTGCTAAATTTAGCGGGGAATTAAATTACTCTTGAGATCATATGATGAAAATTTTCCCACTAAATGTAGGAAAAAAACTTAATTTGTTCATAGGTGATGTGACACCAAGTCGACGTCATTTTCCCTGCTAAATTTAGCAGGGAAATGAATTGGTGTTGAGGTCGCGTGACGTAAATTTTCCTGCTAAATTTAGTGTTTTTTTTTAAGGGAAGATTCGACACTCCATAATTGCCGATTGTAATAGATGCTAATTTACAGCGTGAGCTCACTAGTGTGTCTTATTGGTAGTCAGAAGTCTTATTGGTAGACAGTAGTTCCATTGTGAGCTCAGTGACGAAATGGTGCTGGTTCAGAACCTTCAGTAACTCTGCCTGTTTGGAGAGTTCTTGAGCAACAATCTTCTGCGGTCAGCGCTGCCCTGCATTACTGAAGCCTTCTTGTTTTTCGAGCTCTCCCCATCGCTCGTCTTCACACGTGATTGTCGGAAACGTATAGTCTGCAGTCGCAGCATATTTTCACCTTTATAGAGTTGCCTTATAGATGCGTGATATTGCAAGTCAGCCTACCGCCGGCACTTCCCGAAACGGTCTTCCAAGCTATCAGGCTGAATCTTCCCTAGCAGGACATAGCTTAGCTCGAGTTCAGTGAAGCAGATTATTAAATAATATGCTCCACAGAGATGGGAACAAGAGAATGGCATAGAGCGAAGGTTACACGTTCCTGACTGGTTTTGCGAACGGGAGCTTGCGCGACAAAGTTTCTAAGACAATGCGCGCGATGCTAGCTTGTACCGGTCGGCTTCGCTGCCATGTCAGCGTAAAATTAAACGAAGTTATTATATATATAAAAAATATGATGTTAAAAGATATGAAAGTTTTCACCCTGGTATACCAGGGTGAAAACTCATATCTAGTGCTATATCGATGCATATATGCATCGATATAGCACCAGATTTTCTCGAGGGATCGCCCACACCCATGCTTTTCCTAGTTCTTCATTCCCGTCGAGTACGTTTTATAGTTCGTGCACGGCACCCAGGGACACAACAACGCACCAAACGCAAATGAGACGCACCGCGAGCCTTGCGCAATGCGCGAAGGAGACAGAAATTGTCATTGCGTAACTGCCCCGTCGCTAATCTGTGACTTCACAATTCGGAGCACTGCGGTCTTAGCTCTAGGTGGTGTTGGGCTGACATAAGGGAGCACCTGGGGGGCTATGTTGCACGTTTTGGACTCCCAGGAGACTAGGGAGAAGGAAGTGACGTAGGTGTGAATGGACGTATCTTATCAGCACCACGCAACGCGTCATCAGCGACTCCACCAATCAACATCC